AATTTATTTATATATACAAAAATACAAGTAAATACAAACTAATTAACATACAAGATAGTCTAATAGATAGTATGACAGATAGTTTTTATTAGAGAATTCATCATGATTTCTACAGCTTATATTCTCTTAAAAATATACAAGAGCTAAAGTTTTAAGTCTATATTAGCTAATCCTCGCGTGCTTTTGAATGACTATGCTTCATTTAGCTGCGGAATATGATCTCGTAGGGGTCTCATACATCGTTAAAAGATTGCTACAACTTGTTATTATCTTTCTATCTTTCTATCTTTTATCTTTTATCTTTTATCTTTTATCTTCTATACGTTAAGAGTGATTGTATAGAATCATGATGAAGTTCTTTTCTAATAAGCTCGGTATCTAATAAGCTCGGAGGCTCAGACCTGTATCTTCAAAGAGATAACAAAGAACTCAGTTCAACAAAGCTAAATTGCACTCGTCGTCTTTTTATTAAGCGGTTGTTATCTTTGCAGTGCTCGCTCGATAAGGCAAAATTCTGGTCATCATGTATTCTTGCGAAGTAAAGAAAATCAAAACAAACAATACACAACATCACAGTAGCATGCGAAAAGGGTCACGAAGCCATATACAGAGTTTCATACAATCAGAAGAAGATATTCATTTCATTTCCCAATCATTAATGGGGAAGACCTAATGAGAGTTCCATATGGGTGCATTCTTTTGGTGCACGACAATAAACTTTTGGATTTTATTGTACTAGATAATAAGTTTACTCGTGAGTGGAGATGACATGCATACCATATTAGGAAACGACTCCTATCATCAAAACTATTTCATTTCCATTTTGAAAGGCTCGCAGAGAGAAATAGTCGTGATGGAATTCGATTCATCCCGTGTGTCTCAAAATGGGCTAGATATTAGAGAAACGTCGCCGCAAATTGCAATGCTAATGCATATAGAGTGACTAAGGCAACCTTTCGATCCTCCATTGAGTCTGCAGTGAATATTAAGTTACTTAAACGGCTTCGTCCTTTAGAAACGTAGCGGTGGACACGGCCAAGAACCTAAAGCTATGATCCAAAACGGTATATAACGCATTCTCACTTTATTGGTTTACCGTTTTTGCTACTTTGCATGCGATCTGGCATTAAGTGTGCATATTTTCGTGTACAAAAAGCCTTAACCGGTATACGAGCTTCCTATTGAGCCTACATGAAATCTCAACCGGCCGGCGACCCGGTCAGTTACATTATGGTTAGAGGACCGGTTAAGTCACACTTGTTGTGTTTTGGCTTCGTTTGACATAAGATCTGCAACCTTTTTTGATTCATGCCGTTAATCGCTTCTACGAAGAATTTTTTTTTTTTATTTCTTTGCACAACGCATCAACATTCTCTAGCCGAATCTTTGTATTCAGTTAGATTGTTCTCGGCGTAATCAATATATAAACATCATGAACCCTCGCCTTGATTCGTGAAAACGTTCAAACAACTCTAATAGTCAGTCCTTACGTTTAACCTATACGCTCATTTAACATGCAATTTACTACTTTGTCACTCGCTACTGCCTTGATTGGAGCTGCTGCTGCTCTGTACACAAACGCTACCGTTACTACTGACAAGATTGTTACCAACTATGTAACTTACTGCCCAGAAGCAACTGAGGTTGTCGTCAAGACCTGCCACGAAGAAGTTTGTGCCCCAACGACTATCACTGTTACTGCCGAAACAACTTTGACTGTTTCCGGAGAAGTTGAGGTTCCTGAGACAACCACAAGCACTCTTGACTACACCATTACTTCTACCCTTACCTGTGATTGGTGTAACGCTGCTACCTCTGTTGCTCCATCGAATATCACCACATTTGAAGGTGCTGCTGCTAGAAATGCTGCAGGTTTGTTGGCCGGTGCTGCTGCAGTCGCTGCTGCTTTAGTATAGGTTTCCTTCTGGGAAGTTGGAAGTTTTTGATATAGTTTTCGGTTCTAATCTTTTCGTAGTGCAACTACTTTCGTTTCGAGGCTTTTGGTTTTTCGAGTGATCTTGTTCAATGCCGCTTTTTTCATTGTGTACATGAATTTTGTAGGGTCTTTTTCTTTTTCTATTCAATCCTTTTAATACCAATATTATTCAATCAAAAGTTTCTTGTATGAGCCGTACAATAACGCTGAATTATAGCTCAGTTCCAACTTATCTCGTTAACCGTTTAATTACTTGCGTATACTTGCATAATTTGTCGGCTTCGCCTTGAATTACAAGCACTGAGTTCAAAAGCTACGCCCTCTCGGAAAAGTTACTGTGTTCCCATTGATGAGGTTTGTTTCTTGACTTCTCATTTGATTATTCAAAGCTTCAAAAGCAATCCATTGTGTGTTTTACCTAATTTTCGGCATATGATATAGTTTCCAGATGTATATGTGGAACACCATTTACTTTGGTCTTTCTCGATCATTATTAATTTTTAGCTTTCTTTAGCAACTTCCAATGGATTTTCGCTTGCATCATACATGACAAATTAGATTCTATAAGTTCAATAACGTCTCTATAATTTGTAGGCATGAGGTTTATATACTTGGAAAGCCTGTTCTACTAAAGCTTTTATTATACCTTTATCCTATGATGCCCTTTCTTCTACTTTGTGCGACATTTTTGTAACACTCAGTAAATGTCGTAGTATTAGTTGAACTACTCGCATAGTTACTTTCCATGTCAAATGATTTCGTGAGTTAAGAGCGTTCTGGTGACAAAGGTAAAAATGGCTTCCATGAATGAGGAAACCAATGATATCAAGCTCCCAAGATCGTCTAGGTTTTTTAACCAGGCAGATTTGCCGGATTTAAAGACTTTTCAGCTTATGAAAAATGATAAACCAATATCATTCAATGGGCAATTCACCAACATAAACTACAGCCCGTATAATCTACCTCAAACAAAAACGAAGTCAAACTTTCCTATGGATTATTTTCATATGCCTAGTAGGATATCTCTTGCAGACGTTCCGAAAGAAGATGATATTCCAGTCTATAGACTAAGTGAAGCAGAAGCAAAAGACCCCATAAAGGTCATCGAAGGATTACAAGAAGAAGGACGTGAATATGGAGCAGTTAAAATAATTTTGCCTGACACTATCTGTGGGAAATTTAGGGCTTCTTTTCAAATTAATAGTGACTTGTTTTGCTTTCAAACTAATAGGTTGTTGAACAATTCCGTCAGCGATGAATTAAATAACAGGTTAGAATTTCATAGACAGTTGATAAGATTTCACCTAATGAATAGTAAACAGGCATATAAATCGAAAGAAGGATCTAAATCCACTAAAGATACTGCTCAAAAAGTTCCAGGATCAGATAATACTGCCAGTAATTCTCCATCTTTAAATATAATTGAGAACAAAGTAGCGAAAGAGCCTATCGATAACTCCGTGGAAGAAGCTTCATATATCGAGTCAGAAAATGTAAACAAATCTACTCAATTACTGTCATCTGAAAACCTTAACGGAAAAGAGCTGGAATCGCGGAACTTGATATCTCCTAGTACGGCGGCAGATAAATCTGGCACTAGTGTCCCTGGCGACACTTATGGCACTCAAGAGCCACATTTGGGAGCTAAATCTATCAACGACTCTGATATACATGACGCTAATGCTACACTTAGCTCCTCTCAAGCCACCATTGAATCTCATACCCTTAGTCGTGATGTCTCAGAGACATCCATGAATCACATGGACCAAGTCTCCAATGCATTTCCAAAAGCCTTGGAACATCAGGTATTATCCAGTCAAGATAAACCTGCGCTGCTGAATACTTCGGAAGACAAAAAAATTGAAACTTATCTGACAGATGATAAATATGAAAAGTATTTTGGCAATTCTTCAAATAAAGAAAACACTGATAGGGGCAATTCAAGTTCCCCCGAAAAAGTGATTAAACCCCCTGATTTGACTGTACCTGGCGTGAAGTCTGAAGGACCTATCGAGGAGCAAGTTTTATTGCAAGATAGCACAGAGGTCAAAAATATACAGAAAGATTCATTTGATACAAGATCCGTAAACACTGTTGATCCAAATAAAGGACCATGTTTGCCCCCTAGAGACAATCCAAAGCCGAAAATGCCAAGCTTTCTCAATAAGTTGCCAATGATAGACAAAAGACCATTAGATCTATATAAGTTATTTAGGTCAGTACTTATAAGGGGAGGTTTCATGGAAGTAATAAGCAAGAAGCTTTGGGCCCAAATTGGTCGAGAACTAGGCTATAAGGGAAAAATCATGACAAGCTTAAGCAGCTCTTTGAAATCATCTTATCAGAGGATACTATATCCCTTTGAATTGCACTTGGGACATAAAAAGTTTGAGCTTGCTGGATTAAAGTACGAAAATGATATTTCGAAACCATATGACAAGGACCACTCAGAAGAGGGCCTTTTGAATGAAAATGGGAAAAGACCATCAGAAAATGGTGATATTAATTCTGCATTGAAGAGACATAAGACAGTTCCACCATTAATTATTGGATCAGCAAAAGAGTTTAAGAGATCTTTGAAGGTGAAATCAGCCAAAGGGTTTCTACTTAATTCTTGTCATTTAATTGATGTAAAGCAACCAAACACGTTTACTGTGAAACAAGAAGATGAGACTAAAAAACGTGCCAAAAAAATGGGTGAAGTAATAGAGTCTCCAATAACTCCAGAGTCTCAGCTAAACAGTGCCTTAAAAACAATGTTCATGAACCAAGGATACTATCAAGATGAGTCAAGACTAAAATATAATGGGAAATACGCTTCAATTTACTCGTTGAGGCAGTTTATGGAGAAGGATATAAAGTTTCAGGAGTTTTTGATAAATCACAATTCCTTTTACTTCAATAAGATGAACTCTAATAATCCTGGTAATTATTTTGCATATCACGAAGGAAGTTCAGTCACTGAGCGGAACACGATTGACTTTAAAAAGTTTGAGGAGCTTTACTGGAAATTTATTTCTAACAATGATTTTAATGGATTGTTCGATGGGATGGAATTAGAAGATGGCACAAGTATCCCTAATTTTATCAATGGTTCAGGCTTCGTGAGAATTGGTGACGATTTTGTCAATTACAAGCAAAATTTAAGCAATCTTGGCGTCAATAATGCTGGAAGTAAGGGTAGTCCATTATCACCAAATCCATCTACAAATGGTAATATTGAGTCTTCAATATATAATTCTCGTGAATATATTTCCAAGCTAAATGAAGCTGCATTGAATCCTTGGAATTTGCATAATCTTCCAATCTTGCCTAATAGTTTGTTTGGCGCATTATCTGAGAATGACTTAAATAATAAGGAGTTGATTTCATCAAGACTTAATATTGGGATGACATTTAGTACCAGCAATTGGAGATGTGAAGACCATTTCACTCAGCTTTGTAACTATCAATTCTTTGGTGCTGTAAAGAAATGGTATTTTATTCCTGAGCTGGAATTTGAAAAGTTTGAAGAATTAGTTAAAGAGATTAATTTAAACCACAAGGAAAGAGTTAATATTAACAACCAGGATTGGAAAATTGAAGAATTGGTAAGCTATTTCAAAGATAATGATATTGAATATGACACATTGATGAATTCGCTAGAAAGTATGATAAATCCTACACCAGAAATCCGGATGAAACACCTGAATTCAGACTTTCAGAACTTGATAGATTTTGCATCATCAGAATTGAACCTTAATCAAGAATTTTTGATTACACCGGAAATGCTACGGAACAGAGGAATAAAATACCACTCGACATCACAAAGGCCAGGTGAACTAATCGTCAAATACCCGAAAACGTATTCGTCCGTTGTGTCATTCGGTTTAAATTTGAGCGAGGAGTCGAACGTTGCAACGAAATGTTGGTTAAAATATGCACTTGAAGGAGAGAGATGGTTATCTAAACAATCCGTTTTGCCAAACTTTTCCATCATAAGGCTCGTTATAAATTTGATTCAACTTTACGATTCTGGTAAAAATATCGGGTTCAATTCTGAGATATACTCAGAGATTATGAAAATCTATGATACTTTCTACAATACGGAAATTGAACTAAGAGCTAAAGTCAGAAAGTTGCTCAGTATCAAAGAATTAATCTTAGACGAGAAGTCTTTAGCTGATAACGATTTGATTTCTGACGACGAATTGGTATACGCGTTTCCTTCGAAAGTAGTTCTCACGGAGGTCGAAACAAACAAATCATTCGTTATGGCGTTACAAAGCTTTCTTAAAAATTTTGAATCTAAATCAATAAACTTTGAGAAATACAAGATAGAATTACACTCTATTTATTCAGATGAAAGACTTAAAACTTTTTCAAAAATTCTACATAACTACTCCATCAATTACGATGATTGGATGAAACATTATGAGCATCTTATGAATGAAAATTCGGATTTATCTTTGAAAGTTTATAAGAGTTTGCTTGCCGAAGGTGAAAAAATATATTCTGCAATATCATCATCCAGCTTTTTGACAAGAGATCACTATAGTGAGGATTACGAGACAATAAAACTCAATACCTTCAAAAGCTATATTGAAAACTTGAGATTCTTCATAGACGATTCTAATCAGTTCATTGAAGACTGTCAAGTTTTATTGGCAATAAAACATCAACAAAGAATCAGGAGTGGCTCCGATTTCCAAAAAACAAATGGATTGAATTTGCTTGTCAAATTAATCAAAAGAATACCGTCTTTGAACTTTTCGTGCTCTGAAATTGATCAAATACTAGAATTTCGAAATGAAATTGAAAATTTTGACAAAGCTTGTAAAAATTTAATTTCTAGACAAACTAAGAATTTCAAAGAATTTGACGACTTAATTGATCTTGGAGAAAGTTTTGGAATAGCTTTGCCCTGTTTGTCTTTTCTTATTCGATTAAGAGATAGGTTGAAATGGATTGAGAAGTTAGAGTTGTTAGAAAAAGGAGTCGATCCGTTTTCTGAAAAAAGAGAGCTCTTTTCTATCGAAGAACTCAGGGATTACTTTGAAGTTGGAATCTCTGTACTCGGAAAAAATGATATTAAGTTGATTGAGAAAGTAGAAGAGATATTGGGTAACAGTGAGGATTTCAATTCAAAATTGACCGTCTTTTTAAACTCTGAAACCGCTAATATGAAAAACGTTAGGGAGCTAAACGATTTCATTGTCGCTTTCAAAGAGAACTTTTATTTTATAAGTATCGATAATTACGATCATTTACTGAAATTGCAGGCTAACATAGATTTGATTGAATGGATCAACAACTTTAAAGAGGATCCTGAGAGGTATTCTTATCAAGAGGTGAAACAGAAAGAAAATTTAATAATTGAATCCGGTCTTCATTTCGACACTTCCATCTTAATTGGTGAAATGGAAAAGGCAGAAAAATGGATTTCAAAAGCTTTAAATCTTGTAATGGGGATTAATTTGGTAACAACAATATCAAAGCCTATTACGAAAGATGATCTCAATTCTAGGCTTACTTTGAATGAGTCTTTAATTGAGAAAATTTTTAAAGTAATGGACAAGTTGGCATTTAGCTTCTCTGAGGCTGACGATTATCAAAAGTCATCGTCATATTTTACTAAATTCTTGAAAGCAGGGGAGCCAGCTCAAAAATTTTATTGTTTTTGCAGGGAATATGAATTTGAAACAATGACGGAATGTGATAAATGTAAGGAATGGTACCATCTTCATTGTATCCATGAGGGAGGGTTTCCTGCTCCTTCCATATCTGAGGAGGAAATCTACATATGTCCGGTCTGTAAACTTGTTGAATCCAACCTGTATTCAGACCCTTTTCTATCAAAGAACTCCTCGTACACTAGCTTGTTAGCTTTGATGGATGAAGCATCCAGGTTAAAAGTTTATCCTAGCAATGAGCTTGAAATGTTTGAACGTTTGATACTGAAGGTATCGTTAGCCTTTGAGACGTTAAAACTGCGATATGATGCCCAAGATATTCAGCAAACTGACATGAAATTAGATGAGTTGATGTTCATGTTTAGAAAATTTTATGGTTGTGGTATAGGAAATGAGCAGCTTGCAGCAGATTTCCTTTTAGAAATTAGACTGCTTGAAAAAAGACAAGATCTGGTTTCTTATACATCACGAGCAATTACTCCCCCGACACCTCCAGTTACTAATTCATCTGTGGAGGTGCCTGATACTGTCACGTCCCAAGGGATGATCTTAACTTCTCTTCTGTCTAATACCCTTACTGCACCTATAAATAATTTTGCAACTTCCCCATATATTCCAACTATTGCTGCGGCTCCTCAAGAGCAGCATGATATAACTCAACCTTCAGATCTATCTGAGACTCTTCAAGGTGACTTTTAAATACATGCCCATATGACCTGAAGTATGCGAATGTGATCTTGAGGTCTTAACAAGTTAGGTGTATTATTTGGTGATTCTTCATAGCATATTTGGTGTAATCGAATTATGGCACCTGACCGTGATCGGTTATATACAGAGCATAGAATAATCACATACGCGCAACAAAATTTCTAATCTTACATGTAAATATTAGTACTTTCTTTCATCAAGAGATGAGTTATAATGAACTTATTGATCAATTGATAGACATAAGCTGGGATAGAGTGACCAAAAATGCAGAATCGAAAAACTTTATCTATTTTAGTCAAATCATTCAACTCATAAATCAAATGGAAAATTTATTAGAATGCGATTCTTTGTTTACAGATGAACAGATCCAGTTACTAAATCTGATTATAGACGAGAAGCCTCTTTTAAAGCTATTTAAGGTTGATTTGGCGAGTTTCATTATGAAATTAGTGCAGTATCCCAACTTAGAAACTTTTCTTCGTGAGAGAACGAATTTGAGCGGTAGTGATTTAAGACGAAAACTTGAACTTTCATATAGAAGACCATTGTCCCCATTCAAGCAAAGAGATTGGGCGCCAGAGAAATCGAAATTCACCACATCTTCGATTTATGCCCCTTCAATACGACCTGCTAGCAGCAGGTCACTTCTTTCGCCTCCGCTATCACCGCCTATATATAATAAGTTTGGGTCTTCTGGATTAAGTGATAGACAAAAAGAGGAGAGGGATATTGAAGTAGCAGCGCTATCGAAGGAAAGCATACATCTATCATCTAAAAATCGGGCTCAAAGCAAAAGAATTCAAGATTTGGAAAAAGAGACAGAGGCATTGAATGCATACATAAACTCACTCGAAAAACAGTTGTCTTCTTCAAAACCTTCTGCCAAGTTTGAGATCAAGGATCTACTCGGGACCATTGCTCACAAAGATCGTACTATCAATAATCTTCAGGAACGATGTCAAAAGTTGGAAGAGGAAGTTAAGGAAATAGACGGCAATGACTCTGGAAATAAAGCTTTCGTGCAGAACCTAGCTTTTGCATTAGAAAGTCAGGATAAACTAATTAAGGAGCTCAAATTGAGATTGAGTTTGGATACGCCGGTTGAAAAAAGGAAAATAAAGACCTTGCTTCAAAATTTACCTTTCATAAAACAGTATTATTACTTTTTCAAATACAGACATGAACAAAATCATTTGGGATTGATCGTCATCAATATCATTACCTTGTTATTTACCACAATCATATTGCTAAATTTAATCAAAACTACATTCTACTTCATATTTTGGGTATTCAATAATCGTCTTGCTACAGACTACATATTCGAGGATGATCTGAACTCATGGATCACGACTGAATCCACTTTCGTTTGGTGGAAAGAGATAGAATGGTTAGAGTATATAATATATCGCTTAAGCGATTACTAAATCTAAGAGTTTCAAGCTCAAACTACATCATAATAAATTTAATGTATTTATATTAACTAAATTTTACGATATACAAGGCGTAGTAACAATGACAAGGATTCTAGTTCATTCTCTTAACTAAAGCGTTGATGAAATCTTCTCTGTTACCTGTGTCACCACCTTGGATGAAGTGTGGGACCTTTCTTGGTCTGAAACCTCCGTTAGGGTTAGACAATTTAAATGGCCACAAAAAGTTGTTGACTTGCTTGAAGTTTGGACCAACAGTGTAAATTTCATGGATCAAGTCATCGATAGACAAGATACCGTACTTACCCAAGTGCTCTTCAATAATAGCATTGTCAGACAAAGGAATTCTTTGCTTGTTGATCTTACCGTAACCTCTCTTGTAGACCAATTGTCTGATAGTGGATAAGTTAGGGTAACCATAAGCAATGTATGGCTCAGCTAACTTAATCAATTCAGCGGTTGCCTTAGTTAATCTGACGAAAACACCAGCGTTAACTTGAGTCAACCTTAACAATTGCAAAACCTTTCTTGGCTTTGGTGCAATCTTGTTGATACCTTTGATTCTAACAACGAAGACCAATTTTGGTTGCGCTTCAACATAGTAAGAGCCAGAAGCCTTAGCATCTCTCTTAGCTTTGATGACAGCACGCTCAGCATCATTGTACTCCTTGGCGTAAGCAGCATTTCTGTCAAAAATGATTTTACGCTTTTCTTTGTTAGACTAAATAAAGTTAGTATTACCACTCATTGTAATAAAGCAATTGTAACGGAGATTCGTTTAATATTTTCTCAGTCCCGAAAGATGGTTAACTGAATGACAACATCGCCAAATGGCTAGTCTAATCAAATATGGTAGATTTCATCTTCAAAAATAGATAAAAAGGCTCTGACAATGCTCATATTAGATGCAATACTTACAGCTCTTCTGGTGACCCTTTGGGCAGATCTTTCCTCCTGGACCTTTTGTTGAGACTTTAACTTCTTCTCCAATGACTCTGGTGTGAGAGTGCTAAATATTAGTTAGTATCACTCCTTGTGGAATGTTAATAAACTTGATCTCCTCAAGAATAGTTGAAGTATTGATCGCGTCTCATGCACCGGAAAGGTTCATGAACGAATATAGAACTGAATAGCCAAATTCATTCCAATTCACACACAATACATTCATTGAATACTCAGAGGAAAACAGATCTATCAGGCATCGGCATTCGGAAGATTAATGAATATTCATATTCAGCTGCAAGATAATCTGGCTTTCCCATGGCAAGATTCCGAGCTCCAAAGAAGCGACATCTGATGCTGTCGTCTTTGGGAACCAGAATAGATAAATTCTGATTTATGTAATTCTTAATCACAAGGACATCGCATGATTTTTCGTCATGTCAAAATTTTTGTCTACCTTTCATCGCTAAATTTTACTATTCGAATATTCAAAATCTCACCTACCCTTGTACCCTAGTTCTTTTAAGTCTATTAACTGATTCTTTGGAATCACTATTGATAGGTGGGCACATACTTAATGATGTTCTTGATCATATTGTCTTGTTTAGCTTCTAACTGATGGAATAGAATTTTACAATTTTCTCAAAATACTTTAATTGTAACCGAGTGAAAAATTTCTGAAAATTTTAAAAGCACAAAACTAAAATTGTCTTCGCACTAAATCACGTGGGTATTTTATTAGGTCTAAAACCCTGTGTGATATATCGTTTGGCCGTCTCATACATGTCTTGGAGCGAAGCTATGTGCTTAAAATGATTTTAAACAATAGATTCAAGACAGTATATACTTCTAGAGCTACATGAGATGATTCGGATAAAATGCTGTTCTTAATTGTATAACGTATATAATCATTTCAGCTACACATATTTATCGTCAAATGCTTTGTTATCTGAGATTCTTTCATCAATTCTATAATCTTCTGAAGACAGCTCTGAATCGACATCCACGGTCTTTTGGGGTCCATGATATATTTTGTGAGCATAAACGAAGTAGTAAAGAAGTGACAATATCCACACTCCAGGTGTGATAACACAAGTGTAGTTCATAGTATCTTTATCAGGGTGATTGTTTGTGGGAAGCATGACCATAACAATGGTATAAATAATGAAAATAGTGGATATCCATCCAACTATTGGTGAGAGCACTTTACCTAGGTAAAATGGGCCAGGCTGAAACTTATGCTTTCCAACGGTCAAACGGAGGAACGTTGGAGTTCCCCAAGCAAAGTAATTACCGGCAATGTAAAGAGTAAATAATGCGCTAGATGCAGTTGTTCCAATTAAGCACAAAAGTCCTATTATGATAGCCATTATTCCTCCAAACCATACAGCATTGATTGGCACAGAAAGCTTCTGATTCACTTTCTTGATCCAGAAAGAGAATGGCAAGCCATTGTCTCTAGCAAAAGCCCAAATTTGTCTAGATATGGCAGTGAGGATAGATGCACCCATCAAGAACTGAGCTGCAGCTATAAGAGCCATAAACGCCATAGCCCATTTCTTTCCTAAAGCATCATAGATTATCTGAGCCATTGGCTGTCCATATTTCGTTCCCAAAATATGGCCCTCTATGTCATCTGTTTGAATGCAAAAGAGCGTAACTATCAATATAACTGTACCTAAGAGCCAACAAGCTGTGATAGAACCTAAGATGCCGAAGGGAATTGCTCTCTGGGCATTAGAGGCCTCTTCACACATGTGAACAGCCGAGTCAAAAGCACCTATGGTCCAGATTGCCAGCAACCATGCGGAAGATACCTGAGTCCATCCAATTGGCCAATTACTGTAGTTATCGAACTGAGTAAAAACATACTTAGCACTCTTAAAATTACCCCGTGCACCAATAGGTAAAGCAATGATATACAACACAATCAATCCAAGATTAGCAATAATTGAAGTAGTTTGGAGATGAGAGCAATTCTTAGACGACAAGCAGGTTATTATTATATGAGCTAAGACGCATGCTACAAAAACACCGTAAGTCTTGCCTGTTGTAAGCTCAAAATCACCATCCCTTGCGATCACCACGATAGAAAGAATTTCTTGAGCAAAACCATAATTAACTGAACACAAAGCTCCTATCAACGCAATTGAATTGGTATTCCCGACCACATAAGACACGATAGTCTTACATTTTGGCGGGGCATAAAAATTGGTCCAATAATATAACCCTCCAGAAGTTGGCTGAGAGCTTCCATTTTCAGCCATGGATAAACCAATGGTAAAAATAAAAAAACTAGAAATTACCCATCCCCATAAAGCACCTGCCGGGCCCGCTGTAAGTCCATCAACCAATATACTTGCTATTGAAGGTAACAATCCCATAATAGAGAATGCCACCCCAAAAACTTGAAGTGTTGAAAAATGTCTTTTCAATTCGGGTTTATATCCAATTTCAGCTAAAAGCTGGTCATCAGAGTTTGACAAAATAGCATTAATATGCGGTTCTTCGACATTTTGGGTGTTATTATAAAACAGTTTATTCGACTTCACCTGCTGGAGGATTTGTTCTCCAGAAAGAACGGGTGTTAGAGTCAGCATTTAATTCTTTGGTATACAGCCCAAAACAACAGGCAACAATTTACCACATCCTTCACAGCTTTATATAAAGTTACCATATCATCTCTTTTATGCGTTTTGATATCTGGGGCTTCCTAATGAACCTGCCTGTGTAAAGTATGATAACGGTGCGTAATCGCCTTCCTAAACGGGACAGAATTATAAGAGATAAAGTGGAACAGGCGGCCATCTAGAGGACGCCGTATTGAGGTTTGATTTGCTACCTTGACATTAATGCCAGTGTTAGGCACTGTGGCCCATGATATAAGTTGATCAGATAACCCCTACATGTAATCTTTATAAAAGCAATGATGATAAACATGCAGAAAGATATGCCTGTTTATCATTTTATAGATAAATCTCATGCTCTTTATACAACCTAATGGTGACACTGTGGGTATCACTAACATGAGGAAGTCTTTAGCATGTAGATGCTACTCTCATCTTTCTTTCATCTGTCGTTTTATTATTATCCCAGCTTGCCGTGAGGAGATGTTAGCAGTTCCATTAAAGTTTTCTTCTCAAATGGCTCTAAGAATAATTTCAAAGCCTAAAAGTTTCCTCAACCGAAAATACCATGAAATGTAGATTTATTATCTTTGGCGGTATACCTATTCAAGCTAGTATCGAAGTACCCAGATACCACGCTTGTTTGAAATATCCACGACATTGAAACACAATGCGAATGGCCGCGACATTCATTCGAACAATTTTGTATTGAAATCGAGACGTGAGGTGTGAGTACGTTTATCGAAGTTGATTTGGTGAAATTCATCAATAAACCAGCCTTTGAGACTCGGAAAGTGAATCATCAATATGTCTTTGCCTACTCCCACACCGATTAGTGTGGCAAACGCAAAAAAAACCTTGTATTTACAGTCTGGGTCGAATGGATTTGGAACAACAAACGGATATCTTCAGAATGCTTTAATTGGGAGCGGTCACCAAGGACCAGACATAATGACAAGGATTTCGATGTCCCTTAAGTCTGGAATTGATAGCGAAATTGAATGGGCTCTATCTTATTTGACACATTTGTCCTGTTCAGACGGCCACTTGATTAAGTTTGAAAAGGCGCCATTTTTAGGACACGAGCTTATAAAACATTTTGTGAAGCCTTTTCAATTATTGTTAGACCGCAAAGAGATCAGTCAAAAGATGATGCTGTTGAGTCTAGACTCTATATTAACCCTCAGAAATGCAGCTCAAGATTTAGGTAATCAACAATGGTTGTCTGAAATTACTTCGTTGAGAAAGAGTATAGTGGAAGTATTGAAATTTTTTGTTGGGTGGTTTTATAAAGATACAAGTAAATCTTACCAACTACAGCAATTTAGTGATCAGTTCAGAGAGTGCCTTAATTATTTGGTGGATTTAGCGGAACCATTAAGCTGTTATTACATTGATAATACCAAAAATGATACGCTATTCAACCAGTTCTTGTTACTTGCAACAATGACAAAAGATAAATATTTGCTTTTGGGATCTTTAAAATGCTTAACTCACCTTTTGATAGTTCGACATTCTTCAGGAGAGAAGGATGAAGGACAGAATAGACAACAAGAGGATGATGTAGTTGAGATTGCACCGAATAATTGCATTGATGCCATACAGGAAGATCAACTTGAGAATTTTGTGAATTATTTACTTTTGAATGACAATGATGTTGTCGTTACAGTACTTGAATTTCTTAAACAGTTTTTATCATCTGAAGCACTTCATCCTCAGTACCCGAAATCGATTAAAAATTCTCAGCTTTATAGACTTCAAAAATTGCTTCAGTTGAAAAGCAGCAAAGCAAATTTCCACACTCTAGCAAAGCAGCTACCAATTTTGCTAGTTTCAGGTTTACCCTTGAATGACCCTTCGAAGCTTCCTGTTATACCACAACTTAATTTAACTAAGAGATCGCGCTTTGTGGGAGTTCCCTCCACCATCCCGGATTTGCCAAAACAGCTCTACGACATTGTTGTGAAGTTCCCTGAACCACTTCGAGCTACGACGTGGTTACGTTGTTGCTATGAACCATGTTCGGTAGGTACAAAAGGTGTTGAAGGCGGGGTTGCTCCTGGTGAAGTTACCCAGATATCCTTGTGGAAGTCTTATGAAAAACAATTCGAAGAAGTATGGCAAACATCCAAAACGCAGCCTAATCCTGAGTGGCCATCTTTGCTTCCTGCTGTTGAGTTTATCAAAAATGTGAATAATGCTTTCCCTAACTCAGAAGCCATGGTGGTCAACCTTGAAACCGAGACTCCGGGTCAGGCCCCAAAAAAGAAGTTCATCATAAAGGGCATCCAGCCAAGGCAGTTTGCAGTCAATATAGATGTGGGAAACTATGAAGCTGTCAGGCGTAACACGAGCGACTCTCAGGCGCAAGACGAAACAAATCTCGAAATTGGTCATATAGACCCTGGGAAATTTGAGCACAGTATCAACCATCTAGCTGACTACATTTTATCTAACAGTGCATCATTGTCAATTTCTCTGAACGAGTTCAATCAAATTAATCAAATTAGTCTTGAACTCTTGGACTATATCGCTTCAGAAGTACTAGAGAAGAGCTCGAGTTCAGACGATTTACAGGGAATCTTTAAGCTTTACAATAGACACTGGTTGTGTGACATTGTGTATGCAAATCCTGAGCTTTTAGAGAAAGGAATTGTCTCCAATAGGTGGTTCAAATACTTGATTTAATTTGTAAATATATGTAAAGTAATAGAAATCTAGCTTATGTAATCATTTTCCTTTTTTTTTAAAAGCATTTAATACGCATTTCATATATTTGATTTTTCTTTCAAAGAGCTCTTAAGATAAGGTATATAAAGATGGCATCAAAACTTCCATGGTCAGTTCGGGCCACTGATGCAGTTCATAGGATAACGGTACTTGGATTAGTTGGTATCTGTGCCGTAGGAATTTGGGGTATAGGATTTAATGTGTGGGCCAACTCAGACTTTTCGAAGATGAATAAGAAAAAGCTAACATTCGAAGAGAAGCAATACACTGATATGCGTCTGGAAGAGAATGATGATGTGAAGTAAATTTTTTAAATCAAAAGCCATGATCTAACCGTTTAAGGTGTGAGCTCTCATTCTTCTGTGTGGTTGTTTTTTTGAGGATGATTGTGTTGAGACGAATTGTATATAGCATTATTACATATGAAAAGTGAATAAAATCTTACTTAATTTACCCTAAACAAGGCGTCTTTAGTCATGTTCGGGCTGTACATGTACAAATGATCTAACAGTGCGTACCCCCAAACCTATCTACTTACATTGTGATATTATTATAAGCGGAAGGTGTGTTTAAAATATGCTCTTAAAAGTCAATTTACATGTCCGACAAAATCATTTTGGATCTATGTAGTTGTCTTCTGTTTTTTTGGATTTGAAACATTAGTTTCACTTTTCTTATCAGATTGGTTTTTTAATCTTTTCTTATGCTTGATTGGTTTCATTGAATGCGTGAGTTTTAAATGATTTTTTGTGTATTCGTAGCTCTCGTTATTTATTTCACTGTATTCACTGTTTTCCATCGGATTAATAATGACAATGCTATGTTTAAGAGGCATGGGTTTGTTGCAGCATGGACAGTATATTTTTGAGCCTTCACTTTGTTCTAGAAGCTTTGCCAACACTTTGTAAGACATCACGCAACCACAAGTTCTTGGATAAGCAAACACCATACCACGTATTTTGACTCCTAATGTGATAGGACATTCAAGCATTTGATTTCCCTCGTGCTCTTTCCATGTCAATTTTAGTTCTAATAAATCATTCATCGTATTAATATGTTCGAATCTTTTGTTCACATCGTTTTTTGCGATACGCTTCGCTATCAAGTATTCAAGTATCTTTTCTTTTAAAAAGAGCTTACCTTTGTAGTCACCAACCACTGGCAGCTCCTCATTATTGTTATAAAGAGGAAGCGATGAGATGGCACAAGTCGTCAACATTGTGCTCTCCTTGTCTTCGACTGCTTCTATGCCATGAGACAGCGCATCTCGGATACCTTGGGAATGCAAAGATAAGATGTCCTGTCTCTTGGCTATAGTACCTCCATCATTACCCATTTTCTTATTACCGAAGCTATTTTGATATCTTCCTTTAATCGCTAAATCTACTTGAATCTACAACCTATGTCATTTCCTACATACAACATTTATATACAAACCGTCATCACGAGTGTGAACTGAACTCGACGGAAGCAATGAGGACATTGTTACATCCCAATGATATTAATGGTTGCTAAGCCTTCCTAACTAAGTCTTAAGTCTTAAAGTAAAGCGTTTCACCGAGGCAAGAGAGGGATTTTGCTCTATTATGGAGCACCCAATTTTAGATTGATCCGGAAAGGGCCTGGACCGATCCAATTTGGAATTGAATTTGAGGAGACAGGAATAGCTTTCTCAAAGCTGCAGCTGCTTAGGAACATGATGAGACACTTGGACGATGACAGATTGACATTAGCCGGTTTAATCAATCAATAAAGAGTCTCTCACCTATACCACGACCTGGTCGATAATAACGTATTCCACATGATTTCTACTGACAAGCTAAGAAATATTCAAGGAAAGTCAATCAAAAAATTTTTTACATGCAAGCATCATTCCTACAGTATGTATACTCCGGCTGATAATGAGCAATTTTGGTGAAGGTTATGGCTTTATAGCGAAAGGTCAAGATCGTTGCAGTTGCGTTTCATAGAACGTATCTTTTAAGCTAATTTCAGATAGTCTTAGACTTATAAGTCGTTCTATCAGCCAAGTAATTGGCGCCTCGGCTTTGTTCTTGAGCTCGCCATCTTTCATAGTACTTGGTTCATCCAGAGCTTTTCAAACAGCAACTACAGTCGGATCATCGCGCTACATCTGATGCAAAGCAAGGCAGGTCAAACCATCTAACCCAAAAATAGTATCTAACGTTTGGTGTGTTCAGAAGGTTTGATGTGCTTACCTGTAAAGTTCCCAAATAGGGAGACATTGTCTGCAATCTCTGTATATTGAGTTGTATTATTATCAGTAAATTGGCTCAATTAGTTAAATGGCTGGAAAAAGAAAGTAATCATCGGGAGAATATATAAAGGTTACTACAAGCCTTTCTCAACTAATTTAAAAGAGCTGAAATCAATTAACTTTTACAATAATTTAATTGAGAGAGAAAGTGTAACATAAGATGTCGGTTACAACAGAGGAATCCGCAGATAAACAGCAAACCAGCCGTTCCAATGGCTGAGGACTTCGAGGCCCAGACTCCAAGGAAATCTACTGACTTGTCACGAATCTTAAAATTGAAGTTCGGAATAGAGAAGACTGACTACTCTGTTTCCATTTACATTGGAGAGTTTTTTGGTACTTTCTTCTTCTTCTTGTCTGCATTTTTGATTGCATCCTCTGCTAATAATATCTTGCACGTTGGTGGAGAGAATGCCCGTCTTTTGGTTATTGCTATTGGATTTGGTTTCTCTTTATTCGTTGCTGCTTCTTGCTTTGGATTTTTGTCTGGTGGCCACTATAATCCTGGAGTCTCCTGTGGCTTATTTTTAACTGGTCAAATTTCTTTGCTTAGATTCTTTTTAGAAAGTGTAACCCAAATCATTTCTGGTATGTGTGCTGCTGGTGCTGCATCCGCTATGATTGCTGGTCCTATTACTTTCGCCAACATCAAACAACCTGACGTCTCAGTAACAAGAGGTCTCTTTTTGGAAGCTACAGGTATTTGTCTTTTGAACTTAGCTGTCTTCATGACCAACGAGCCATTTAAGATTGGTTTCTCTTTATTCCTTGGACACTTGTTCTGTGTGGATACTACGGGTGCTGGTATCAATCCAGCAAGAGCTTTTGGTCCATGTGTGGCTGCTCGTTCATTTCCAGGCTACCATTGGATATACTGGATTGGGCCGATCATTGGAGCAATTGTCTCCGCTGCGATTTATGATATTACAGAAATTGCCGCAGTAAAAACTGATCCAAACTATAAAAAAGATATCAAATCTGAATGAAGCTTCAGGACTTTATTTAGTGTCATAGTCACTCTTTCGGAGAAAGCCAATTCTGGCACAACCATATTAAAGAATTGGTCCTCTGCGTTGCCACCAAGAGTACCTCTCTTATTGCCTGCTGATATTGTTTTCTAAAGAAGCAAGCTGAAATAGTACATACATTTTTAATACATCCTAATACACTCCCGTATTTCATTTCAGCCATCCTATTGTTTCCTTAGCATGCAGCAGCTTCTTTCTACTTTAGATATTATGCCTGCGTGTTGCAGATATTTTATCGCGAGTATAGAAAGATCCAGGCATATCAATGCAGGCTGGCTGTTGTTTCCTTTTGTCTAGAAGTTTATTTTAAAACCGCCTGCATCAACTATTTCAATGATCAAAAACTGAGGTACGAGGTTTTAACAAAAGACTACTACCAGCATGAAATATAGGAAGGAGTAATTAAAGTTATGCGTACCAGTAGTTTAGATGATAGAGTACCTTCTTTTAGAAAGAAGCGAAGCAAATGATTTAGCTAATACTAATAACAAAGAGTGAACGTGAATAATTGTCTTCACGCACAGATTAGATGTTATACTTGACTCTCGGCATTATTCTCTTGGAGCTACGTGGTTTGGCATAAACGCAAATATATAGCGCAAAATTCGTAGCGCAAATATAGCAAAGGCTTGATCACTAGAAAAAACTGGATGACTGCATCTTAGATTTTTATTACACTAGTTTGAACACTGTCCACGTGACATAACTTTTACCTACACTATTCTGCCTCTCTTTCTTTCTATCTATCTCTCAACTCCCCTCTTGGTTTTCGAAAGTCGTGCGCTTGAGGTGATGATACCTATTTTTGCCATCACTATGACTTTCTCTCCATATAGGGTTAAGCTCCGTCCTCAAAAATGTATTGTTAGTAATGCGGAGTTATAAACTTTCTTATCTCCTCTCATGAGCATTCTCTAAAAAATATATCAGCATGATTTCATGTGATACAAGTTGATAACTTCCTCGTATAACATCGCCGCACGGTTTAGTTGCAGAAACTTTTGTTAATTTACCACTGTCATCGATACGGATATAAATGTTGACGCAATATCCGTTTTCTAAAGATATTAAATCAAAGAAGTTCTACTCTTTTTCATGAATCAATTGAGCTAATACCACAGTAATCATTCCTTGATATTAAGTATCGTGGAAATAATTTCTAGTAAATAAAAATATGAGCGAAATCCAGTTGAATGAACTGTCATATGGTGGGCAGGAACTGAATAGTAGCCACTCCGGATATGATGGCCAAGAGGAAGCAGAAACGGTTGATCACAGTGTAGAAGATTTTCCAGGGATGATGACAGAAGAAGATACAAGTCAGACATTGGAGAGATTGCAGACCCTATCCAGAGAGATTTCAAGGCGAACTTCCCGAGATGGTGATATTGCAGTTGATCCAAGAGACTTTGATTTGTATAATCTTCTCGAGAAGGTTATCGTATCTTCAGCCAAACAAGGTATTAAAGAATGTCATGCAGGTGTTTCTTTTGAAGAATTGTCTGTTTATGGTAAAGATGAGACATACTCGATTGTACCTACGGTAGGGGACATTTTAAAGGGACCCTATACTGTTTTCAAGGCTATCACAAGTAAGAAAGTACCTGATCGTGCCATCCTTCATGAAATAAATGGATTGGCTAGAAGTGGTGAAATGGTTTTGGTGCTTGGGAGACCAGGTGCTGGATGCTCAACAATGTTGAAGGCTCTTAGCGCAACTGACCGTCATTTATACACCCGTTTTGAAGGAGAGATCAAATATGATAATGTTCCTTTAAAGGAGATGGTAAAGACTTTCAAAAGTGACTTAATTTATTGTCCTGAGTTGGACACTCATTTTCCTCATTTGACGGTAGCCCAAACATTGAGATTCGCCATTGCTTCAAAAGCCCCTGCAGTCAGAATTAATGGAGCCAGCAGAGAAAAATATATCGAAGTCACGAAGGATGTATTGAATGCTGTATTTGGATTAGGTCATGTTGAGCATACTAAGGTTGGAAATGACCTCGTTCGAGGTGTTTCGGGTGGTGAAAGAAAAAGAGTCTCCATTGCTGAGGCTCTTTCATGTCGTGGATCTATTTATTGCTGGGATAATGCTACTAGGGGATTGGATGCCTCGACTGCGCTCGAATATACTAGAGCTGTTAGGACTGCCACGAATCTCTTAAAGCACACTGCTTTTGTAGCTATCTACCAAGCAGGAGAAAATGTATATAATACATTTGATAAAGTTACAGTACTCTATTCTGGTCGTCAAATATATTTTGGGCCAGTTACAGAGGCCAAGGCATATTTCGAAAATATGGGATTTATATGCCCAGCTCGACAAGCTACAGCTGAGTTCTTGACCGCCATCACTGATCCTATAGGAAGGTTTCCAAAAGCAGGGTATGAAGACAAAGTTCCAAGAACTGCTGAAGATTTTGAAAGATACTGGCAGCAGTCAGATGAATACAAGCGTCTAAAGCAAGAAATTGATGAACACAATAAGTCTTTCAACCAAAATGATACTTTGAACGTGTTCCGTACGGCCAAAAAACAGGACACAATGAGATATCAGAGGCCAAAGTCAAAATACACTGTTAATTACACGTATCAACTCAAGCTATGTTTTATCAGAGGCTTGCAGAACATATGGGGTGATAAAGCTTATACTCTTATTCAAATTATTGCAGCTATCTCTCAAGGATTGATCGCAGGTTCGTTATATTACAATACTCCAGGAACGGTTTCGGGTGCATTTTCCAGAGGTGGAGTCATTTTTTTCAGTACCTTGTATGTCTCCTTAATGGGATTAGCACAGGTTTCAGCTTCCTTTAGTTTGAGACCGATATTGATGAAGCAGAAAAACTACTCGATGTACCATCCTTCTGCAGAGGCAATAGCGTCTGCTCTTACTTCAGTTCCCGTTGCTTTAATTGTCTCCTTCTTTTTCGTGGTCGTGATATACTTCCTTTCAAACTTAGCTGTTGAGGCTGGCAAGTTCTTTATTTGTTGGCTATTTGTTTTTCTCCTTTCATTAACAATGTCTGCCATGTTTGAAGCTGTTGCTTCTCTCAACAAGACAATTGCCACTGCTAATGCATTTGCTGGTGTTTTGGTACTAGCATCTTTGATGTATTCTTCTTATATGATTCAACGGCCCTCGATGCATCCATGGTTCAAGTGGATATCATATATTAATCCTATTTTATATGCTTTCGAAGCAGTGGTCTCTTCAGAATTCCATGGTCGTAAGATGGAATGTGATGGAACTTATTTGGTTCCCACAGGTCCCGGTTATACATCTTTGTCTAACGGAGAGCAAGCTTGTGCCTTTAAAGGATCAGTTCCTGGTCAATCGTGGGTATCTGGTGATTCTTACATATCTACTGCATTTTCCTACTCATTCAGTCATGTCTGGAGAAATCTTGGGATTCTTATTGGCTTTTTAGTTTTTTTCAACTTTGTGAAGGCTCTTGGTATGGAACTTGTGAAACCAATAAGCGGTGGTGGTGATAAACTTCTTTTCTTGAGAGGTCCAGTACCTAGCAATGTTGTTTTACCGACGGATATCGATGATTCATCAGACATTGAAAATCAATCCTCGACATCGAAGAACTTAGAAAAATTCGATAAAGGTGAAGATTCTGATAGTGTATTTGAGGACTTGAAATCAAAGGATATGTTCACCTGGAAGGATGTTAATTATGTTGTAAAGTATGATGGTGAGGACCGTACTCTTTTAGATAGCATATCGGGATATTGTGTTCCTGGTACATTGACTGCATTGATGGGAGAGTCTGGTGCAGGTAAGACCACTTTACTTAATGCATTGGCTCAAAGACTTGATACAGGAATTATTACTGGAGATATGTTGGTGAATGGTAAGCCCTTAGATTTGTCATTTAGTCGTCGTACAGGGTATGTGCAACAGCAGGATATTCATTTATCAGATAGTACAGTGAGAGAGGCCTTGCAATTTGCTGCTAGAATGAGAAGATCTAGAGATACAAGCGATCAAGAAAAATTGGAGTACGTTGAAAAAATAATTAAAGCTTTAGAAATGGAACTTTACGCCGATTCCATAGTTGGTCAACTTGGAAATGGACTTAATGTTGAACAAAGAAAAAAGCTATCAATTGGCGTCGAATTGGTTTCTAAACCATCTCTTTTATTATTTTTAGATGAGCCCACTTCAGGCTTAGATTCCCAATCTGCATGGTCCGTTGTTAGATTATTGACAAAATTGTCGAATGCTGGTCAATCAATCTTATGCACCATACATCAACCGTCGGCAACTTTGTTTGAGCAGTTTGATAGATTGTTATTATTAAGAAAGGGTGGCCAAACGGTGTATTTTGGAGATATTGGTGAACATTCACGTACCATTTTAGATTATTTCGAGCGTAATGGTGCTAGAAAAAGTGATGACTCTGAGAATCCTGCCGAATACATCTTGGAAGCCATAGGAGCTGGCGCAACTGCAGTTACGGATAGAGATTGGTTTTCGATATGGAATAAGTCTCCTGAAAAGAAGAGAGCTGACATTGAGAGAGAAGAATTAATCGAAAAGTATTCTAAAAATAACAATTCTTCTTACTCTGAAAGGGAGTTGAAACAAATGTCAAAAACTTATGCTAGTCCCTTCTGGTATCAGTTCGTGTATTTGCTTCGCAGAAATGCTCTTACTTTCTGGAGAACACCCGAATACATCGCTGCCAAGACCTTTTTGATGACTTTTTCAGGTTTATTCATAGGTTTTACTTTTTTCGGCTTAAAAAGTTCATTAACTGGTATGCAAAATGCGTCATTTGCAGGTTTTTTGACTGTTGTTGTTTCTGCTCCTGTTATCAATCAAATACAGGAGCATGCTATGAAAAGTAGAGATTTATACGAAGGAAGAGAAAGATTTTCGAAGACTTACCATTGGTCATTGATGATCATTGTCCAGGCATTTAACGAATATCCGTATCTTGTTTTTGGAGCATCCCTCATGTTTGTATCTTTATATTTTCCGACTCAGGCGGATACTTCAGGTCCACACGCTGGAGTCTTCTATTTGACTGAAAGTATATTCTTGCAGACTTTTGTCATCACGTTTGGTTTGTTGATTCTTTTCATCGCACCGGATCTACCATCTGCAGCAATTTTGACGTCGTTCTTTTACACTTTCATTGTGGCTTTCAGTGGAATTGTCCAGCCTGTGCATTTGATGCCTGGATTTTGGACTTTCATGAATAAGGTCAGTCCATATACATATTTCATACAGAACTTGGTGTCTACTTTCTTGCACGATAGAAAGGTGATATGCGATGATGTGGAGTTTGCATATTTCAATCCTCCTAAGGGACAAACTTGTGAACAGTTCACTGCCCCTTACTTGAAGCAAGCTTTTGGCTACATTGCTAATCCAGATGCAACAAGTCAATGTCGCTACTGTACATTTAAAGTCGGGGATGAATATTTAAGCTCAATTAATGCAAGCTACTCATACATTTGGAGAAACGTTGGTTTCTTCTGTGTTTATGCTATATTCAACCTTGGACTAGTTTTAGTCTTATACTGGTTCTTCAGGGTAAGACAAGGTCCTTTGTTGCCTTCAATTCTGTCTTTGCCTTTTTTGAAAAAGAAGAGCAAAAGCAAATGATACTCATTCAATTTCTAGATTGAAACTTAAATCTTATCAATTTAATAATATTTGAATGCTAATTTCTCTTCTATATTTAAGTCAATTATTTGTTAATTTATTTATTCATTCATTCATTATCTACTTAATTTATTAATTAAAATATCGTTTATTACTCACTCGCTATGGAAACATCAGAATACCATTAGGAAGAATCTGACCCACTCACTTGAAAGAAACAGTATTTAATGTTTATACAGTTGCGTAACTTCAAGTACGATTCTTGCCAACCTACTATTTTGACTTTGAAATATAAATAGAAATAGAGTTCCCCCTTGAAAATTGATTTCTTTAAAGCTCTAGTAGACTGATAGATGGTTAATATGAGGAACGCTCAAGATTGGATAGATTATTTGGAATTAGAAGGTCATCCAGAAGGAGGATACTTTAAGCAAACTGGCGCATCTGACCAAATTGTGAAATCACATACGGGACTTGATGTGCCTTTGTACACTAATATTTTATTCTTATTGAAAAGCGATAACCCATCTAATTTTCACAGAATAGGCTCAAATGAAGTATGGTACTTTCACGAAGGACATCCATTAACTGTTCACTGTATTCAACCAGATGGAAGGTATGAAAAAGTGGTACTTGGGAGAGATATCTCAAAAGGACAAGTTCTTCAGTATGAGGTACCCCGGGGTGTAATTTTTGGATCTAGTGTTGAAGAAGGATACGGTTTAGTAAGCTGTATGGTAGCTCCTGGTTTTGATTTTCGTGAGTTCCATTTGTTTGAAAGAGCAGAATTGATAGAACAGTATCCTCAACATAAAGATATAATTAGTAAATTGACTAAGTAGCTTAAATAATTTATTACTCTCTTGAGTAGGATGAAGAATAACTACACAAGGATCAATTGAATAATATTATGATTTTAAAGGGGATTAATAAGTTTCAATGGAGATATTGTTCCTTTGGCTATCAAATACGCACAATTTTCATGTCTAATTGTACTATATTTAATTATACCTTTTATATCATTTTAAGACAGTCGTAATGAATCGGTGGAAATTAGTCCTTGGTGTTTCTTCAATTCCTTCTATATCGTTTATTGCATGGAACTTGTATTTGACTAAGCAATGTCCTGAAGTAGAACCGGGAGAAATGCCTGCTGACATGCGGATAATGTCCGTTATCAAAAGCAATACAAATCCTAATGTTAGTGTTCCATATTGCGATATATTCAAAATTAAGTTACAAAAGAGTAACTTTTTAGATGTAAGCAAAAGTTTCTTTGATAGAAAAGCTTTAGAATTTGATGATAATGGTGCCTTTAAAATATTTGGTAATACTTCTTTAACAGATTCTAAAAAAAAAACTCAGAGTACGGTTTGGCGATGGAAATGGAGTGATGATCATCTAGTGAAATTTTTTGAAAAGTTAGCTAGCTGGGGGTATCCTTTTAGATTAATGAATGGGGGATATCATGAATTGTATGTGGAAACTGATTCAAAGGAAGATGCAATTGAAGTTTATTTTGCCAATGCCCATGAATATGCTGATCTAGGGGACTCCAAAATTTTACCAAAGTGGGTAAGAAGCTTGCATCGCGTGTACGCCAGGTATTTGCTTTCATCTGCATTCGAAGATATGCCTAAACTTACGTCTGACTAAATGCCTTATATAAATTGGTTTTTAGTGATGATAGAAGAATAAGCATCTAGTATGAAAGACAACCAAAGAAAGTACTCAAATCAAAAAGGTACTTTAATATCCCGTACCATTCCTTTGTTAGATATTATACGACTTACATAGGCACCCATTACTTTGACTCACTATAAAGAAAATGTTTCGAAGTTGCATTTGCAAAGAATTGTCTTTAGAGATTTTTCAATATTATAGAACCCGTTTGTTTTGAGCTACGTTTGGCAGGTAAGAAGAACTCTATGTGATATTTGATGTTAATGGGCAGAAATTAAGCAAATTTTGGCTCACTATTCTTATGCTTTGTTGCATTAATTCTAATTTGGAGATAGAAACGAAGAATACGCATTGAGCACTGAACAAAAGTTCACAATACTCTGGAACAACAATTAAGATAGTATCTAAATTAGTCACCTGTTAACTACATCGTTCGGTTAATAATCATTAAAATATATCTTGACTTTAGAAACATAGATAATTAAATTCTATTAGCAATCCTGTTACTAATTTTACAATAAATTTCACAGCTTAGTGATATTCTAATCAACATGCGTTACCTCAGCCTTGTCATTCCAATCAGGATGAGTGACGGCCATTCTTTGATGAGCATAAAGGGGAGGCAAAGGATCAATCTTTCGTCTGAGGATGACCCTTTGAAGTGCATTTAGTAAGTGTTGAGTCTGCCACTTTGCATGCTTCATTGCACTTACTGAGAAAACTTCATCTAATTCTTCCAAAGTTAAACCTTTAGTTTCTGGCAAGAACCACAAAACTAAAAAGAATCCAACAACATTCCAAGCTGCGTACCAGCCAAATGCGCCAGTGGAAGTGAACGATTTGACAAGTTTTGGCCATGTAAAAGCCAAAATGAAATTGAAGAACCAACATGTAGCAGTAGCAAAGCCCATTCCTAAGTCACGAATATACAACGGGAATGCCTCAGCTGAGTAAGTAAATGGAACAGGACCCTCACCAGCCGAGTAAATACATGCATATATATAAATACCGCTTGCAACAATCCCAATCCTAGTTTGCAGGCCCTCTTCAGCAAGGAATCCAAAGGCTGTCCATAATAAGAAAATTGCCATTAAAGGAAAGGTTATTAATAACAACTGTCTTCTACCATAGGTGTCAATAGTATAGAAGGTTGGTATGGCAAAAAGGAAGTTAATCATACCAAACCCCCATGAAGCAACCAATGCCAGCACTTCACTGAAACCACTTTCAATAAAAATAGTGGAATTATAATAAACGATGGCATTAATTCCACAAAACTGTTGCATGAACATGACAATCCAAGCACCAAGTGCACCGTTTCTGTTCCTTCTGATAGTGAACATTTGAATGAGACGTTTCCAAGTGGGGATTCCCTTGTAAGAAGCTTCTTCCTTCAATAAAACGTATTGATAGAAACAGTCTCTAGCTGCAGCTATTCTCTCATGACGAAGTTGAGTCAAAGATTCAAAAGCATCCTTGTGTCTATCTATTCCCATAAGCCAACGAGGTGACTCTGGTACAAATGGTATTTGAAGCAAAACGATTATTGCAGGAATACAAGCAGAACCTAACATTAGTCTCCAATTGAGACCAGTCCCAAAACTACGATCAGGAACATAATAGAATGCTAAGCAAGCGACATAACCAAACATGATTCCAACAGCGGTAAAAAACTGCCACAACATCACCAAGGCACCCCTAATATGTTTTGGAGTACACTCGGCAGCATAAGCAGGCACAGTGGCAGATTTAATCCCGATACCAAATCCTAAGAAGAATCTAGCAATGAAGAGATGCCACCATGTATTGACAAACCCTTGCCAAAAACAGGTAATAGCAGATATTACGCATGTCCAGAAGATTGTCCACTTCCTTCCTAGCTTCCTGTTCCATATATCAGACATCCAACATGCCAAACATGATGCACACAAATAAGGAGCTCCGTTTACTAAACCTTCAATCAATTCGGGGTCTGCCAATTTATCAACTCCAAACGCCTTAGGGTACATCAAAACAGCTCCGTTGATAACTGATTCGTCCATACCTTGAACTGCTGCGGCCATCGATCCTAGGGCAATAACTTGTACTAGCTTCGATGGCACGTGCCATTTCTTCGTTAATTCTAGGTTCAAACCTATTTTTTCTTCCTCTGAAAGAAATGGCATCGAATTGAAATCGCTTGGTGTACGTGCTAAAGCAGCTGCTCTAGAAAACAAATCTGGATCAAGCTCATATTTGAGCGCATAATTCCTACCCATCTGCATCACTTGATCTTCAGAATACTGAGACAATATATTCCCTCGTTCACCATGTCCAGGTTGCGCAATCTGTGAATGCAAGCTCTCCATATCATTAGTACTTTTATTCTTAAAACTGGAACTTGAGCTATGCTCAAAGACTCCATCGTCCGGAGGACCATATTCCTTGGTATTCGCAGCAGCTTTTTCACTGCTAGAATAATCTGACATGTTTAACGTTCTGATTCTAACATTGAGCCATTTCGGTTTTCCAAATTATGGTTGATTGTCTCCATATATATATACGGGGTATATCTTGTGCTTTTGGTGTTCAAAACCTAAATACTTTTGGTCAGCAAAGTTTGTCGAGCGCTTTAAGCGTCTCACTTTTGTTGAGGCTGCATCATGTACGTAACATTTAGGTATTCACACATTCTTTCTGTCGGAGCCTTGTTATTAGATCTAAACTTATTCTTCCGAGTATTATGTTAGTCCTTTCTCCGCATTTACCCCTTAGGCGTATAAGGACCTATTTCAGAGATGCGGTTGTTGTTTCCTGTATATTAATTGTTTTTTTATTGTTCAGCCTCCGCACGGCAACAACAAAGACCACAATAATAGGAAACATAATATGGAACAATCCTCGATAGATGACCTTGAAAAGATTTACGCAATATGCATTAACGAGAGGAAGCAATTAAAGATATGAACTTTTGATACCTTAAGAAGAAACCGGTATATAAAAGTTTGTGCTTACTTAATGATTGATTATCATCATCAATACGGTCATGATCCATGGTTCTTTGTTTGCTATCAACATACCCCTCAAAAAGTAAACTTGAAGAAGATTGAATCCAACAAAGACAATTGCTTCTCTTTGATGTTTCACGAGATACATGTACGCCAAGCCTTACCTTGCGGAAGGGTGCCCTTAAAACAGCGATCCGGAAAAGCGGAAGCAATCATCTCAGAAAACACAAGAGTCTCCCTTGCAGTTATTGGGACTGAATCCTTGAAGTTACTGTTTAGAGTCTTTCAACGTCTTATCGCTTGAATATTCGTGGTCCAGAGTTCGTGAACAATAGTGCATGCAATTATATTGTTCGTCGTTGATTTATAAGCCTTAAATGTGTGGTTTCTGTTCAATAAATTGATCTTTGGAGATCTCTGTAAGCGACTCTCGAAAGTACTATTACCGGCTTGCGGTTGCGTAAAAAGACTTGGCAATAAACGGCTACAAATTTTACCACCGAGACTGGGGACAAGTTTACGATTTGAACCTTGAAGGTCGGATAAGTTCTAGCAAACGATAGAGAGATCCTACGTATCCCTATATCTAATTTAGTGGGCAGTGATTAAACAAGATCTTCCGGCAAAAGCACTGACTAGTAATCGATGGCAAGTTCGGTATGTCATTTACCTTTACCTCTACCTCTATCTCTGTGGTATGTTGTATGTTGAATTTGTAAAATAAGCACACCACCATCATTCTCTAACTGAGTTTGCCCTTATATCAAAATCAAGTAGAATTAGATCGATTCTACTTGAAGAGATTTATGTTATGTGAAAAAGTTTTATCTTTTCCAATATATCTCCATATTATAATAAATATATGAGCTAGAGAACAGTCATAAATGATATGCAAACGACTATAGGATAGACGAATCCTTCTACAGGTACTTTTCGGTTTATTAGACACAGTATGGTGATTATGAGTCACCTTGAGTACACGTCATCTTAAGCACGAATCATCACTGATTTTTTTTTCAGCTGAATCATCTAATCTCAACATGAGAGGGGTATTAGTTGACTGTGACATACATACCTGAGTAAACATGTCTATGTTTCTGCATAACACTAATGATGTGGATTCTAATTATCTTTTTCTTCTTCGAAGAGAACATAGTATTACAAGAGAACTACTTGTAACAGAAGCTGCTTTAATCAGAATTTTTATAAAATGGTAAAATAGTTAATAAGTTTTAATCCAAGTATTTACTTCTAAGTGCATGAGAATATGTCACAACTGGAACACTAGAATTGCTCCATAGATGGCTTAAATCTATGATGTTTCCGCAAACATTATGATTGATAAATGTATATCTGTACTTGCAACTCCATTTGCATATTTTATTTCGTTGACAATTGATCAGGATGAGACGGAAAACTGTGTCAGTAATTATCTCGACGCTAAGGAAAGCTTTAAGAGCTAGAAAAAAGATATGCAACTAAAAATAGCTTGATGAATCATCACCTAATCCGAGAGGAAAATGACCTATCTGATTCATACGTCTGCTAATCTCCGATTGTAATATATTTCTTCTAAAAACACGAGCTTGAGGAGAAAAATATTTAAATAAGCCATAGCTATACTAAGTAGATTCAATTATTTATTATTAAGCCGTACAGAGAAAGAAAGTATCCGCTAATTTGCTAATTTGTCTGAGAACAAATTGTACTATGAGAAATTGATTGCTTTCTATATGCAGGTCATACATGTGTTGCAACTTTCCAAGTTTGAAAGGAAGCTTAGGTCAGCTTCATGTACTGCGAGGTAACAAAGATCTATCAAAAGAGCTTGATGAAGCTTTACACAAATCCCATTTATTTAAATAGAAAAGCATGGGTATTTCTAAGCACTCAAGTGCTATAGTTCAACAGAAAGTCAATTCTTTAATATGCATTAGTAGCAACAGTATAAAAAAGTCTTCTTTACTTTTTTTGGAAAGAGAGACATAGAAAATGTTTTATACTGAGGGTGTCTAAATTCAAAATTTTCTAATACTCCTAGACCACATGCACCAGTTCTAACAGCATCCTGCTTATAATCGACTCTAAAATATGTGTTTTTTCTTTATATATAATTTCATGAGGATGCATCCCTTTCTCAAAGTTATAGGAATCGTAGCTTTTGAAACCAAACTTTTTATCTATTGTTATCATAAGACCTTGCTCCTTTCTAGTTCTCAAATAGCCATTTGACGTTCTCTTGGACGAAAATAGCTGATATAGGTGTCTTATATATAAGAAATAGATGGCAGTTTGAAGCATTTGAAATGTGATAGTAAAATATACGTCCTCTGTATATCTGTGATGCCTTCTATACCAGCCCCATATTAATTATGGGGGTTTGAGAACTTCACCCATGTTTTTTCTTGAGCATGATTAAAAGATTTCAGGGATACATTATCTATAAGTCTATAACAGGAAATGACATGTTCTTGACAAAAAAGAATATATCAGTATTTGATGCAAGACGTTACCGGCACCATTTTTAGCAACAGAAGTTTTTCTATAAGGTTGTGCATTTTTAAGTAATCCGAAAACGACACACAGCTGTGTGACCATCAAATTTTAATAATATTTATTGAATCTAAAAACGGTACTTTAGTATATAAACCTAAAGTCAAGCCGTTTATTACCTTGATCGGTAGTATTTTTGGTATAGTCTAACTTCTCCAGCTCACTTAAACTTTTCCATTTTCTATCTCTCTGTTTGTTCCTGTATTGGAAGTAAAACCTTGACAAAACAGCAATTCCCAAACCACCAAATGCAATTCCAATTAATTGAGTGTTTCCACGGTGATATAATGGTGCATCATCTTCTCTGTAAATATTAGAAGCAATGATACTACCCGCCTGTGAAAATATATTAACCACAGCTGCTGAAACTGCCCTTGATTTGACGGAATTTGAATTTGCTGAACACCAGCTAGTTGAGAGAGCTGTCAACGGGGGGTGACCCAACAAAACAGTCATAAGTGCAAATGATCCCCAAGCATGTTCTGGTTTCCCAGATCCTGGCCAATACCTCAAAGGAATTAAGGTAGATATACACCATAGAGCATTGACTGCCAGGAGCAAGGAACGTGAATCGATTATGTCGGAAATATACGAGAATGCGAACATGGTTACTAAACTTAAAACTGAGTTAGGTATTGTAAGTGCATTTGTTTTAAAAGTGGAAAATCCAAGCTGACGAAGTGACAATTGCAAGTACGAAGCGACAGGACCAGAACTCATTTCAATGAGGAAACGAATGAGGTAAATTGGAAATAAATCAAAATCAAACAATGCTCTACCCAATTCCTTTAAAGTAACAGGCTGTCTATTATGCATATCCCCTTTAGTTGGATCATCACGCAATACTTTATTAACCACTATCTTTTCCTCTCTATCAGTATACCAACCTTTTGGTCGATACCATGTTTTAGTTTGCACAGGTGAAGCAGGCATTAAAAACCAAGATGCTATCCCAATAAGCAAGGTGAATGCACCTTCAATAAGAAATAACCATCTCCAACCCTCACTCATGGTGGAAGTTTTAATTTTCAATAAAGCAAAAGCTAATAAACTTGAAATGATAGTTGTGGTTTGATTCGAAGCATAGAAAAATGACATCCTATTCGTATACTCTGTTGAGGTGAAAAAATAACTAATCCACAAGCAAGTGTCACAGATAAATCCACCTTCTAATAGACCAATTAATGCTCGAGTAGCATAAAAACCATGTTTTCCAGTAATAGCAGCCTGGCACATTGCGACTATACTCCATAACATCATTTGAGTGGGAATCCAGACATCTGCTCCAATTTTTTTGGAGATTAATTGAGAAGGGAGTTCTGCCGCTAGGAAGCACACCAAGTTAATTGTTTTCCCAATATTCATTTGATTAGTGGTCAAATTCAAATCATCCAAGAAATTGTCGGAAAGTGCTTGGGCAAGATTCGACCTATCAAAGTTTAAAGCAGTGAACATCATGAAAGACCAAAAAGTCACATGCCAATCATTTTTCCACGTAACCTTCCTTTCCTCTTCTTTGCTCCAAGTAAATTCAGGATCGAAATGAGATCGACACTCGTATTTGGTCGTCTCATATAAATTATAATAGTACTCAGCCACAGCTGGGTCTTGAAAGATGTTCTCATCCTTGTTTATACTCTCTAAGTCCAACAGCCCAGTTTCAATAAAAACTTTGTCTTTCTTGTCCGTCGAAGAAACACTCATTTTAGCTTAGAACAAGTGAGGTAAAAAATAAAGCTGCCAGCAGAATACTCTATTGATAGGCATGCAAATTTATATAATTTTCACATAAAACCCTTATCAGCCACAACGTATCTATTCGATTATTCCATCGTTTTTGGTTTTTAAACATAACTCTGAAGCCACCTTGATAATATTGCTATGGCTCAAAATTCAAACTCTTTTTATTTGTGGCTTAATTGTCAGTAAGCGGATAAATCATAAATCAAAGTAGTAAAAGTGTGTGCTCACTTGAGCGTTTCTCAATTTTCAGGAGTAAGTTCAATAACGCCATTTACCTCTCTGGGAATAAGTTGCATACAATTGACTCTTTTCCCCTAAAACTGTTCGTAAATTGAGATATTAACGTCATAAAACACCTGGTTAGTAGAAAAAACAGGGACTCTCTTTTTAAGATCAGTTTCAATCAGAGCCCTCGTACCACAAACAATAGATTCTTTTGTCTTATTAGTAGCAGAAAAACCACCTTGAGGTATCAGTCGCATCATCCCTTTCCTTACGGAGTAAAACTCTTTTTCTTCTTTCTAACTTATCCTATCATGTAAAGATGGACACATGCTAAAATCATAATGCTTGTTATACCTTTGCTAGCCACACCTGAGGGCTAGCTAAGGTTGTATATACAACAAAGTTGACTATTTTACATACAGGAAATAAGTGATTTTAATATGAAATCATGTAATTGTGGAACCTCGATTTTGTATATGGCTGTGAGCTAGAAATGTTTCCTTCTTATCCACGTTTAGGGATAAATGAGGTTTGTTCTTGATTTAGCAACCTATGGCGTAATAAGTCCTCGAACTTGTGTAAAAAAAAAGAGCCATTCCTTGGTATATTTTGAGGCACACTAGTGCTATAAAATGCTCTAATTTGATTTTAAAGATGGAATAAAAGACACATATAGATAAAAACGAATTAATGTCAACTACAGAGACTATATCTATTAAAGGAGAGGCCCAAGATGTGCCGAGGTATGTTATCCTTGAGAAAAACTCGTTTATAGCACCTACGAATGTATATCAAGGACCTTCTCCTTATGCAGAAAAATTCACAGAAGGTCCTTCATACCAGCCTACCAATACTTTTGTTCAACCATCGGGAATCCTTGAAGAGGAGTATGAATTCGAAGATGTCACTCCTCAAATTGGAAGAGAGTTTCCTAAAGCCCAGTTGAGAGAGATCCTTAAAGACGATGACAAGCTAAAAGAACTTGCAATAACTGTTTCACGTCGAGGAGTAGTTTTTTTTAGAGACCAGGATATCTCTCTTGAAGAACAAAAATTTTTAACTGACAAGCTTGGAAAGTTAGCAGGAAAACCAAAAACATCTGGATTACATATCCATCCTACGGCGCCAGCTGGTGGTTTTATTAAAAATGATGGTTCTGGAAAGGTCGATCCAGAAATCTCAATTATTTCTTCTAAACAGAATAAACGTTTCAAAGAAAGAAGAGGTGACAAAGAAAGAAGAGGTGACTTTTTTAAAAAAACAAGTGCCAAAGAATGGCATAGCGACATCACTTTTGAGCCAGTGCCTGCTGACTATTCAATTCTCAAAATTGTCGAACCTTTAGAGAGCGGCGGAGATACCCTCTGGGGAAGTGGATATGCCCTTTATGAGAAGCTTTCGCCATCTTTTCGGGCTTATCTCGAATCACTAACAGGGACCTACTCTCAACCAGGTTTTAAAAAATCATCTGAAGGGGTTTATGATTTGTTTTCTGATGAAAGAGGTGCCCCAGAAAATATTGGAGACGAGTTAACTGCTGTTCACCCTATTGTGAGGACAAATCCAGTAACAGGTTGGAAATCAGTTTTTGCTATTGGGAATCATTTTACATCTTTCAATGGATTAACCGAATATGAAAGTACCCTTTTAAAAGATTACCTTAATGAAACTTTATACGGCAACAACGATCTTCAAGTTAGATTTAAGTGGAATAAGAATGATGTAGCAATTTGGGACAATAGATCTGCCTATCATTCGGCTACTTTTGATTATCTCGGTGGAGATAAAGAACGCACTGGGGTAAGAACGGTAGGAATTGGAGAGCGTCCTTATCTTGCAAAGAATAGTACTAGTCGTGAAGAGGGACTCCGAAAATCTGGTCTTAAGTATTAGGCCTTATTTTTGTTCCTCTCATACTTTCAAACAAAATACGGCTACCTCTACTTACATAATCCTGTATTGTAGGATTTAGAATGTTTGTAATCACCGTAAGTTGAGTTTCTTTTTCGAGTTATGTTTATTGTAATATTGTCTAATCTGCTGAGCATTTTTATAATCATTCCGTAGAGCAGACCCCCATATAAAAAGCAAAAGCTTTCACTGCAATTAACTCCGTCATGGGTGCAATATCAAATTGCAAGAATCATTGAGACTGGTGCTGTACATATAAGAAAGCGCTATTCAAGATGATGCTATATTTCCTCATAGTGACAAGAGAGTAGTGGATTTTTGGACAATTCAGTAGCACAGCTTCCAACTAATTTATAGTAGTGGAAAGTTGAAATAAAATAATATGTGTTGGTTTTGCAAGGTAAAGCAGCACTAGTTTCTGGTGCTTTATCTTCTAAATTCCTAGATTTAAATAAGATAGGTTTATAATTTGTGTTGGTTTTTAAAAAACCATTGTGATCTTTGGCAAAATTTTTATATTAATGCTACAAAAACCGAAAAAATAAAATATGTGATTGCCAAAGCTTTCTTTCAACTCTTGAAATTAAAATCATGTCCCAATAATTAACATAGCTAAGTCGATTTTAGTTCAAATTATAATAATTTAAATATTAATATAGGGAGAATCGGCTCTCTGACTAGAAATCTGGAGGTAGTATCTTTCCACAAATACAGTTTGACTAGTGGTAGGACACATCAGAGATAAATATGAAATAAGTACCAAAGATTTTATGGATGAAATACTCAAGAAAAACCTTTTTATTACTAAGAGCCAAGATCTGGATACGTTATAGACATATCTGAGGAAAAAATAACCATGCGAACTTGTTAAGGAACATTATCTGCTGCCTGATTTCTATCTCCTGTATTCGGATTAATCATGAATGCATCTAAAAAACCAGCCTCTGTACTATTTATAAGATTTATTGGACTATCTCCAGATTTAGGACCAGTCTTAAGATCCTTCTCTGCAGAAGAAGATGGGCCTAAAAGTGATCTTGAGTGGGGTGTTAGCGAATCTTCCTGTCGGCTCGCTTCCCTGAAACCTTTTATTTTTGAATTTGAGCTGTCAAATAAAATATCCTTGAGCCCTCTAGCCTTATCCTCAAAACTTATAACGTCCCTTGCTATGTTACATGGTCTAGAGTTTTGCGACATATCTCCCAACAAGCGCGCCAATTTTTCAGCAACACATGGATAACCTGTCATCATGTCTGAACAAGTCAAACAAATAGTCAACATGTAATCCAAATAAGGAATGCATAGAAGCTGTTTCTTACTTAACTTTGTTAGTAACCTTTTTAATCCTAGTGCGCCTTCTACGTAGTAGTTATTTCGCCGTTTTTGTGAATACTTGTAGCCTTCAAGTGCAGTTTCTTCACTCAATCTCACAGCTATCACGCAGAGCGTTAAGTTGTACATCAAGTGGACAATTAGAACATCTAACGAGATATTCTGGATATCCACACTCTCATTTAACAGCCCCATCAAGAAAATAGAAGGGATTTTCTCTTTAATACTATTCAACCTTCCCTCCAAATAATCAAAAGTAATAACATTAGGTGTTAAAAATGCTTCCGTTACTCCTACGGTATCAAATTGAGATGTCACAGATAAATTTAAAACAGAGATAATCTTAACGGTCTGATCGAAGGAAGTCCCAAAATATTTGTATTCATTTGAGTTGGTTATATCTGTGACCTCTTCAAAATTTAGAAAGTTAGATCTATCCCATTCTTTCCAGTCAGAAACTTTCATGACAGAGGATCTTCCCATCCTAGCTGAAAGTAAAGTATTTAGGATAAAAGCGACTTCCCAAGTTCTTGTTCTCGACAGCTTATAAAATAATATCAGGTAAGGGTCACTTCTTTTACTAAACTCTTCTTCGCTTGGTTCCACTAGTCTTACGTCTATAGCCATTCTAGCGGCCGAAGAAGTTAATACCCAAGAGAGATCCCAATTTCCGATACAATACTCATAGTATCCAATGAGAAGCATTGTTTGAATTGTTTCAATGGTGGAATTGGCTCCATATTCTAAAACTGAAGTCGCATTAGAAGCATAAACGTTTGAGGCTGTCGTTGAGATCAGCAATTTTGTTGTTGCATCCATAATGTATCTACCATTGGAGAGTACTGCCCATGACAAAGCCACTGTATTTAAAACTGCGTCCTTTTGGCTTACTTGTATCTTTTTGTTGAATACTTTTTCTATAAAACTCATCATCAAATCTTTTTCTAACATAGGAAATAAAGGATTGATAAATTGAAAATATGCGTCAACTAAAATTTTATATTCTTCTGGGAAGGAATACAAGCTCGAAGATATGTCTGGAGGCTTTTGTGATTTATGGATACGAAAAATTGAACTAACTCGAAAAGGAGCTAAGAATTTGGAAGGTGATTGAGCCATATATCTTTGGACAGCTGCTCTAGAGAAACCTGATACGATAAATGAATCACCTTGATACCTCAAATATTCTGTTGACCATTCTTCTTCTTTAAAGTAGTCATAAGGGCTTCCCGAATCGGATGATCGCAAAGCACTAGCGTGCTGATGCGTCTCTGTTGACCTATCTAAAAGAGCAACACGTTCACATATCTGGCTATGAGACCACATTTTTTGTAAAGTAGTTCGGTTTCGGAGAAACCGAGCCCTCTCTTCTCCCTCTGTAGAAATAACATGTAATTTTCGCTCAACATTCAAGGAATCTTTACCTGTCGTGATAAGGTATCCTAGAATACCCTCGTATAGCTGCAACTTCTTCTCGAGTTCCTGTAAGCGCCCTGTAGGTAGCCCTCTTTTCTTAATTGGAGGATATGTACACTTTGTTCCCTCCTTTCTGCAGCTTGAACAAGTTGGTTGAGCACCGTCACATTTGCTCTTTTTACTGCGGCAAAAATAGCAAGCTTGTCTTACCCTTTTTCTTTTGAAAGGTATTTGTACATCCATTTCAGTGAGTTAACTCTCATCCGTCATATTTGTGCCAAATTCTAGAGATAATTTAAAAAAACAACCGTGGAAAAATATTTTAAAGAAATAGCGTATCATTCCCCACATGGAATCGAATCGTAACATCTGGAACCTATGTCACCGATTGCCAGAAGTTACAAAATATCTTCCACATTTTAGTTGATTCATCTAATTTTATGACTACCATGGGGAATAATAAGAGATTCGAATACATACGATCACTTAAGGGCTTTGCTTAAAAGATACCATGCATTTTGAATTGAGCAGATAATCACAATAGAAAACTTGGAAATATATGCAGTAGACTTATTCTTATCTCAAATATTTCCGCACCAGGAAGGCGCATAGGCTATCTAAAATATATTGACATAATTATAAGATTCTATGGAACATAGGTACTTTCCCAAAGGTAGATGATAATTGCTAAACTTTGAATATAAGAGCTCAAAAAATTCTCGAAGTTATATCACCAAAGAATCCTTTTTACACAAGTTGAAATTAAATTGGATGAGCATATACAGGTATATCCCCACATTTCCGACGTATTTCTAGCGAAATCTTAAATTGGTCGAACTTTGGCTAAAATTTTGACTTAAGATTGACCATGATTGGAGCTTTAAATGTTTTTGATTAAAAATATGTATAAACTGTATATTTTTTTGAAAAAATGGATTAAATTACTTATACTTAAAATTAATCTATATATAGTCCACCATTGACATGAAGGTGAACACCATTGATCCAACTTGCTCTATCCTCGGCCAAACATGCTACAGCATAAGCAATCTCTTCAGGCTCTCCCATTCTTGCAGCTACTGGGATCAGCTCAATTGTAGGTTGTAAAATTTTCATCGCTTCTTCCCCAGCTTCCATGAATCCTTTGGTTTTGGTAGGACCGGGCGAAACCGCATTGACAGTGCAAGAATATTTCTTCGGAAGCTCTTTGGCCCAAACTTTAGTAAAGGAATCTACCATACCTTTTGTCCCAGCATAAATGGTCTGAAAAGGAGGTGGTCCTCTCGAAGAAGCTGAACAAATGTTAATAATTCTAGATTGCTTTGCTAGATGGGGTAATACTGCCTGTGTTGATAAGAAAGTTCCTCGGCCATTTAAGTTCACAATTAAATCCCAATCGTCTAACGTATGCTCTTCAAGAGATTTATTAATAGCTAATGCAGCATTATTTACCAAAATATGAATCTCACCGAAGTTTTCCACTGCCTTTTTAATTAACTCCTTTGGACCCTCAATAGAACACAAGTTGGCCTCTACAATGATACCCCTAATGTTATCACAGTCCTCAAGAATAAGTTGCAACGCATTTTCAGCTTCGTCCTTCACACTTGGATAGGGATAATTAATAACGATGTTAGCACCCCGCCCAGCTAGCTCATATGCGATTGCTGCTCCTATGCCTGTAGAGGAGCCGGTAATCACCGCTGTTTTTCCTTTCAAGGTATTATTATATTCGTTTGCCATCTCAGTCGTAGATGTCTTGGTGAATACGGATAATAAAACTTCACTATGTATGCCATTTGAGCATATCTATATACATTTTTGACGTTCCAGTAGTTTCGGAATTCAATTTTCCCCACAACGGCTGATTGCTTGCGGGTATTTATCGCACGAATACCCCAGATTCTTTCAGTTAGTGCAGACAATCTGTGAGAGAACTATTTAAAAAACTGGGCTAATGTTTAACCCTACAGTAGAAACCAAGATTCCTCAAATTGTCCCATAGGAACTAGAGCCTTTAAACGTTATTACTCAAGGTTTATAACAATTTTCTAACTGGAACCAAGTACTACGCGACCATGGATCATGGAACAGCGGAGAGAGGGGACATCTGATTCCTGCATATGTAATTAGCTTTTAAAGACGCTACTTTCTCCACTGTCGGAAAGTTTAAGGTAAACGTCATGACTAAGTCAAACAAAGAGTTCACCTGCTCGACTTGTGAGAAGTATTTCACCAGAAAGGAACATCTAGAACGTCATATACGATCACATAAGCATGAGAAGCCATTTATTTGTAACACTTGTGGAAAAGGTTTTGGAAGAAAGGATCTTTTGAATAGACATATAAAGGCTGATATATGTGGTAAAGAAAATTTGGAATCTAGTGAACAAACAAAAGAAAATGGGGGTTTCAAAAGAAAGAGAGCACCAAGGTGCCAGTCTGCTTGCCAGTCATGTATTGTATCTAAGTGTCGATGTGTGAAATCTAATGGGGAGAATAGTGCCTGCGACCGGTGCTTAAAAAGAAACACACCTTGCAACGACAAACCAAAGCAAATAGGCGACCAAGGCGATAGTCCAAACATAGATAGAGACACTTTCGATTTTGAATTACAAAACGAGACAGTAATAGACAACACGCAGCAGACACAGACCCACGCAGCTGCAAAAAGCACGGGCCATGGACACAGTGCTACAAGCACAGAAAACGACGTCGTGAGGTCATTTCTGGAACGGAATGATTTGTATAAAGAGGGACCATCACCTCTTTCAATCAGTGCCATGCTTTCTCCAATGGAGGCAGGTTTTTCAAGAGGAAGATCTCCTTATAAGGCTGGTGGAGCCTTGTCGAGAATATCAAATGAAAAACAATTACGATTTGAGCAAAATTTGCTGAGTAAAGAGGTTGAAAATTCAAACGATGGTGAACAAGAATCACTACAAGAGAACATTGTGGAAAATGAGAATCAAGGAAAGTCTAATAGCACCAACCCATTTGCTTTAATATCCGAATCACCAATGCAACTGTCTTCTTCATCTACTTCAAAGTCCTCAAAGAATAAAGAATTCTCTAATACTGAAACTTTAGAGTCAGTGTCTTCAAGGGAATTATCAGGTAACAAAAATACTTCCATGCCTCTTCCAGGAAACGACGTAATGACCCAAGTAGGGTTTCAGTCTGATATGGAACCTCTCAATATATCTGATGCTTTTTCGTACTTCCGTTCTCTACCTGCAACGGTAGGCTTAGAAAATGATTTGGAGTTAGTAAATAAGTTCAATTTTGATGGTGCTCTGAACTCAATCCGTGACATTTTACATGCGGCAGATGAAGAAAGCGACTCAATATCTGATGTATTGGACAGCTGGATTTGTAATCAACAGACTAACTGCTACGATAATAATAAATTCGAGAAATTTTTCAATTATGACAATCTTGATTTCAATACTTCTAATCAGTCAGCAAGCCCTCTATCAGAAAATTATATCAGCTCAAGAGATTTGACAGGAAATATTGGCTCTACTCATCTGTCTGAAAGAAGAGACTCGCGTTCAAGTGCATTTGTAGGGACTTCGTTTGTCTGGCGCTCACCCGGTGCAGATAGCTCTTCAAAAGATGTGAGACCTTTCGTTGACTTGAAGACGAAAAATCTTTCTTTCATAGATAAATCAATTGACAAGAAATCAGAAGAATTCAAAAAGTTTCAAATTTTGCCCAAAACAAGAGACTCTATTTTGATAACTTTAAGTGAAACTCACCATGCTCAGTTTTGGGGTGATAGCGCAAACGTGAACCTTCCTTCATTTGAAGAGCTAACATTGTTTGTAATTAGCTATTTCAAGCTTTTTCATGCGCGATATCAGATTATCCATTTACCTAGTTTTGATCCCAACAAAGTATCCAATGTCCTATTAATCTCTATTTTGGGTGCTGGAGCATTCTTTTATGGAATTGAGAATGATGCCTTGAAAAGAATTGGTAGGTACTTTTTTGAAATATCTAGAAGAAGGTTAATACTAGAATTTGAAGAAAATAATACAAATATCAGGAACCTTGAACTTCATCAAGCAAACCTTATAAATTATATAGCTGGATCTTGGTCCGGTATTGATAGAAACGTAGAAGTGTCAGAAAGCTTCACTTCGACTATTGCTACCATGGTTAGACGAGGAGATCTTTTCAAGAGATACCAGTATAAAACGCTACAAGAAATAATTGAGGATCCTGAACTTGCTTCAACGGAACAAAAGTGGAAAACGTGGATTCAAATGGAATCTAAAAAGTTATTAGTATACGTGATGTTCTACTGGTGTTCCCAGTTTTCCTTAATTACTAATATCCCATATTTTATCAATTACATAGAGCTAGAACTACCCCTTCCGCATATGGAGCCATTATGGAGATCTTCTGATGCCAACGAATGGCTAAGATTGGTTAACATCATTAAAAATCAGAGCCCTCAGCATTATTCGAACAATATGTCATTCCAACTGCTTATTGGATCGATTCTATCTTCAAGACAGCTTCCGTCTCAGTCGTTATCACCAAAATTCATATCTGATGTCATTATAGGGAACTTGATTGCCACAATTAAGCATTTCATATCAGGGCACAATGATAGACTAGCATTTACTAATCACATCCCAGGTATTGCAGATATAAAAAAAAGAAAGCGTCACTCCTTATCTCTCGATGCTACTTTTCATCTTTCATATCTTGTTAATAGGAAAGCCGAAATTGAAAATATGTTGGAGTCGATGGAAAGCCTCGTTTCCAACCAGGGATTGGCCAACCAGGTTTTATACAAGTTGGAAATTGAATATTCTTATATTTGTCTTTATGCATCGATAAAGGATTGCATGAAATTAGCAGGAGTCGATGACGAAATTGAATCGCGACAAGTGATTCCTAGGCTACTTCAATGGTATAAAAAAGATAGCTCAAGGATTGCAATTTGGCACTGTGCCCAGATACTCAAGTTGGCAAAAACCGCTACGGCCAACCATATATGTAAGTATTTTTATTATCTGGGGAGCTTAATGATAAAAACTAACAAAAAACAGTCATTCCGTACTTACCATTTTTGATTTTTCATTCGAGTTTGATCCTTTGGACGTATGGTTTGCTAATTAATATAACTTGCAAATTTGACCAAAAAAAGGTTATTAGTAATTTTCCTGGCGATCCTGATGGCTCAGTTGTAGTATTATCCAATGAATGGACCTCAACGACCGACCGATTTGTTCAGTCGAATGATTTGATTCCATGTTTAAAAATTCCAAAAGATGTTGATAATTCTGGTGGGGATGATAAGGGTCTTGTATTCCTTAGTGCCCCAGAGTCAATTATGGATTTATCAATACAAATTAATAAATGTATTGCATGGGGCGGTTATTTAACGAATGATATTTCCAGTTTGCTTCAAAGTTTAAGCAACTGTTCGAGAGACATTATATCAACCTAATACAGATTATTTAAAAAATATATCTATATACTGATATCACTCGTTTTTGGGAACGCCTTCGATGTGACCAAGATCTTCTTTCAAAGATTGTCCATTGACAACTAAAGGCTTGGCAGAAACTAAAACGTAAATCATTCTAGCGTAATCAGTCAGACTTGTATTTTTCCAAGCATGCATTGTTCCTCTTTGTACTAGCACATCATCTTTGTTCAAAAGGACTGATTCACCAGAGTCCATAATTGCTTCTACCTGCCCTTGCAACACAATACCGTAATCAACTGAAGATGTGCGATGCATGGGAGAAATGGATCCAGGAGCCATATCTACTACTCTTAAAACTGTTCCACCAGGCATGGTGACTGAAATACCTTCATTCAAAGATTTTTTGTAAAACTCTATGTCATTAGCTTGGTCAATATTAACTGGGAACCCCTTCGTAGTATATAACAAACTAAATTGACCAGAATGCTCCTTGGTTGATTTATCTGCAACGTCCGTCCATTTGGGCTCTGGCTCAACAGTGGTATTAATTATTGAGCAACCTTTAGCATCGAACCCTGTGATATACCTCTTTGGAGGCGTGAGGTTATGTGAGTTATGTTTGACAAAATTAGGCATCCTTATATCTATATGTACCGTCTGTTGGACTTAAAGACTATATAATTTTTTCAACAGGTTTTCCCGTGAACTGAGAATACGAAGAAAATATGGAATTTGCGTCCATTTATGCTCACTTTTAAATTCGTTATTATCGGAAATGTGGGGAAGCATGGGTAATATTAAGATATTAATATGGGCATAAAAGCGCATAAATATCACATAGAAATACTCTAACTTTGCTTTTCAGAAAATAAATTATTAGACTCCTAAAAATGGTTTCTTCTTTACCTAAAACAATGAAAGCTGTCACTTTTTTCGGCGCTCATGATATACGTGTGATTGACAAACCAGTTCCAGTTATCGAGGAAACCACTGATGCTATAATCAAAATTCATTCTACTGCTTTATGTGGATCAGAGCTTCATCCTTATAGAGGAGCAATAATTCCACCTAGCACCGGCCACACTATGGGCCACGAGTTTACAGGAGTTATTGTGGAAGTTGGATCCGATGTCAAAAATTTTGAAACCGGTGATGAAGTTGTCTCAATTTTCACCACCCAGTGCGGCAAGTGCTTCTACTGTACACATGGTGTTTCAAGCAAATGTCCTCAGGCATTTGTTTTTGGTACTGTTGGGCATGACGGAGGACAAGCTGAATACTGTAGAATCCCTTTAGCCGACACCACTTTGAAGCTCAAGCCGAAAGGAATCGATGATTCTATAGTAATTCTTATGGCGGATATCTTTCCCACGGGATACTTCGGTGTCAAGAATTTGCTAGAGAAAATTCCGGAAGATCAAATTTCGTCATCAGTAGTTGTCCAGCTAGGTTGCGGACCAGTTGGTCTCTGTGCTATTGCAGCTGCAAAAGAGAAAGGGATCCGTACTTTGTATGCCATAGAAAGTGTGCCCGAGAGGCTCGAGTTAGCTGAGAAGTTTGGTGCAATTCCTCTCAATTTAGAGAAGGATAACATCGAAGAAATTATCAACAAAGCCACTGAAAATAGAGGTGCAGATGGTGTGCTTGAGGTAGTTGGAAGTGAAGATGCTTTAGCTCTCGGCTTTAAATTAGTTAGAAACGGTGGTGTGATAAGCTCAATTGGATATCAGCATGGAAAGATACCATTCTCGGGCCTTGACTGTTATCTTAAAAATGTAACTCTTCAATTCGGAAGATGTCCTTGTTATTCCTTATTTCAGGAAGCAATTGAATCCTTTACTAAGGTCGCTCATTTATTCAAAGGATTTGTCGACTTGAATCTACCATTGTCGGAAGCTCCGAAGGCTTATAAGCTTTTCGAGAAGCATGGGGCTCGAAAAATCGTTTTTAAACCAAGTTTGTCTTCTGAGAAGATCAATGGCTCTTCTTCATTATGTTCCTGATATAGTAAATATATGATCAATTTTTAACACTGATTACATAGGAGGTAGCAAAAAAAAAAAGTAGTCCATTCGATTACTCACTTATTCCGAGTGGGGAACCATGGGGAAATTCGCAGCCATACATAAGATATATAAAACTACCATTGAGGCCCCATTGATTTTTAATGGAAGTAAGTATACATTTACTACAAATATGGTGGTGAAGAGAGATCCTTTGAAAATTTTAATTTGTGGCGCTGGCATAGGCGGATTATCGGCTGCAATAACTTTTAGACTCCAAGGTCATGACGTTGAAATGTTTGAACAGTCCCGATTTGCTTGCGAAATTGGTGCCGCTATTCATTTACCCCCAAATGCCTACGGTATGTTAAAGCACTTGGATGTCCCAATAAAACAACTTGGAGGAAACCTTTGTGAATATATAACCGAACTCGATCCACAAGGAGAAGTTTTGATGCAAGTGAGCACTAGCAAATTGTTGAAAGAATATCCATATCCATGGCATCTAGTGCACAGAGCTGATCTTCACTCTGCTTTGAAAACTAAGGCAACCTCGGAAGACGGCATTGGAAAACCTGTTAAGATCAACCTTTCTTCCAAAGTGGAGAAAGTTGATAGCGAAGAAGGTCTCGTGATTTTGGAGTCCGGAAAAGTTTTCAAGGGTGATTTGGTTGTGGGTGCTGATGGCATTCATTCTCTTATACGTGATATTGTCACTGGAACTAGTAATCCTGCTACCGCGTCTGGTTTTAGTGCTTTTAGATTCTTGATTCCTCGGGAAACCGCCAAGGCAATAAAAGGTTTCGAAAACTTTTTAAAACATGACGGTAATGTTCAAATTTGGCTCGGAGAAGATAGAAGAATTGTGATATACCCTTGCAGAAATAATACTACCTTGAACTTCGTGTGTATTCATCCTGATTCCGCAAATTCGGGATCTGCAGAAGGGTGGGCTAATCTGGGTACAAAGGAAGATTTGCTTTCTTGTTATAAGGATTTCTTTCCTCCTCTTGTTGAATTGTTAGGCCATGCTACCGATATAAAGCTTTGGAAACTACTTGAACGGCCAACCATAACAAGTTGGACCAAGGGAAGAGTTGCTTTGCTAGGGGATGCAGCGCATTCCTTTTTGCCCCATCAAGGACAAGGTGGAGCCCAGGCTATAGAGGATGGGGTCGCATTGGGAACTGTATTTCCTTTGGGAATTCCTCCTGAAGACATTAAGGAACACTTGAAAATATACGAAGAAGCAAGGGTAAGCAGAGCAACGACAATTCAACAATTCACTAGGGTGCAAGCTCTTATGCCAAAGGATGGCAAGCAGTTAAATTCCACTCAATTTTCACATTTCAATTGGAGCCATGACGCTTACTTTCACTCTCGTAAGTTGTTAGCGAGATTTCTTGAGAATAAGGTTTTCAAAAGGATGCCTATTGGCTGGGGTCCATTGCAAGGCCCAAGACAAGACTATTTAGGAAAACCTATTGATGGAAGTGGCTCTTTCCTAAGAACAGGAGCTATCAGAATCAAGACAACTAAATCTTATCTAGAGCATTTGCTTCCTAATGATAAATTTTCCATTGACGTACCAGGAGAAATCGCTTATATTACTTTTAGTAATACCTGGACCGATAACATCGAATGGCTCAGTGGGCATGATTACTCCCATTTTGACTTTTATTTAGAGAACGTTGTATACACTAGCGACTCGGGTAAGAAGACTTGCGGAAGATTTTTACCATTATTATTAGAGGGTAGAACAGAACCAACATTGAGCGGAAGGGAAGAACTTGGAATGCCAAAAATCTTTACCTCCTTGACTGAGTCTTTTGATATGGAGAATGGCTACACTTTAAGTGCCTCCTGGGAGGGATCAACTTTTCTAGAAATGAAAATTAAACTGCCAAAGAAGGTATTGGATCCACCAAAGAAACCAAATCTACAGGGAACGATGGAGTGGAGATGCATCCCCAGGCCTGGGGGTAAAGGAAAAACAGATGCTGAGTATGCGACATATACTCCTGAGCCGGTGGGTGGAGCTGAATTTATCTTGAAAGAAGAGTATGAAGGAATTCCCGATTTATCATTTCTAGTAGAAAATATCACACCTGAAAAGCTTCCATGTCACTACAATGTGGCCAGAAGACTAAGCGAAATTCCAATCCTTGAATTACAGAGAGGAAAAGTGTTGATTGGTTCTGGGCTACCAGACCTCTCCAACCAATGTGTTTTAGGTCTATAGAACCTCATATCTTCCCTGTTCAGTATATAACTTTATTATCATTTACCCCTCTATATACTTTCAGCCTTGGTCAATATCATGTTGTTTTCTTACTTTTTCTCCATCTCTGCTGTAAATATTCGATCTACTGTTGAAGTTTTTGTTCCGGCATGTGGGGTATGGAGATCTTCGCTAAATTGTTTAAGCTCACTTAATTAATATTTGGTCACCCCACAGTTCAGCCACCGGAGAATTATGGGGTGAAAGAAGAAAGCGATTTGGAAAATGACTCTATATCAATGAGCTAAACGTACCAGAAATTTGAGTAAATGAAGCTATAAGCAATATACTTACTCTATTCAAGGATCGAAGATGAGTGAGCAAAGCTCATTACATTCTAGCAGAAGCGAGGTGCCAGGCACACTCGAATTAGCAGTTACAGACTACACCGATGAATTCAGACCCAGAAAGGAATCACTTGGGCTTGTACAGCTTTTCCACCCGGATACCAAAGAACGTATGCTCGTACCTGAACCCTCTGTTCACCCAGATGACCCACTTACTTGGTCCAGAGCCCATAAATACTATATCACCATATTGGTGTCATTTACTATGCTTTTAGCTAATCTTCTTTCTGGTGGTCCTTCTATAGCAATTGTTATGATGGCAGAGACATTTGGTGAGCAGGCAGATGGTCCCAATTATAACATTCAGGATTGGATCTCTAAGACTGCCTACTGTTTTACAACTACTGCATTGTTACAAGGTACATCAAACTTCTTTTGGGTTCCATTAATGACCAAGTATGGAAAAAGGCCCATTTATGTCAGTATTGCGGTGGGATATTTTGCGTTTGCTCTCGGATGTGGGTTTGTGAATACATGGGAATCCTATTTAGCTTGCAGAATAATGCTAGGCTTTTTTTCAGGTGGAAATGAGGTCCTAGGCCCTTTGACGATCTCAGATGTATTCTTCATTCACGAACGTGGTACCCAAATGGCCATATATACATGTGCTTTGTCAGCAGGGATTGCAATCGGGATGATAATTTCTGGACTTATAGTTATCTCTCATAGTTGGAGATATATATACTATGTCGGTGCAGCTTTAATTGGCTTTTGCGGAATCTTAATTTTTTTCACCTTGCCTGAAACAACATTTATTCGTGACCCTAAGTTTTTGGTTTCTGAAGTCGAAAAGATGAAAAAGCAGCATGGTCTGCAAGCGAGTAAATCGTCAGTAAGCTACGTGGAAGAAAAAGGAAGCGTGGAATCTGAAATTGACTTTGTTGTACCAAAAAAGACCTCCTATTGGTCTTCTCTTAATATCTATAGTGGAAAGATATATACCGATGAATCCTTGTGGAAGATTTTTATTCGTCCAATCGGTCTAATTTTCCTTCCACCTGTTCTTTGGGCCTCATTAATCATGTCAGCTACAATTGGATTTTTAGTTGCCGTGACATCTAATGTTGCTAATGCTTTCGAGACAGCATATAACTTCCAGCCTTGGCAAGGGGGTTTATGTTTTATCGGGGCATTGATTGGCTCTCTTTTGGGTATCTTCGCCGGTGGTACTATTAATGATTGGTGCTCGGACTTTATGACGAAGAGAAATAAAGGTGTTAAGGTACCAGAGATGAGACTACCTACAATAATCATAGGCGGTGTATTAGCACCCGTGGCTCTTGTTCTTTATGGTGTAGGTATTGGAGAACATTATCATTGGATGATGCCTACAATTGGATTAAGTCTTCTTAATTTTGCGTTGACTCAAGCTACAAACGTTTCATTGGTGTACACAATTGACTGTTATAGACCCATAGTGGGGGAAATTACCGTTACTCAATTGGCATTCAAGTCCTTGTTTGGGTTTTTATTGAGTTTCTACACTAATCCATGGGTAAATAATTATGGTTATTCCAAAGCGTACGGCGAAATGGCAGCCATATCTGGAATTTTATTCTTGCTTACAATTCCACTCTACTTTTGGGGTAAGAGAATAAGAGAATGGACTCACGAATGGAAGCTTTTGAGCTTTGTTCATTGGGATATTGATCGTGAAGTTGGTGAGTAGTAAATATATTGCTAAATAATTAGGAAAGTAGAATCTGTTTTAAATAATTATGAGAATGAAACATAAAATCGATAATTTAGCAACAAGTATTAATGTTGTGATATTTTCCTGGAGAAAGATCAAAGGGAAATATCTATTTTGCAACTAAAGATAAGAGTCTACAATAATTTTTAAAACTGCATATATCAAGTATATGTACCTTTTTCTAAGCTAACATTGAAGAGATAATAATTCTAAAAAGTACTGTATCTTATTTATTCATTTCCAGGGATGACTGGAAGTACTATATAATTTTGGAACAGCGGACGGAAATGAAGTCTGTTTGTTTTTCCAAGCTTTTCAAAATTTCTGTCCTTTGGGTGATTATGCTGGAATCTGTCACACCCTTGCGTGTCACCTCCAGAAACCTCGAGGACTAGTTTATTTCCTTTTTCAAGTACTACGTTTGTTGGCCAAATTTCTATAGTAACTGTGTATACATTGTTTGGTTCGACTTCCTGTTTGTCTTCTTTATAATAAGTTCTGTAAGGGAGATATGGCCTGTGCCAAGGATGATCTTCATTTATCTTTCTATGAGATACTCTTAAATAGCCCTTACATAAGGGAACTGGATCACCAGCAGTACCGGTGTAAAATACCTCTTTTCCTTTTGAATCAAGATGACGCAAAGTAACAAAAATATCAATTTCTGATGGGGTAACTTTTTCGTCGTCGACAGACACGTTTAACTGAGCTGTAATATGTCCTGTGATTTCTGTTTCCTTTTCGAAGGGATCCGTAGTAAAATTGATAGCATCCTGGTCATCGAGAGTAGTATTTGCTCTGTATGTCAACGACGAGCTGTTTTGGTTAAGAGGTTCTGAAGAGGTCAAAGCACCATCACTAGTCAAGTAATATCTAGTGTATTTTGTTCTCTCAAGAGGCCATTCCTTTTCAATTCGAGTCTGAAATGTGGCTTCTCCTTCCGGATTATTAAAACCTACATTTCCCTTTCTTAAAAGAATCTCAACTTTGGGAACTTTTCCTTCTGACCAACCATCTCTATCGTCGTCCTTCAAAAAAGCATCAAGAAACGACTTTTGAAGATTCACATACTGTTTATAATAGAAAGGTAAATCGTGCCTACCTACTATTGTTCGAAGAAATTTCAATTTAGAACCCGCGTGATTGAACCCTTCAAAGTTTCCTCTAAGATGAAGCATGATTCCTCCCCAATTAGCTACACTAAGAACTGGGACTTGAATATCTTCTAACTTGAATTCTTTAGAAGAATAATATTCTTCATCCCGATTCTCAAATTGGGCAGTATCGACGGTCTGATCCCTTCGATTTGAAATAAGTTCCTGATCAGTTAAATCCCCTTCAATGGTGTCTTCTCCCCAATTTCTCGCTGCCCTACCCGGCAAGCCGTACTGATTACTCAAAACTTGTCTATTCCACCAGAAAGAAATGAATCCGTTTGAGAGAATGCCTCCATGACGGACTCTATCCCTATAATAATCTGACATACCTTCCCAAGGTACGATCGCTTTCAAGCCTCGAGGACGTCTGGCTGCAACTCTCCACTGGCTACCCCCAAAATAGCTGATGCCCAAGAGCCCAACATTCCCAGAGCTCCAATTTTGTTCTGAAGCCCATTCGATCACATCATAAAAGGCGTCACTTGTACCCCGAGACATTGTATCCAATAACCCCGGAGACTGACCTGTGCCTCTCTCATCAACTCTGACTACTACATATCCTTGCTTAGTCCAAAAAGTTGGCGACGGAACCTCCCAGGCAGCATGATCTGAGTGCTGTTCAATGTCTACCTCTGCATAAGACTTGGGGTGAAAGTCTTCATAATGGATGTCTTTTCCATAGGGCCCATAAGTGACCAAAACCGGATACTTTCCGTCTTTCTTAGGTCGATAAATGTTGGCTCTTACGAGACTTCCACCACTAGTATCAGTTTTTAACGGTATGTCTACGTTTTTCTCAAAAATATATGGAAATGACGTAGTGTCAACAGTTTTAATATTCCTTATCTTATTGGGCATGTTCCTTTAGAGTGTTTTTACAAAGAATTAAGTTTTGCATCTTGCAGTAGAGAGAAAATGAAGTCTACTTATATCAATAGTTGTATCCGATGTGGGGATTGGTCGTTGCACCTCCTTATTATGACTCTAAATCAAAGCATGCTGTTCAAAATTTAAGCAAGCTCTTGATTTGGAACTACTTAAGTTTAAAGCAAGTGGCCTTCTCTATTTTCGAAGAGATTAATACATGATATATAATAACAGATGGCAATTTTCTCATACATTAAACTACTTACAAAATTAATCACTAAAGTGGATCCTCTACAGAAACCTTATACCTAAACCAATTTTCGTTAATTTTTTCCCCAGTAGCTCTCCAGGCACGATTAGCAAACTTATTTGTTAGTACGCTTTGAGCATCATATGATGGAAAGTTTATCATGAGATTTTACTTACATAAATGACAGAAACTCCACGAAACATTACGTAAATGAAAGTATTGAAAACAAATCCAGTTGCATTATTTGGCCTTAAAGACATATCCACTACTCCTGCAATCGGATTTGGAGGGTTTCCCCTACCATAGTTCCAGCCTTGGACGTTTGCAGCCTCCATACGGTTTGGATCAGAGGGAAGACCATAATCCTGAGCTAATTTGAATACCTCGCGATTTGGTCTTTCTCGTGTATCTGTTCTTAAAAGTAAGCCAGCTTGACTGGAGTTTGAAGTTTCTGTGATTGTTGTCATGGTTGCAAAATAATTAATCTTCTGTGCGAAAAGAATTTTACATTATGGTAAAAGCAGTCTTTTTATTTGGTGAATTCGGAAATGTGGGGAATTGGAGATCACTCCGCACTTCCAAGCTACTATGAATATCGTTTTTCACTATTCAAAGAGGCTAAATATCGAAGACTATAATACTGGGGCTTCATTGAAAACCTCTTGTAGCTCTATATCGTTATTGTTCGCTTCCTTCGATGAATCTTTCAAGTAGCCGCAGAATCTCCTTTCAGGATCGTACTTAAGTCTTAAATTATTAAGCTTTGAGTGTTGCTCTCGTGCCCAGAACCGAGTCTTTCTAGTTTCAAAGTCAGAGTCTCCTAGGTAAGCACCTCTACTGTGTTTTTCTAGGACTCTGAAATTTCTTGTCAACCAATTCGAAATAACTGTATCGTCTTTCTGATTATCCCAAACAGAATAAATGGCAACATAATGTTCTGTCTGCATTGAAAGAGCCATGTCCTCCAACTTTGTTAAAGGATCCATTGAAAAGTAGAGACAAAACGTCTTCCGGTTTGGAATTGATGTAAAAGAAGGCTCTAAAACTTTGGCGACATCCACATTAGATCTGAGATAAACATTGTCTGTTTTATATCTATGTCCCTGAGGGTTTGCTCTATCCTGAACCTCGTATTCATCGACTAACGACGTTTTCTTTCCAAAAGATTCAAACAATGCACCCGAGACTTTTGAACTTTCAAACTTATTCAACTCTCTAATGCAATCTTCAAAAGTCTCTTTGAATGCAACAATATGGACCGTTATAACTGGAACATTTGAATCCTCTGGGATCGATGTAACTAGAACTGTCTCCACATCCTTGTCGGTTTTAGGTGAGGTCTGCACAACCCAGTTCATAGTTTCCTTAAATTTTGAAATTGGGTAAACATACGTTGCTGAATAAACAGTCTTTTCCGGAACAGTTTCAAGTTCAAATGAAATAACAACTCCTGGAAATCCTGGTCCACAACCCCTTGCTACCCAGAATAGTTCAGAGTTCTCTGTTCTGCTACAAGTGACCAATTTTCCTTCGTGAGTTACAGCTCTAAGCGATCTTATTTTTTGGCAAGCCCAACCCCATCCTCTGCAGCACCATCCCATTCCTCCTTGAAGTAGAAAACCTCCAATTCCAACGTCTGGACAATGGCCACCAGGAAAAAAACGTTGCTTTTCATTTAACAAATAGGTATTCAACATTCTTCCATGGACTGAAGTAGTTGCGATTACAGTTTTTGTGTCGTCATTGAATTCAATCTTCTTAAAATCGCCAAAATCAATCATTATTGCTTGATCTCTGACTCCCCAAGCAGCCCAACTATGTCCCCCTGATATTACTGATACTTTGACATTTAAAATGTTAGCTAATTTGACCGTATTTACGACATCTTCCTCTTTTTGAATTTTCACAATAGCTATTGGAAACCTTTCAGGTCTTCTAAGGTTGAACACTCTTCGGTAAGCATGATCTTTAAAGTCTTTATCATCATTCCAAATAATGGGAATCTGGTTACTTATTTGTTTTGCTTCTAAATTAATTGTTTCTGAGTTGATCTGTGACATTATTGATATATTTGGCGAGACATTCCTAGAAATTCCTTTTGTCTATTTTATTATATATGATCATATTACGCTTCCGATATGTGGGGATTTTCCGAAACACAGGTGGGGTTATTTGATATCGGAAGACAATCGTTAGTTGAGTTTTATTCTTAACGTTAATAATTGAATAGACTAAGAACTTGGTATTTAATGTGTTTATTCAAATTGATCAAATTGTATTAAAAAATTTACTAGATTCCTACTGTAACAGCCTTCACTACTAAATATTCATCTATACCATATTTAGAGCCTTCTCTACCAAATCCACTTTCTTTTACTCCACCAAAGGGTAAAGCACTGTCGGAAATTACTCCGACATTTACTCCTACCATACCAACTTCGAGAGCCTCTGCCACACGGTAGGCACGGCTAACATCGCGTGTATAGAAATAGCCTGCGAGACCCACGTCAGTATCATTAGCTTTGTTTATTACTTCTGCATCATCATTGAACCTGATAATTGGTGCTACAGGACCAAATGTTTCTTCTTTTGTGCAGAGCATTTCCGTGGTAACTTCTGTCAAAACAGTAGGAGAATAATAGTTGGATCCAAATTGCGATAAAGCTTGTCCACCTATCAAAATTTTGGCTCCTTTACTTGCAGCGTCGCTAACATGCATATCAACTTTTTCGAGCGCTGCTTGGTGAATCAAAGGACCATGAGTGACATTACTATCAAGACCGTACCCTACATTAAACTTCTTGACATATGCTACCAATTTCTCCACAAAATCGTCATATACAGATTGATGTACGAAAATTCTGTTAGCGCAAACACAAGTTTGTCCACTAACCCTGAATTTGCTAGCAATTAGACCTTCGATAGCACAATCTAAATCCGCATCGCCAAAAACGATAAACGGAGCATTTCCTCCCAACTCTAAGGACAATTTTTTTAAGGATGAAGAACACTGTTCCATGAGAGTTTTTCCTGTTGCAGTCGACCCGGTAAAAGAAAGCTTTTTTATTAACTTATTTTTACAAAGTTCCAAGCCAACTTTTCTGGTATTCCATTGGGTAGTTACAACATTGACAACACCACTAGGAACACCGGCTAGTTCTGCTAGATGGGCAAGAGCTAAAGCAGTTAGTGGGGTCTCAGCTCCTGGCTTGATTATTACAGAGCATCCGGCTGCAATAGCAGCTCCAATCTTTCTGGTGATCATTGCCGCAGGAAAATTCCATGGGGTAATGAAAGCACATACACCAATTGGCTGTCTTATTGTGTAAGTACGGTTTGAAGGATTCAGAGTAGAGATCGTATCCCCATATATTCTTGGAGCTTCTTCTGCATACCATTCTAAATATGAGGCTGCGTACTTTACCTCTCCTAAAGAGTCTGAAAAGGCTTTTCCATTTTCTAAGCTTATCAATTTAGCTAGATCATCCAAATTTTGAAGAATCTTTTCGTTCCATTTCTTTAATAGATCGGATCTGCTCCTTGGAGAAAATAATTTGAAAGATTCAAAAGATTTGCTTGCAGCTATTGCAGCCTCCTTAACTTCATTTGGCCCAAGCTCGGCAACTTTGGCCAAAACTTGTCCATTTCCTGGGTTGATAACTTCAAATGTAAGTCCATCTGGTGCTGAGATCCAGGTACCGTTGATGTAGCCTTGTGTCTTAAGTAAGTCTTTGTTGGATAATAATTCAGTCATACTGGTATTGCTGAAATCCTTTTTCGAGAGTACATAAGATATTTGATGCATTCTTTTATATAAATGTGGAACACTAATTGAAATTCTTTCCCCACCTATTCCGCTTTCTTCTTAACCTTTGAGCTCCGAAAAAAATGGGTAAGCGAAGAATTGTTTATAAAAGACCAAATTATGAGTAATTCTTCTTTGTAAGCATAGGTTTTCTATTTTAAAGAAAATGTCTAAAGATATAGTCGTCCCATTACTTTTAAATGGTGTCGAGGTTTTTACTTCTGACAAATTGGTCTACAATGTGTACTCACCCTTTACTGAGAACCTCATTTTGTATAAAGCACAAGGTGCATCCCTAGAGGATATCGATAAAGTTACGGAAAGCTCTTTTCAAGCTTTTCAATGTTGGATGCAATTGTCATATGAGAAAAGAAGAGATGTTTTGAATAAGGTTGCAGCCGCGCTAGAAAAAGAAAGGGAATATTTCTTCAATATGTTACTAGAAATGGGCGTATCGCCTCAGTTCGCTAACTTTAATATCGAAACAGGAATAAATATAATAAAGGAAAGTGCTGCTCTTACTTCAACCCCTATTGGGTCTATTCCTCAATCCTATGGTGGTTCTTATTCATTAGTTGTCAGAGAGCCTTGTGGTCCCGTTTTGAGTATCGTTCCTTGGAACGCTCCTATTATTTTATGTATAAGAGCAATTGTTAGCCCCTTAGCAGCTGGTTGTAGCGTTCTACTCAAAACTTCTGAACAATCGCCTATGATTCACCATGAATTAGCCAAATTATTTTTGAAAGCAGGTGGTCCCCCAGGACTTGTTAATACGGTTCATCACTCCTCGGAAGATGCTCCTAATATAATTACAGCTTTAGTGAATTCTCCCAGGATAAAGAAAATTAACTTTACAGGATCTTCCAATGTTGGGAAGATAATCTCCAACTTAGCGGCCAAAGTTTCGAAGCCAATCTTACTTGAACTTGGCGGGAAATGTGCTGCAATCGTGACCCTGACGGCTGACATAGATAGGGCGGCAACTGAAATCTTGAGAGGCGCTTGGGCCCACAATGGTCAAATCTGTATGAGTACTGAGAGAGTTTTTGTAGAAAATGAAATCTATGATAGTTTTTTAGAAAAATTAGCAAAGAGAGCTAACAAAATTGCAGTCGATAATGCGGGGATTCCTCAACGATCGGTATTGCAGGCAGAAAAAATAACGGCTTTGGTTAAAGACGCTATTGAGAGAGGTGCAAAATGTTTCTTTGGAAATACAAGCAGAAGTGGCGCATATTTGCTGCCTATCATTTTGACAGAAGTAAATGAGACGCACCAAATATTTGATGTTGAGACCTTTGGACCCGTGTTATATGTTTCCAAGGTTGCTGATTACAAAGAAGCAATTGAGAAAGTGAATTCAAGCGAATATGGACTTTCATGTGCAATATGGTCAAAGGACACGCTAACTGCAATCGAAATTGCAAGGAACATTGAGAGTGGAGCTGTACATATAAATGGAAGCACCATTCATGATGAGCCTACACTTCCTCATGGTGGGCAAAAGGGTAGTGGATCCGGGCGATTCAATGGCACATGGGGAATTGAAGAATTTCAATATGTTAAAACGATCACAATATCGAAGTAGATTAAGGTGTAAACCGGACCGGCCAAAAATATATAGTGCACAATTGTCACTTCGGTAAAGGCGCGATCCAGTTCCCCACAATCCGAAATGATTTGATATATAGTTACACTTTCCAACTAATTTAGATTATGGAATAGAAGCCAAATAAAATAATATGACGATTAATTTACAAGGTAAAGTAGCACTTGTTACTGGTGGTACATCAGGTTTGGGCGAAGCTGTATGCCGACAATTTGCGGCTGAGGGAGTAAATCTAGCCATCAATTATAATAAATCAAAAGAAAAAGCGGGTGTTCTTGTAAAAGAATTGATACTGAAATTCAAAATAAAGGCTGTTTCATTTCAAGCGGATTCTACAGATGGTGAAGGGATTGATAATTTAGTCGAATCAGTTTTAAAGGAGTTTGGAAAACTTGACATTGTTATTTCAAATGTAGGTTGGACTAAAATTGTTCCTTATGATGATCTTGATGCTCTTGACGATGAATTATGGGATGGATGCTTTAATGCAAACGTGAAATCACATTTCAAATTGTTCAAAAGCACCAAAAGATACTTAGAACAAAATAAAGAAGGAGGAACTTTTATAGTCACAGCTTCCGTAGCTGGTAGAATTGTGTACGGTTCAAGTATACCTTATGCTGTCAGCAAGGCAGCACTTATCCATCTTGTTCGTATGCTCGCTAAAACTCAAGGCCCAAGTATTCGTATTCACGCTGTTTGTCCCGGTTTATTATTGACAGAATGGGGAAAGCAATTTTCCCCTGAAAGAATTGAGTCAACTAAAAGCCGTTCGCCATTACATGTATTAGCTGATGTTGATGAGAGTGCTTCTCATTTTTTACAGTTGTCAAAGTTATCGACTTCCACGGGAACCATCGTCGGAATTGATGCTGGCATCTCAATTTAACTTTATATTCTTTATAATCTCAAAAGGTTCTGAATATTATATAGTGCAGATGTTAATATATATAAACTCATTCGAACAGAAACATGTTAGATTCATCTACCAGTCTGCTCAAAAATGAAAGAAATTTAGCGTCTTTCAATACTGATCGTGCTGGATTATTTAGAATTGCTTGATAGTCATAAATAGACAATATGGTAGTTAGTCCTGCAGCGAATGAGAGTCTATCTAGGAGCTCCATATTGGAGCTCTGTAAGAGACATGGAGAAGTTGCTGCTATAGTAACTTCTCGAAGTATGTTAAGCCAGGCTTCCCTGTTTGTAAAGCATACTAAGCTGTCAGGATCAAAGTCGGTCCTTTTTTTCCCTTTGTAAATTATAGCTAAAGAGCCACTTATAAACCCTATGATTTGAAGGCTTCTTTTATCGGCTGCCATTAGTGGTGCCAAAATGGTAGTTAAAACGAAACTTGAAAAGGGTACTCCTGCCAAAAATAAAGTCAATTTTAGTGACTCCCTAATTGTAGCCATGAACAAGTCCAAGATGCTCTTTATTTCAAGTTCAAATTTATGGCCACCTTTTAAGTATTTGAGAATATTCTTAGCAAATATAACTGGAATTATCATCTTCATTAATGTGATGAAGCAAGAAGGGAGAGCCTTTAATAATATACCGCTGAATTGGGGATCAAATCTGTGGTTATTGTAAAACAGAGAACGAAGCTCGCTAATGAAGTCACTGCTACCCGTTGCTAGATTAAACTGCTGGTTCATCAAAGAAAAAAGCTTCATTGGTAAACCATGAACTCTTTCAGGCTCTGTAATATAAAATTTCCAGAGGAATGAGAAGCAAAAGGGGAAGATCAACCAAGATTTTTGCAGTAGGTCAATGAAAAGTCTCAAATCTGGCTCCTTCATTGATAATTTATCTGTGGAACTGGATTTTAATCTTTTATTGAGCTTATCCAATTGAATTTTTTCGAATAGCTTGTAACCGTAGTCTAAACCGAAGACAAAGTAAAACCAAGAAAAAGTGTGTAACAAAAATTTTCTTGGGAAATAGAAATAAACGGAAGTAAAACTGATTGCAAAATTGCAAATAATACTAATTATAGTTTTCAGTCGATGTGAGCCAGTATGTTTTCCCTGGGCAATATGCCGTAGAACAGGTTTCATAGACAGCAAAATTGAGAAAAACTCAGCGAATTTCAAAATATTCTTTCTTCCCAAAAAACCTTCATTTCCAACATTGACGTTGAGAGATTTTGAGATCCAGTTGCAACATGCCGCGAATTCGATAGCTTTATCGAATGCTCTTCCTAGTACATAGCAAAACGTAAACGACCGCAAAGCATTTCGAAGACTTCTCAAAAGGCAAAATAATAACTCTTTTTTTTTCCCTGCATCTTCAATCTTTTCAAGCGCTTCCTTCTGCTTCTTGAGAAATATTTCAACCCAGTTCTGAATTCGATTTAGCTCTTTAAAATCCGTAATAAGAAGATAAAGATACCTTAATTTTTTGACATTTGACGCTAGATCGGAAGAAAAATTAGATTGTAAAAACCTTTCACGTAGTGTCTTATCTGCCATGTAGTTTATTTTGGAATTGATCTATAACTTACAATGGGGAGCATAAGGATCAACTTTTATATCACGTTGTTGAACCCCACATATCCGATACATAAGCGGGAACTTTTACTGAGGTGCAACTTGACATGGTTGCTCTCTTAATATTAAAGTAATATAAATTCGACTAAGTAAAAAAGAAGACTTTCAATTAAAGTGAAGAGGGGAATTGAAACTACCCTCTCATTACTGCGCTTTTTTGTTTAATGCAAAAAGACCATAACCAGCTATAGATACAAAAGAGACTAGTAACACCCCTAAACTTAGGTTGAATCCTTGCTCAAAAAATCCCATATTTTCCTGATACTTTATCAGCAATCTCTTCAATTTCATTGTACTATAATCATACGAGGAATCTGTATCTAAGCTCAAGTTCTGGAGCTTAAGTTTTTTTTCTCTTTCGATGAATCTCCTGTACTGAAAGGTGGATCTACTAAGATCATCATAAAAAGTAAGAGAGACCTTATTAATCACGGCTGTACTAATCTGAGGACAAAACTTCAAAATGTATGTTCCAAAAGGTTCAGATCCAAAGTAAGTGAAAAGATTTATTTTATTCGTCTGAAGAATAAGAATCGCAACTTCTGTGGTGCAAGATGCGACAAAGAGAGTGTCGGGTACATTTTTGTCAGGAAATTCTTTGAATGGATCAATCACTTTAGTTTTATACGCATTGGATTTCTGGAGCACTTGTAGAACCTTATTGAAGTTTTTTTCATGTACTAAAACCACGTCAGGAGCACACAATGTATAGCCTTGACCCGTTTCTTTCCATTTGACTAGTGCAGGCAAAGAGGAATCTATCGACTTTTTAACATCCAACAATGCGACAACATTAATACCACAAGCTCTGTTCTTTCCTTCAATAGAAAGAAAAGATCTCGTGATAACTGCCTGTTGAAATCCTTCCTGACTAAGATCTTTTGCTTTTTTCAGAGAATAGATATAGTACTCAGTATCCAAAAATTTTGGCAATATTTCACTGAGAATCTTCTCTAATTTGGGACAGTTTGGAACATTAAGCACACAAGGTGATCCTGCAGAAATTGCGTAGATTAAGGGGATGAGAATACTTGCCAAAGGTTCTATCAGATTTCCAATAATTAACGAGCTAGATACATTCCATAAATCAAAATCAGTCTTGTTGGGTATAATAGTCTTCTTGTAGTCTCTGTAAAGCTTTTCATACTCCTTCTTCAATGTTTGTAAAGGAATAAAAATATTGACTTTTTCAATAAGTTTAATATCCTGGACACTAAGGTCAGAAAATATAGCAGACGCAAGTTCTGATTTATAAGCTAAAAGCATTTCCCATAGTTTGGTTAATTGTAATAGACGGTATCCTATTCTAAGTCCCCTGCCATCCTTTGCGTATTCCTGAATGTTTTGTTTTTCCTACTTTATGTTAGTAATCTGGCAAGAACCTCAAATTACAAAAGAATATAACATACGTTAAAACTCATTTTTATTCCTTCCAACTCAAGTTGGAAGCGAATGAATGATAAGTGGATTAGGGGCTATTATATCTTGGAATCAAGAGTTTTTCCCCACAACTATAGCTAATTGGGGACTAGAGGTATATTTCGCCACTTGTTCCGAATCCAAAATTTGCAACTATAAAAACCTATTAATATGGACAAACTCCTTATTTTATATAAACTGAATTTTTATTAAAAAATGAAAGACGACAAGGAGTTTCCAATTTTATTTGTTTCCCATGGCTCAACCATGATGCTTGGTGAAGAATCAGTAGTGAGCAAGGACTGGGAAGAGCAGGGTAGGAATGCGGAAAGAAGGGACGTCAAGGGTATAGTGATCTTGGGGGCCCATTGGGAAAAGCCGGGTGAGGATTTAGTTCATGTTTCCATAAAAGAACCTCCTGGAATGAATCCTATCGCATGGGTTGCAAAAGAAAAATACGAAAACTACCAAATTAACGGTAGTAAGGAACTCGGAACAAGAGTTGGCAAAATTCTTTCAGAAGGAGGGATCAATGTAGTCTTAGATGATACTGATGACTGGATTCATGACTCTTTAATCCCTTTGAAATGGATGTTCCCAAAAAGGTGTCCACCAGTTACATTAATTTCAATCAATACAAAATATGATCCCATCTTTCATGCCAGAATTGGCAGTTTATTAGCAAGACTCAGAGCTGAAAACATCCTCTTGATAGGAACGGGTGGAGCTGTACACAACCTATATAGAAATTATTGGCCGCAGATTGTACAACATAGAAATAACTTTGCCCAAGAAACCCCACCCGAACAATGGGCTCTCGATTTTAGGGATTATTTTTACGATGCCATTCATAGAAACCCATCAACTGGAAAGGCAACTATAAGGGAAGGTATTCTAAGGTTAATGCACAATCCAAGGTTTAGGGATGCACATGGCACTGATGATCATTACATGTCTGCTTGTTTTGTGGCAGGTGCTTCAAGGTTTGAAGAAATTGGCTATCTCACCAGCGAAATATGGGAACTTCAAAACATGGGTAATTCTCAATACATAGTGGGCTCATGGTAAATAAACACATTTAATTTTGCTTACTTTTAGTTCATGAGGATTCGGAGTCTCTCAGAAGTGTAATGTTAGGTTTAATTGTCTTATTAATAAATAATTGCAATCGTTTCATATGTTGAATTTATTATATATGAAAGCTGAAACCGTTCTAGCACCGTTAGACTTCGAAAAGCAATGCGAGCCTAAAACGGCTTTTGAGTTGGCTTAACATTGATTTCTTATCTATTTTCATGCTCTATGTTTTTATCACTTTGTAGTTCATCTTTTCTTTTTCTAAAACCGTCCATTAATATTTCTGTTTTCACAAATTTTAATAAAAGTCCATCACTTGTTTCATCCAGCTATTATGACTTTAAGCTTATAGCGAAGTCTTTATTAAGCATTAAATGAAAACTGATGTTTTCCAAGTTATACAAACTTCTTATTATAGCAATGACTTTTTTTTCGTCTTTTATGATCACAAAGGAGTAAAACGTTTCGGCTCATGTTATTTATGTTCTTGGGTTCCTCGCAAGAAATCTCACCATCTTTTCATTTTCAGATATCATATCGTGTTTTCGGGTCGTTTAAATGCTAAAGATGGCCTGGACAGACAGTATTGTTATGAACCTCTCAAAAAGTATTATTCTTGATATCATAGAGCTCATGAAGAAATACGCACCATAACTAGAATTGCATTCAATAGAGGCAAGGTAGACAAAATAGGTGATCTTTCAAACCTTAAATGCTCTAAAGTCAAGGAAAATGACATACTGAAGTGCGAGTTCCATCTCTCGCACAAATTTACAGGAAAAAATCTTAATGCCTTCATCTATTATCTACAATTGAGTAGAATGACTTATCTCATACTATTCCACAAAATGAAAGCCTTGAACGGGCTTTTCGCAAATACTAACAAACCAATTTTTGTTATAATATAATTTATCTGATACTACTAGTAGTGGTCTTTTGAAGATTTAAGGCACAGTAGTTACCATCAGTTTGCATGGGGTAACTAGAAGCCCAGTTCCATCACTTGACTTTAGTTGCCTTTGAGTTGGTACTGGGGAATTATCACAGTTTGGCTCCAATCTTCTGGTCACTGAGTATATACCAGCATCAAAGTCAAGAATGAATCTTAAGCTGAGTGGGATCAAGATTGGGTTAAATAACCCCTAAGATTCCATTTAGAGCGAACAACTCGACTTTTTTCATTCGACAAATCACAACCTTGCTTTTTGAATATTATAATCTTTCAATCAGGCACACGGCAAACTTCTTATCTCGAACAATAGTCACATGCTGAAATTTTTCTTGATACTGCGTATATTTGGGCGGGGCTTTAAATCACGGGGCGATATTACGCTAATTTGATAAAATATTCATCTCGTTTATCTTATCGATAGATAAGCTAGCATCCTTAAAAACTCAGCGAAATATATTCACTTAAAAGATGAAGTCTGTAATACTAAAACCATTGAAGGAGAGTTAGGCACTAGGTTTTAATCTGGCCAATATGAAATCAATATTGACATACTTGAATGATAACTTTATTCCACGGGATCCCAACAAGTTTGAGGTTCAAGGCTCACTCGTGGACTCTGTTGAAGCGCAAAGGAATTCTGAGGGCTTCGACGATGTCAAAAAATCAAAGTCAGGAGAAGGCAAAGTAGAAGTACAATACGAGGTCATAGAAACCTCAGATTCAGAGACAGAGAAAATTGGTACTCACAGAGTCCTCAAGAACAGACACATTCAGTTAATTGGTATTGGAGGTACTATTGGTACTGCTCTCTTTGTGTCTATTGGTAGTGCTTTGAGTACGGGAGGTCCATTGAGTCTTTTAATGGGTTTTTCATTCTGGTGTATTCCAGTTCTTTTCGTAACAGTATGTTGTGCAGAAATGGTCTCTTACATGCCTATTTCGTCACCATTTATTAGAATGGCAGGGCAATATGTGGACGACTCTTTAGAGATTACAGCTGGCTGGAATTTTTGGTTTCTTGAATGTGCCTTGATCCCTTTTGAGGTAACTGCATTTAACACAATATTACATTTCTGGACTGATGGATATTCTCCTGCTATTCCACTCGCAATTCAGGTTGTTTTGTATTTTTTTATTAATGTCATTGCAGTACAGTGGTATGGTGAGACTGAGTTCTTTATGGCCATAGGAAAAGTACTCTTGGCAGTTGGATTGATGTTTTTTACTTTCGTTACTATGGTGGGTGGAAATCCAAAACATGATGTTTATGGTTTCAGAAACTGGAAAACTCCTGGACCTATGGCTGAATATATTCACACAGGAGACTTGGGCCGTTTTCAGGGACTTTTGGCTTGTATAATTACTGCATGCTTTACAATTGCCGGTCCTGAATATGTTTCTATGACAGCTGGAGAATGTGTTAACCCTCGTAAGAATCTTCCGCGGGCATACAAACAGGTAGCATACAGATTGACTTTTTTCTTCATAGGTGGCTGTTTTTGCGTAGGAACCGTGTGTGCGTACAACGACCCTTTGTTACTTGCTGCAATTACTGAGGGAAAGCCTGGGGCTGGCAGTAGTCCTTATATAATTGCCATGACAAATTTAAACATTAGGGTCTTGCCACATATCGTAAATGTTTTGTTACTTACTTCGGCATTCTCAGCAGGGAATTCTTATACCTATTGCTCGTCTAGAGCTTTGTATGGTATGGCATTAGATCGTAAAGCACCGAAAATATTCTCCTATTGTAGTAAAACGGGGGTACCCATTTATTGTGTCTTGATTTCGAATTGCTGGGCACTTCTTTCGTTTTTGCAGCTTGGAGAAAATGCCATGACAGTGTTGAATTGGATCGTAAACTTGGTAACTTCGTCCCAGTTAATTAATTTTTTCATTATTGCGATAACCTATATTCATTTTTTCCGGGCATGTCAAACTCAAGGAGTTGATCGAACGGAATTTCCCTTCACAGGAATGTTTCAGCCATACCTTGCCTATATCTGTGGGTTTCTCGTTTTCGTAATGGTATGGATTTGTGGATATACGGTGTTTATTCCTGGCGGCTGGTCTGTTCAATCATTTTTATTCAACTATTTGATGATCTTCATTGATGTGACAATATTTGTCGTTTGGAAGTTGTGGAAAAGGACAAAATATAAAAGACCTTCAGAAGTTGATTTACGTTTCGCGATGAAAGAAATTGAGGACTATGAACAATGGTACAATGAAAAGTCCCAAGCCTAAAATTTCTATCGTAGTGTTTAATTATTTTACTAATATAAACTTTTCAATTTTCATACGACAATATAAGATCATTAAGCCACAATTCTATTTGTTTGTTCTTTTCATTTGAAATTTTGACCTTGAAATGACTATAAAGCGTTATTTTCCTTTCCTTTTTAGTATTATTCGTGTTACTTGATAATCCAATTTGTTCTACCAAATGAGAGATAATAAGGAGCTCTAGAATTGTGAGTTCCTCTGTCATGTGTCATCAAACGCTGGAGGAAAAAAATATGAAAACTCCAAAAGAATTTGTAATAATTTAAGCACTAAAGTGAGCAATTGCTTGAAGCTGGATAAGAATATAGTACCATGATATCAACTTTTTTCCGCTACTCTGGTCTGTAAATTTTTTGAAGTCAAAATTTCCAAGTAATGGTCAAAAGAAAATGAGATACATATCATAAAGATATTCAATTGACTGATATTATTGTTCTTGGGATAGTAGTGATATGCTACCAACTGGAATAGAACTGTTCGAGTATTATATGCACTCAACAGAACTATTTGGTAAGGGTTTTCAATAGAATGTTACTTTTTCACTAGGTCAGACAATTTTAGGTTTAATTTACATGATTGCCATATTTATTTCCAAAAGTCAGAATCTTCTCTCAGATTTAAGAAATGCGTCGGAATCCATAATGGATTTGAAATTATTGTGAATTAAAGGTTTGTTGATCGCATAGTATTGAAATTTACTAAAAGTTTTCCAAGATAATATACTTCAAGATTCTTGAGGGAGCGTTTGAAGTCGTCCTGGTCATTTTCAAATGAGATCCATACAATGTTTTGTTGTCTCGATGACGACCTGTGCACTCTTTACATTGGTGATATTATTCGCTAATCGAGCTTCCAGTTTTTGAGCCACAACTTTCGTTTTCTACTTTGTTCCTATTTAAAAATTTGTTTATAAATGAATAAAGAGTAATAAAATATCGGGATATGGGGCCACACTATCATTCTATTTGTGAGATAAAGATTTTGATGCAAAGCTTAAAAAAATATTGCAAAGCTTGGCCCTAAAGGAGAGATAGCTTATCCTTAATTCGTTTTTTGTGGCTCGATCAGTGATATGGACCTAATTTTTCGTCAACTATCCCCATTTTAACTCTGAATTGCGTAGTGAGACCAGATAATAAGGAACTGAGATCATTCTACATGATACATATTGTGGCAATACTCCATCTATAAAGACGGAACCCTCATCAGCATGAACATTGGCGAGCCAATAAGTCAAAGATTTTTTAAAAATGGCCGTGGAAGCTTCTGCTGATAAAAAGGAGTCTGCTTATTCTATCACCACTTCCAGCTTTTCGGAAAATGAAGAAATTTTAGCAAAGACTAGCTGGAAAGGGTATATATGGGATTCATTCGACAAGCCGAAAGATGAGAGATGGTTTTTATTCAAGCTAGATGCTACTTTATTATTCGCTGGCTGCTCGGGTGTTTTTTTAAGATATCTTGATCAAGCCAATATTAACAATGCTTTTGTTTCAGGTATGAAAGAGGAACTTGGCCTTTACGGAAATGAATTGAATTATGCAGAGACATGTTGGACTATTGGTTATGTCCTTGGACAAATTCCATCGAGCCTTATATTGACCAAAGTGAGGCCACACTATTGGCTACCATTTTTGGAAACTTGTTGGGCTATTTTGACATTTGTTTCTGCACGATTTTCTACACCGTCTTCGATATATGCCATTAGGTTTTTAGTTGGATTTATAGAGAGTGGGCATTTTCCTGGAATTATGTACATAACTTCTTCGTGGTATACAAAGGCAGAAATGTCTAAAAGAAATTCAATAATACAATTTTGTACTGGAGTTGGACCTATGTTTAGCGGTTATTTACAGTCTGCGGCCTATACTGGGCTTGATGGAGTCCATGGAATGAGCGGTTGGAGGTGGCTCTTTATCGTTGACGGAATACTTTCGCTTCCTCTAGCACTTCTATCCTTCTTTCTCATTCCTGATTTCCCTAGAACTGCGAAGAAAAACTGGCTTTTCACAGAGAAAGAGATTGAGCTAGCCATAAAAAGGGTACCGCAAGAACTCAAGAGCAAAGTAGGTTTTGGGAAAAAGGAGATAATATCGTGGTTTTCAACGTGGCATATATACTTATTTGCCGCTCTTTTCAGTCTTTTGAGCTTATCATCAAAAACGACAAGCTCAATTCCATTTTGGTTTAAATCTTACAATACGGCAGAAGTTACGGAATTCACTATTCCTCAAATTAATAACTATCCTACGCCAGTCTATGCAATTCAAATTTTGACTACCGTATTGTACGCATACTTATCAGATTCAGCCTTGAAAGGAAAAAGATATATTATTGTAGTGTGGTGTTCAATCTTTCAGTTTGCAGTATGTTTAGGATTAGTATTTGTTCCTGTCCATCCTTCTAATAGGGCGGGAAGGTGGGTACTATACTATCTCCTAGGGGCGTATAGTGGTAGTGCGGGCCAGGTCTGGACCTGGGTTAATGAGGCAAATTTGGGAGAACCTGTGAAAAGGGCATTTGTGTCTACTATGATGAACTCTGTTTCCTACAGCTTTTTGGCTTGGGTTCCTATTCTTCTTTTTCCCACTGAAGATCAACCGTTTGTAACAAAAGGAAACATCGCATGCTCTGTTTTCGCTCTAGGAAGTGGTATTTTTGCTTTAATAGGAGCTTATATTGAAGCAAAAAGATATACGAGAGGATTTTTTAAGAGCGCAGCTCCAGAATTAAAAGATGAACTTGAGGAAATAAAAGAAACCCCAGGATATAACGAGCAAGTTCTTAAAGGAGATGAAGTTTGAATTAGTTCGTATGCTTTTTTTTTGTATACTCATTTCATTAAATTTTAATTAAGCTACTTTAGCTAAAAGCTGTTGAAGATCTTGAGCCTTCTTCTCAATTCCATTTTGATGCAATTATGATATATTTAGTCATTTTAAATAAACAAAATATTTGCTGCTGAGCTCCTATCACGGACCGTAATCTATTACGATAAGACATTTCGGTATAAATTCTTGAACGACTATATATGACTTACCAAGGAAGGCAACCTGGTCAATCATTGTCCTTGAACATTTCAAAAGGAGTCATAGAGAATAAATTCATCTGTGAAGATGGTCTGGTGGGGCTTCTCCAAATTAATATTTGGCGCAAACTTATCTAGGATTCTTCCAATTCATTTTGATTAGTGTTTCTCTAATGAACTCGTTAGATATAATATTTACAGATAGTATTCCAATTCCCTAAAGTTTCAGATAAGCTTTATAATGGCAAGGTTCGACATTTCCCTCGCGACCTCAAAGAGAAGATAACAACTGTTTGCTGACACAAAGGTTAGAAAGATTTTCTTAGTTACAGTTTAATCTAACAATATCTCACGCATAAAATCCTTTAGTATTGGGTCGTAATTTGAATGAAGCTTATGAATTCGATCATAGGTTTCTTTGAAATTTTTTGGTGTTGGACGAATCTTAAAATTAAGATGCTGTTTGCAACCAGTAGCTCCAGTAACACATTCATGTACCCATTGGCCAATTTCAATTCATGAGAAAATATGAATGAACTACAAAGGAAACTCGCTCAGGGGTGAAAAATCGGTACATTGTTTCTTGGAGAAGGAAAGGATTTAACGATACCAACGTTCTTCGTTTGAAATATAACTTCGGCCTCGTCACGTTGTAGACTGTCGGTACGAAATATCTAGACCGATTTTTGAACAAAATCTTTGAGTTCTTGAAGCCTAGGTCGAAAATGTACTTTACTGATCTTTTAGAAAAGTATAGCCATCAATGATATGTCTGTACTCATTTAATGATAGAACAATGTACTGAAAGAGAATTCATACTAACACTCTCAAATGCAATATGGTAAACACTCGAAAGATAAGGTTTTGTCGCACTTTGAAAATAAATGTAGCTAATCGAGTTGATTTTGCATCCACGGAAGTGCAACTAGTATTTTTAAGGAAACGTGCATCCCAGCATATGAATGGTACATTTTTCATTATTTGAGGAGCATAATGTCATCTTTCGTTCACAAAGCTAGGATTTTAACCTCTTTTTGTTTTCTCATTTACATCCTTTTAACAATTTTGTTCTTTTCATGTATACTAACGAACAGTATTCACGCTTGGAAATATCTGGAGTACAGTAAATCATTCTACTATTTATACGTTCAAATATAGCCAAGTTTATAATTCAGATTCAACCGGTAGCTCAAACTTATAAGCCCCTTGAACAAGCGCTATGAAAACAAAACAAGGAATTCACTACGATTACGGGAGAATAAAGTCGAAAATTTTTCATATCATTAAAACTTATGCTTGAAAAACTTTTTTAGCATTCTGGGTCAAAAAGAATATAACGTAGATGTGTTTTATATCAAGCGTCGAGTGCCTTTTCAGTAACAATTTCATAATTCTTCTTAACGCTATTATTCAGAGAGCTTATACCAATAACTTCATCTTCATTCCCCACGGAAGCCTTAAGCAAAAATGAATTAATCACTTTGTATATCAGATGTCTCCCTTGCCAAAGGGGGAATATCAAAATGTATAAAGTGGCCAATATTAACCAAATCATAATGATAACGATCCACAGAGTAAAGTATTTTCTAGAGAAAGTGTACTTACTCCCGTAGTAGGCTAGTGGAATCACTATATAACCTCCAACTAACAAGAGTATACTTAAAATTATAGCAAAAAATGATTGCTTTCTCAATATTCTCTTATCTTTATCTGAAACATTAATTGCCTTTTTATCACTAACGTCTGCATCATCACCGACTTCAAATGAAGTTTTGAAAATCGCAAAATCAAAATCATCCGGTTTTATCAAAGATATGATAATAATGTAAAAAGCAGTTGACGAAATAGCAGTAATATTACCAATAAACGTTGCACGAGGAGTCATAAGAGTATCCTTATCAATAATTTTATTTCCAAAATGATAAGTGGATCCAAGCCAACAAGCAATGCCGGTAAGCGTTCCAAGTGGCGCACCATAGACCATGCTGTTTTTTGACATTTTCTTCCAATATAAAGCTATGGCGAGGACAGCTGCCTCAGGACTCAAGATTATACCTATAAATCCTATAAGCCATCCTACTGTCACCCCAACGTAATTGAATACAGTTGCCAATACGGCCATGAGTAAACTGAAAAGAATCACTGAGCAATGTGCGAATCTCATCAACTGCTTACCAGTTGCATCACTCTTAAAGTACTTCTGGAAGATGTCATAAGTTGTAATTGAGGAGAAGGCAATGAGCTCGGCAGATGTAGCAGAAGTGACCGACATGAATAACATAAGTAGCCCGGCGGCCGCTCCACTGTGGCCTAAGATTGACTTCAACCCATATATAACTGGCATTCCACCATTAATTTCAAGATAAGTTAATTCTCTGGGATAAGTGACGGATGCCGGATTGCTTAGTAATGCCCTACAGGCTAATCCAGCAGAGCTTCCCAACGATAATGGAACAATCAACCAACATACACCACCCATAACGTAGCCGGTGAACACACTACGTGCATCACTAGCAATAGCGCGTTGTGAGTATCCTGGATCACCAAATACAGAACTCAACCCACCGAACAAGACAGACCAACATGTTAGGATCATAGTCCCATCTCTAAAACTGACGAAATCGGCCCCAGTTGCAGACGGATATATACTCTCAACCTCTTGCAAAAGATCCCACATTTTACCTGGACTCCCTATTAGTTCTGATGATGTATATATTTTAAAGCATGCGACGCAGATCACAACATAAATTATAACAGTATGTATCCAATCTGAAATAAATGTAGCCTTCAATCCACCAAATAAAGTATAAACACAAACACCTGTTGGCAATAAGAAGGAAGCGGCTACTACGTTCATACCTGTCGTCAACGAAAACCCTTGGCTTCCGCCAAGTAACAATAGAGAAGATATTAGTATGTTAGTAGCGAGACAATAACATAAATAACAAATATGACCAGCTTTTCCAAAACGGACTGAGATTATTTCGGCAACGGTGTGACAGCCTGGAGAGTTTTTCTTAATCTCGATCGCTATAAAAACGAATAGTATAACTTGTAGTGTTCCTCCTATAGCATACATAAATGGACCAGCAAGTCCATAATTATAAGCCCATGCGCCTGAGGTGAGCAAGGTGGCGGGCCAAGTCCATGCTGAAACTGTAGAAGAGGCAATGAGCCCCGATTTGACTGACCTAGATGCTGTTGAGAACCTTTCTGAGTTCTGCGTTTCACCCATGTAGGAAGATAACATTTTGGATAAAAGCATCATAATTAGTGCAAAGGCAGCACCTAATCCAACGGCATAGCCATAACCATAACTTTGTGAAAGCACACTTATACTCTCGGACATATTAGAATCTTTGAAAATTTATCTAACAACTTCCCATACAAATCTAATAATCCTAATATTTATACTAGGGAGCAGAGCATGTATCTTCAATCCACTGACAGATAAGAAATACTTCTTCTCTGAGAAAGATACGAATTCAAAACTCATATCCTAGTGAAGTTCTTTACTAACTCGTATCAACTTGATAACGTTTTTTTTTTTTTGGTAATACGAGCTCGCGTTTCCAAAAACGAAAAATCTGTCTTACTTATCTATCAGATAAGCTCGGATTCCTCAATTGGTCTCGGTCACAAAATTAATATGCAACCATAAATACCAACACTAGAAGCCAAATTATATGGTTTACTGAAGAGTAACATACAAGAAAGATAAATAATCTCACATATTCACGGTTTAAGTTCTTATAAGGAAAACAAAATGACATGGGAAGCAATTGCAAAATCGAAAAGAGAAGCACTTGTTTCAAAAATACCTGCAGATTGGGTCTTGAACACCTTGCCAAGTGCAGAAGACGAGCCAAATGTTTGCAACTACTTAGCAAAGATATTACCTCAAGAAGAAACAGCCATTGCAAATCTGACTATAGCCGAATTGTCTTCTCAAATTGCTAGCGGAAAGCTCTCTAGTCATCGAGTAACTTCAGTATTTTGCAAGCGAGCTTCATTCGTGCATCAACTAACGAATTGTTGCAGTGAAATATTCATCGATAGAGCATTAGCTAGAGCATTAAAATTAGATGACTATTTAAAAAAAAACGGAAAACCAATTGGTCCACTTCATGGTATTCCGATTTCTTTGAAGGACCAGGTAAATTTAGAGGGAATTGATACTGCAATAGGCTATGTAAGTCTCGTAAACAAACCTGTTAAGAAGGAAGATGTTTCAAATATTGCAACTATTTTAGAAGACCTCGGGGCAGTTTTTTATGTGAAAACAACTACCCCTACAGCGATGATGTCTGGTGAGACTGTTTCAAACCTTCTTGGGCCGACACTTAACTCTTGCAATAGGAAAATATCGTGTGGTGGTTCTTCCGGTGGAGAGGGTGCTCTCGTGGGAGGTCGAGGTTCGTTATTGGGCTTGGGGACGGACATTGGAGGTAGTATCCGTTTACCCAGTAACGCACAAGGATTGTTTGGGTTGAGATGTAGTACTGGGAGGATTCCTTATTGCAAGATAACAAACTCCAATGCTCATCAGCCAGTTATCCGTTCTGTCGTTGGTCCCATGGCCACGGATTTAAATGACTTAAAATTATTCACGAAAGCAATTATTAATACCGAGCCATGGAAAAATGATCCCTTGTGCCCACATATTCCTTGGAGAGAGTTTGAAATAAAAGGAAAGCTCTCATATGGAGTACTCGACCTTACTAAGGGTCACTACCTTCATCCGCCAATTAAGAGAGCGCTTAGAATGACGAGGAATGCACTAACAAGCGATGGTCATGAAGTCCTTGATATAGCTTCTCCGATTCCCTTATTTGAAATGCTAGACCTTTGCATGAGGATTCTACGTGCTGACGGTGGTAAAGAAATAATAGCGGAATGCGAAAAATCCGGGGAGCCAGTCAGGAATGAGGTATTAGTTAGAAATGACGATGGGAGCCTATCTGATGAGAGAACTATTACAGAATTTTGGGATGATGCTGGTCTTAGATATGAGTATCAGCAAATTTTTGACAAATTCTGGCAATCAACTGTTTCTCTCACATCAACAGGCAGACCAATAGATGGATTTTTGCTTCCCTTACATGCCACCACAGGGTATAAGGTTGGTGACTTTAGAAGACTAGGAACATTTTTCACTCCTATATTTAATTTATTAGATTATTCCGTTGTTGCAATGCCTATCACAAAGGCCGACAAAGAAGTTGACATTATTGAGACCCTGTATAAGCCATTAAATGAGCTGGATGAAATTTGTTATAAATACTATGACCCTGAATTGTTTGATGGAACTCCAGTGGGTCTTCAGGTAATAGCTCCTAGGTATGAAGAAGAAAGAGCAATATTTTTAACTGAAATTGCTGAAAAAGCGCTCAAAAAACAGGCCAGTTAGGGATTCGTGTACATGAATCTCGTGTTGTTAGCTATCTTTTTAAGCTGAGCGAGAGCAGTGAGATCGGTAAGTATTAGAAGATAAGTTCTATCAAAGAACTTCTAAAATTAAAAAAATATTAAAAAAAATTCAATTAATAAATGTTTTTGTTAATCTTAATAAAAATCTTGTTCTGGATAGCGATGTAAATTTATTTATGTAAAGTGTTCGAAGTTTTGCTATGTATTAAAACTCTATCTTTTATTTTCAATTGCGTTGGCGTATTTGCACTCGATCGATCTCATGTCAAATGCATACGAAATGTACGACTTTGTAAGATTATCAAAGCCTGCACATAATAATTATACTCAAGGCTAGTATCAAAAATCCTGAACCCCAAATAATGAGACAAATTCTTACTAACTAACCCATAAGGCAAGACTAAAACCAGTTTGAGTCTTTTGAAGGTAGCATTTGATAAATAACAAGATGAACTCTCTGGACAGTCTTACCAAGCATCAAAGTATTCTTTATATTAGCTCTGGTAATGTTATCAATAAGAAAGTTTCAAAAAGATCAAGAAGGTCTGTCAATGGGTGCATCTGTTGTAAGAAACGGAAAGTCAAATGTGATGAGACCAGACCACAATGCTGTAACTGTATAAGGAATGGTCTTACTTGTTTCTGGTCCAAAGTTGAGTTTCCTATTTGCGAAAACCTATCCCATGAAAGATTCGTAGTGTCGATAAAGAATGGCAAACGACCTTCGGAGTCAGAGCTTGAGAGCGAAAATTATCACAAGGAGTTACACGAATACGATTCGTGGTCGCCAAATGAGCTTGCTCATCAGACTCAATTCTGTTATCTAGATCCACAAGTTTCAGGTATCGATTATTTCTTATACTATATTTTCATAAACAGATTCTTGCCCACTGTCGCTCATCCTTTCATAAGATCAAAATTTGCTACTGGAAAAGTGTTTCTTCTTGCGGGTGCTCAACAGCCAATCTTAAGAAATATTTTTTTTGCATGTGGCGCTTCCTTACTTGCAAGTAATGACGACAAATTTAGAAGGATCTACTATGATAGGTACGCGAAATCGTTATTATCACTAACAAATGAAATGAAAAGTAACCAAATCAAAGATTGGTATTTTGGTGCGATACAAGTTTTACAGATATTGTGTCTCAGGGATAGATTCACCAGTGATGGGTCTCCGCATGGGATCCTCCACTTTAAGGCGTCTTTTGAACTTATAATGAAAGTTATCCAGGGGCCGAAAATTTTTGAAGGTATTTCTGAATCATTAACGTTAAAGAGCCCGTTAACCCGAGTTGTGATTGAAAATTTTATTTTCAATTATTCTATCGTTATTTTATTGTGTAATTACGAAGATTTAAATTCCAGAGTTCCGAATCCTTTCGAGTGTTCTATAATTTTTGAGTCCTCGCTGTCCATAGAAGAATCTATCGAAGATACCTGGTTTGACTCAAATGCATTTGAGCTTATATTGTGTGCTTTCGAAATAGCAGCGAAATGCTCCTGGCTGAGTAGAATGAGCTTACCTTTAAGCAAACAAAATAGAGAAATTCACGAGGCATTGTTGAGAAGGGCCGAGAAAAATCTCAATGAACTCAATTTTATTTCATTCGAAGGCTCGCACAAGTATTTTAAATGCAATATTTCGATTGCAAAAATTGTTACGAAGACTTCAATAATTTTAATCCGGAAAATGCTCTACTTAAAGACATTGAGTGCATATAATTTTCAAGATCACATGTCTTATATCGTTAGTCAAATAGAACAACCTCACAATGATGAGGCAAACTTACCAATTTGGTCTTTGTTTATTGGTGTACTTGCCTCGACAACTTCTGTCGATCGGAGGTTTTTTAGAGCGAAGATAGTCGATTTGTCACATCGCTTGAATTCTAATACAATACGATATGTATTGGATTACTTGGACGGCATCTGTGAAGTTTATCAATATAGCGAATCTTTTGAACTTCTATTCAATCACCACTGCTATGATGATCAAGATTGAAGATTCAAGCAAAGCACTCATTTAAGGTTTTATTTCACCAGTGGAATCTAGAAGATCCACAAGTCACTTCATATAAATCTGATAAACTGAAATTAGTGAAACTGAGTACCAACGTTTATTTCATATTACATCACTCATATCAGGTCAATTATCGATCATAATAATGAAACAAAGATTTGCTCTCAAGTTCAGTCTCACTTGAATTTCCAATTGCTGAAAGGAAATAGTGAGTAGATTATCAAACAGACATAAGCGATGTTTAACAGTCTGTGTGGCTCCTTTCCTTTATTTTATGAATCATGCCAGGATTATCTCTTTGGTGTTTAAAACCATGCAGTTTCATGAAGATCATAGACACAAGACACATGATATCAATTTTAAGATCTGTACTTGAGACAAGCAGCATTTCGGGCTCATCAGTGTATTGTTTTAATCTTACAATAAGAGGAAGCTTGGAAAGATTTCAAGGAGCTCTTAGTATATCATTTAATAACAATTGTTTTCATTTTCTATTTGGATTGGTTTAATTGTGTATGCCCTACTTCCTTTTATCAACATCTAAAGCATTAAGCTATTTGGATTCACCGATTCAAGGGGCTTTCTTTGTTATGTATGTATGTTGATTTACTTGAGACATTATCAAATTTTGCTCAAATTATGGTCAGTCTTGACTGAATGAATTGAACTATGCTGGAGTAGTCAAGACGTTATGTTCAAACGATGCAGCTGATCCTATATGGTGTTCATCTTTTGTAGATGTCTGACAAAGTTTGTGAGCTCTAATTATAGGCTCTTCATTACATAAGAAAAAATATGAACAAGTCTGCCCTGTAAAAAAATGCATAGTTGTTGCATTTGTTTCACGGTCCATACCACAGCGATAAGGCTGTTCGAGAGAAGTGCTTAGACAAGTATATAATGACTCACAAAATAAATGGTATCAAAATGTAGCAAATAAGCAGATACTATAGAACCTTGAGGAACAAATTACAACGATGATGCTGTATTAACTAAAGAAGGTTACAGACTTTTAGAAGATTAATATGTCGTACGCAAAAGGAATAAAAAAATAGAGATGATAGAAGACAATTTCGATTATTATCACAATCGAATTAACCTCAGGGGTATTTCCGAAAAGAAGGTCCAGAGCGACTGACGCATATTGTGTACAAATGGCAAAAAGGGTGGCATTGAACAGTTTAGATATTTGCACTGCTGCTTAAAACACATGTAGGGCAAAAGCTTATCCGCTATCTATCTGGTTCTTTGAATACCATAGAACTTGTACTGGCATTATAAATATCCTGCAACCGAGCTCGCTACTGCTTAATTGGATTAAAAAAATTGCCTGAGATATTGTCAAAGACGATAGTCATAGATTCTGATATCAAAACATCAATAACTACTTCAAAAGAAGCAATTGATGCAATATATATGTTCTTTATAGCTATATATGATAATGAGTTCAAGAAACCATAGAGTAAAAAATCGAACTTCTTCAAGATGTCCCCTCCCCGAAGCATAAATTCTGGAACATTTTTTCAAAAGAATTGAGATCTCCTATCGTGTCTGTCGTCTATACTACGCTTTTTGAGCAATCTATTACCAACGAGGCTCAAAGCTAAGGAAAAACAAAAACACCCTGTAATCGAAATTAATCCGGAAGATTTTCTTGCTAGATACAGGCTCTTTAGTTTGATAATTGTATTGTAGTGCGTGAATTACAAATATGCCCCACATTCCCAACGAAAATTAGAACCAATGATAGATTAATATTGGAGAAACAAAAGTATAACAATACAGCTGCAATATTACTCGGAAAATTCTCGAGGAATGGAAAAAGATTGTGCGAGTTTCTCCACAAAATCTGTTCCAAAATGATTCATTTTATATTAAGACAATAGAATAAGTAAGCAATCCGAGGGTTATGAAGTCGCATCTCGCAATTCTCGAAGCAAATGCGTCGTTTCCATGTACCAGCTCCACCTTAGATGGCAAAATGGTAGAGTGACAATAATGATTGATTTGAAGATAAATAGGGATGATTCTGGCTTAGTCTTTGGTGAAAATAAAAGATCCGTAGATAGTGCGACTAGAAGCTCAAATAAAATGAGATTCAATTTTGCAAGTTGCGCAGTGAGCTATTTGTTCGTAGCCACAGCTAAAGGCCTATCAAGTGAATCTTACAACAGCGATCAAGCTAGCAGTACATTTGGAGAGTCTTCACGAGCTACAATACAAGATTCATGGACATGGGGTGTTGAACAAGTTCCTAACATCATCAATTCATCTGCAATTGATGCAAATGTAGCTGCAAAAGGCTACGATCTTCTTAACGTTTCGAAAACAAGGCATGGAATTGAAGGGATCTTGAAGTTGAAAGAAGCAACCGATATATATGGGTACGACTTTGATTATTTGACACTTACTGTCGAATATCAGACGAATGAAAGATTAAATGTTCAAATCAAACCAAAGAACATGACTGATGTTTTTGATTTGCCTGATTATTTAATTTCAAAACCCAGTTCAGAGTGGAAACACGAAGACCTTCGAGGATCCGATTTGAAATTTACATATCAAGAGAAGAACTTTGGCTTTAAAGTTGTCAGAAAAGCAACCAATGAAATTTTATTCTCTACCATTGGCAATCCATTGGTGTTTTCTAACCAATTTATTCAGTTCAATACCACTTTACCTAACCAACACGTCATAACTGGTCTTGGAGAATCTATTCATGGTCTTGTAAATGAGCCTGGAGCAGTCAAGACCTTGTATGCAAATGATGTGGGTGATCCTATCGATGGTAACATATACGGCGTTCATCCTTTCTACTTGGACCAAAGATATGGTAGTAATACTACACATGGAGTATATTGGAGAACTAGTGCTATTCAGGAAATTGTTCTTGGTGAAGAATTTTTAACTTGGAGAGCTTTAAGCGGTGTAATTGACTTATATTTCTTCAGTGGACCAGAGCCAAAAGATGTCATTCAACAATATGTGAAAGAAGTGGGATTGCCAGCCCTTCAACCATATTGGGCACTTGGTTATCACCAATGCAGATGGGGTTACCGAACACTTGAGCAGCTTGAGGAAGTTGTAGAAAATTTCAAAAATTTCAACCTTCCTTTGGAAACAATTTGGTCTGACATTGACTATATGGACTCTTATAAAGATTTTACTAATGATCCTTATAGATACCCATTAGATAAGTATAAAGCTTTTATCGACAAAATTCATAAGAATAATCAACATTATGTCCCAATTGTCGATGCTGCTATATACGTCCCAAATCCACTCAATGAAAGCGATAAGGATTATTTGCCATACTCTGAGGGTAAGGGAAACTTCTTAAAAAATCCCGATGGTTCTGAGTATATAGGGGCAGTGTGGCCTGGATTTACAGTATTTCCAGATTTCTTGGCACCAGGGGCACAAGAATATTGGACGAAACAGTTCAAACGCTGGTATAAGGATGTAAAGTATGATGGCATATGGTGTGACATGAATGAAGTTTCAAGTTTTTGCGTTGGATCATGTGGTTCCGGGAAAGTTGATCAAAATCCTGCGCAACCCAACTTCCCATATGATTTTTCGAGTTCAGATTATCCTCTTGGCTACGAAAACACCAATTCATCTGATATATCTCTGTCATTGAGTTCTGAATCCTCCAGCCCTTCCACCTCTTCAATCTCACCAACTACTTCAAGCTCGCAAATTAATTCTATGAATACAAAGTTACCAGGGAAAGGCAATATAAACTATCCCCCGTATGCTATTAATAATGATCAGGGTAATCATGATTTGGCTACACATGATGTTTCACCAAATGCTACGCATTTTGATGGAACCCTTGAGTATGACGTTCATAGCCTTTGGGGCCTCACAGAAGTAAATGCTACATATAGAGCTTTACTTGAGGTAAATGAAAACAAGAGGCCATTTATCGTAAGTAGATCGACCGCACCTGGTTCAGGGAAATATGCTGCCCACTGGGGTGGTGATAATACTGCTAATTGGGCGTGGATGTATTTTTCAATTCCACAGGCATTGAGCATGGGAATGTTTGGCATTCCATTTTTTGGAGTAGACGCGTGTGGCTTCAGCGGAAATACTGATTATGAATTATGTTCAAGATGGATGCAATTGGCTTCTTTTTTTCCATTCTACAGAAACCATAATATATTAGGAGCAATTCCCCAAGAACCATATCTTTGGTCGTCGGTTTTAGATGCTACAAAGACTTCTGTGACAATAAGATACTCTCTACTTCCTTATTATTATACTTTGTTACATGAGGCTCAAAAGACTGGTTTCCCAGTAATGAGGGCTTTATCATGGCAATTTCCACATGACCGTACTTTAAGTACCGTTGACAATCAATTCTTTGTTGGTGACGCTTTAATTGTTACACCAGTCTTGGAGCCCGGTGTTGATAAAGTCAAAGGAACGTTTCCTGGTGCTTCTGTAAGTGAAGTGTACTATGATTGGTATACATACGAAGAGGCCAATTTTACAGCTGGCAAAAATGAATCTATAAATGCACCCTTGGGTCACATTCCGTTTCACATTAGGGGTGGAAATGTTATACCGACCCAAGAACCAGCCTACACTACAACCGAGAGCCGTAAAAATCCCTTTAGTTTGATAGTTGCTTTAGATATTGAAGGAAAAGCTAAAGGAAGTGTTTACATCGATGATGGGGAATCCCAGGTGGTTAAGTCTTCATTGTATGTTGAATTTTCAGCTGCAAATGGCTCTTTACATTCTGTAGGGCATGGTGACTATAAATCTAAGCAGAGTTTGTCAAATATTACAGTTCTAGGTGTTGCCAAAAGACCAAGTAAAGTCACCTTTCAAAATAAAAAAGTTAACTTCACATATGAGAATAAAACTCTTATTGTCAATGATTTGGAAGAATTCACTACTACAGGTGCCTTTGCAAAGGCTTTTACCTTTTCCTGGTAGGCGAGGAGTTAGAAGCTGAATCATTTTGGTGTTTCGAAAGTAAATGTCTTGTTTTATCTTACGTATTACTGCCTTCTTGGAAATTTCTTTCGTCTTTGAAAAGCAAGAGGAAGAAGTTTCTGATAAAAGTATAGGTATATAGAATAGAAATTCTTTTTGTAACCCACATACAGGAAGCAACTAATCTTAGCTGCGAAAAAGTGATTTTGCTTACTGTTTGGACTTCTTTCAAGTTTTCCGAACACAGTATCTTGAAAGAACTAGAATTATTTAATGTAAAAAGATGCGCATACTAATTCTAACTGTATTTTTATGCAATATAGTGAGGTGGTGTGGCAAATGATTATTATATTACTGAAATGCCACCGCCAGGCAAGAGAGAGATGTTTCATAGAATCGTACATAAAAGCTTTTCTATTCTTTCCCAGCTTTCAACACTTGATAACAATCGTTATCAAGTAGGGGTATTATGAAATATGCGCTAAGTTATAGAACCAGAAATTTCAGAGATTTCAGTAATCGCATGAATAGAGAGCATGATTAGTTTAATAACTTTTCTGCGTATTTTACTTGTCCTTTAAAAGCACTTTTCTGTGATGTATCGAATAGATAATGCTAAACAAAAAAAAATTTAAAAAATCATCATATAAGAAGAGTTTGAAATTTAAAAAACCTGAATAGGTGGCGCAAAGCTAATAAATTGAAAATTCACCCGAAATTTGCAGAGTAATAAATAACGATGAGGTAATGAATTATGTTATGCTAATGATATGTTGTAACTTTCGTTAGCAACGTATTTCTCCCAGTCATTCTGAAACCCCAATAAAGCTTTATGGCGACCACCCATAGAAAGCATTTTTTTTGAGGATCTAAAGCTCCCTTCATAACAGTTTTCAATATCCCTTTTTTTCCATATTCCCAATATGACGTCTCTCGCCGTATTGATATTTCCCAAACCCTTGGGCTCCATCCTATCTAGCATACTTAGCGTTAAATATCGTTGCTCCTCGCAGTCTGGACTAAAAATCGATATCTCAGCACTTGCCACAAACAATGGCCATAATAAGGTAGAAGACCATTTAACGTCATTTTGAAGAATGATAAAATGAAGAATCCTATAAATATTGGAAACTAGAAGTTGTAAATGCGTATCCTCTGGGGAGCAGCAAAGTAGAGAAGCCTCTAGATAAAGGATAGTTGCCTTGCTTTTTACTTCATTTGATAATAAAAAGCAAATAGCCTCCTTGCTGATTGAACCTTCTAAAAATGAATCACTAAATTGAGACTCAGAAGCAAGTTTTAAACTGTCAGAAAAATATGGCTCTTCGGAATTACAAATATCAAAATATATGTAATTATCCATAGAATTTAATCTATTTCTTAAGCCAATGCAAAGCAGCTCATAGTGTTCTTCTGTTATACTACCATTACATCTTTCAAATGATAAATCTGTTACATCAGAAACTATATTCACAAGTTGTAGATCACATCCCATCCAACGAACACATGGACCATCCCTAATGTTTCTTGGTAACATTGATTTCCCTTTTTCGTAATCCAATGCAAGGAAAAAACTGTTCGAACCTTTGCAAGCTGTTCTACCCATACTTTCTTGATAGCTTAGGAGTTCCAAAGAAAATCTTAATAGGGAATGCTCTAGAGTATTTTTTGGCCACACGAACTTACCCGAAGAAAGTAATAGCTTACATAGCTTTAAATAACACAGCCATTTTTCGTCACAGTTATTTGCAACTTCGTATAACATTAGAAATACAAAAGATAACAAAATATCAGTCGAAAGAGGACTGCTTGGGGCCGATTTAGAATCCTTCTGCAAAAATCGAATTGCTTCACCAATTTTGAACATTCCCAAATGCTTGAATGTTTGAGACCGACTTAACCACACTGAAGAGTTATTCAATTTAGAAAGGTAGATGCACCCCATGGCAGATACTAAATAAAATATATGGCTGTTGCTTTGTGAATACTTTATTAAAGTAGATAAGCTTAGACCTTTTTCGATAACTACTTCTCTTTGAGTCAGAAATTTTGACATAACAATCCTCTCTGGTATACTGTCTCCTAAAGGATTGAAAATAGGAGATATGAAGTCGACGTAGTATGCTACTGCGAAATTTAAAACACTTGAATCTGATGTGGAATCTAAAACATCAACAGGTATTATCGAGGCACTTAAGGTACGCCCAATATGCAAAGATTGATTGATATCTTCTTCCTTAAAGTTTATAAATTTAAGGTCCTTATTTTTAACATTCAAAAAGTAACTCGTTCTATTTTGAGGAACCAAAAGACCATTATCTTTTTTGGGGGTATTCTTAAACCAAACCCCTTCTCTGCCAAACTTTTTCCCTTTTTTCTCATAGTCTTCTTTGAAGCGAAGTACGAAATTGTAGCGACATTTCAGTCTGTTCATCTTGCATCTAGAGCACTTCGGCTTTTTTTCATCACATTTTATTCGCTTCTTCTTACACACTTCACAACCTAAGTGTGATCTAAATTGTCTTTTCTTTCCCGTTTTCAAAAAGCCTTTTTTTTTAAATATTTCAGCGACATCATCTTCATATAGCTTGGTTAGATCTAACTTTGTAAAATTTATTGAGTCCGCTGTACTTTCAGGACACTCAACAGGGGGCTGCGAGAGTGATGTATGGTTAATTAATGAGAAAGAATCCCAATTCTTTAAGAGTTTATGCCTTTCAAACATAGTACGCACAATCCTACCTTTTGTTATTCGATCAGTTAAAAGCTTTTTTATCAATTCAAACCTCGCTGACTCTTCTTATCTTTGCTCAACAGCTCGGTCCACTTTAAATCATTAATCAGGAGAGTAACATAATCGGGGGCGCACACCCCTCCAAAACAAAAAAAAAAACATACAGTACAAAATTATCTCCTGAAAGACTTCTGGTTCTTTATAACAGCCGAAGCAAGTATTTTCAAAATTGAATATAAATGTGGTTCCCATAATCCTTTTTTGTATCTTACATAAATCGCACAATCCTTAATTCTATTTACTTTATGCCAAAAAAAAGGACACAATATATGGTTCTTTTCATCGTAAAACATATGAATCCTTCACCTTGAGCTAAAATAATTCAAAGTTGTAAGGCGTTTGTATATAACTCGTTATCTTGAGATTTCGTATTAATTAAAATGATAGGTCTGCACTTGTGAAATAATTCGAAGGAGACCCGAGAAATCCACGTCCTTCCCTTCATAATATCTAAATCGCGAAAGAAGTTTAAAACATTTTATCAGATAAATGAAATTTCTTGCTCAGAAGCTTAACTAATAAATGTTTTAATCGAAACCTGAATGTGTGATATCTAAGTCTAAAGAAGAAGTGATTGTCATTTGTTTACTATTTCAAGAATATCTGATGAGTGGTTGGTTGAAAATACTAGCCTCTTAGATACCAATCATACTACGACAGACTTTCCTCAGTTTGGTGATCTAAAATAATATAAAGAGATTACGGGGTTGACGCCTTTCTTATCGGAATTTTTTTTTCAGAAGGAAGGTCGAGGAGAATCAAAAACTCTTCCTAATTTGGAATATCCGACTAATCTCGACCTAAGTTATCAAGATTCACTTATCGCTCTCTCTTCTTCCATCCATGTGCTATATTAAATATAAAGCATAAGTATTTTCCAAAAAGCGAAACTTCTGATGGTACTAATAAGGCATAATGATGAAGGAATTAGGAAAAAAGGAGGGGAATGTCGAGGTAAGCGAGTTAGCCTATCTTGATCAAGAAAATATAGCTTCGACTAATGATTCTGCAGTAGAGGGAGTCATTGGTGAAAAAGAGGGACAAGGTCAGTACAAGAGGTCTTTCAAGACAAGGCATATTCAGATCGTGACCCTAGGATCTAATATTGGTTCGGGAATTTTCATTTCAACTGGTAAGGCCCTAAGGTTCGCTGGTCCAGGAAGCATGATCATATCTTATACTATTGTTTGCTCAATGGTCATATGTGTTTTAGAAATCATAACTGAATTATCAATTTTATATCCATCTTCAGGAAATTTTATTGATTTTACTGAGAGATTTCTAGATCCTGCGGCTGCCTTTGCAATAGGGTTAGGTGAATGGTTAGCTTGGACGACTGTGATGGCATCTGAAGGTGCAGCTGTAGCTACATTAGTGACATATTGGACAACTAAAGTGCCAGTTGCCGCATGGATGAGTATTATCATAGTTCTTACATTTATGATTCATGCTTTACCAATCATTTGGTTTGCGGAATTTCAATACGGAACTGCTGTTATCAAAGTTATAATGTTGCTTATGATATTAATTTCTTGCATAGTTATGTGTGCAGGTGGAGGCCCTACTGGAAGTATTCATAATGGGCAATTTTGGGACAGTTCTAAATACGATATTTTTAATAACGGTGTACGCGGATTTTCATTTAGCTGCCTTTATTGTTTATGGGGCGTTGGGGATCAAATATTTGTTGGAATGCTTGCTGGAGAATCTGAGAGCCCCAGGTTTTCTTTGCCTAGGACGGTTAAAAGTGCAGGTCTTCGTATATTTGGATTCTTTATGATTTTGGTGATGTTTATTACTTTGTTAGTTCCTGAGTCAGACCCTAGATTGTGGGGTACTGCTGGGTCAATTGCAAGCTCTCCTTTTATAATTGCAATGAATGATGCTGGAATAAAGTATTTGCCTGACGTCATAAATGGTTTAATGGTAGTTTGTTTGGCTCTAGGGGGGTTGGAACCTGTGTACATCGCAGCTCGGTGTATCAGACATTTAGCTATTAGAGGGATGTTGCCAAAATTTATAGCAAGAGTGGATAAAAAGGGAAGGCCTACTTGGTCTTTATTAATAACCTTTATATTTACAATTGTGTTCACTTACATGAATTGTTCCGGTACCGGAGCTACGGTATTTACCTGGTTTTCTTCTATCACCACTACAATATTCATGGTAGTTTGGGTAGTGCTAGGTATTGTATCTTTAAGATTTCATATGGCTATCAGAGCACAGAACTCTGATATTTTAAAGCAAAAGCATTCATGGAGAGCCAAACTTTTTCCAGTGGGTCCAATTTTCTTGTCGCTCATGAGTTTTTTGATTTTAATGGGTTTATTTTATGGCTCTTTATTTCCAGTTGGGGGAAAGCCAAACGCTTATGACTTTTTTGCAACTTATCTTGGTGTTCCTTTAGTTTTGTTTGCATATATTTGCTATAAACTTTACTTCCGAACATCTATTCCAAAATTATCTGAAGTAGATTTATTAGAAGGACACAGGCCATTGACAACAAGAGAAATTGAAATTATGGATTATTATACCTCTTTGCCTTGGTACAGGCGTCTCTTAACTTATATAAATACAGCTGATTCTAAAGAATTGACTTAATTATCGTTTACATATTTTATTTGTATGCTGATTTTTATGTTGACTTTTAAGTCTCTAGTGTAAAATATTAAAACAAGATAATGTAGTTAAGAAAGCCCGGAATAGAATAAACAAGAGATATTTGAATACCCTATACGCTTTTTTATCTAAAGAAAATTTGGTAACATACATCGCATTGAGATAATTATTGTCGCAACTTAAAAAGGAATTCATACTATCTTCTCTTTATATATTGTCTATATAAAGGACCAAATAATGCTGCAATATAAAAAGATCGGCTGGGACGTTTATGAATTGAAAACAAGATTAAGGACTCAATAAATAAAATGGAGAATCTAGATTATTTAATACTTGGTTGCGGAGTTTGGGGGTTGAGTACCGCATGGTGGATCATTAAAGATCAGCCAGATGCAAAAATTCTCTGCCTTGATAAATGGGAAGTTCCATCTCTTGACTCAGCAGGATATGACATTAACAAGGTTATTTCTGCTAAGTATGGTAGTGATTTAGACAATTATACTTCTTTGTTGGCATTTGAGGCTTGGGAAAATCCCATCTTTAAGTCAGTTTATCACAAGACTGGAATGCTTGGGGTAGCTGACGACAATCCAGAAGCTCTAGAGTATGTCACCAAGGCATACAATAAAAGGGTAAAGAATAACTACGGTGAAGATGTTGAGTGGTGCGAAAATATTCAGAGTCTTGTAAGAAGATTTCCTTTATTGAAAGATTCCAACATTAGCGGATGGAAAGGATATTTTGATGCTTTAGGAGGATGGGTTCATGCTTCTAAAGCCATGAAAATTATCTACGAAGACTGCTTGAAAAAGGGAGTTGAATTTAAATTTGGGGATTCAGGTACTGTTTCTGGATTAGAAATACATGAAGGCAAACTCGTGTCAGTAAAATGTGAAGATGGGTCTCTTCAAGTAGCTCCTAAGATAATTATGTGTTTAGGCGCGTACACTGAATTGTTCCTTGATATGAATAAACAGACGACGGCCAAATGTTGGAGCCTTGTACACTTAAAGGTTTCTCCTGAAGAAGCTCGTAGTATGAGGAATGGTCCAATACTCTTTAATTTTCAGAGAGGTTTTTTTTTTGAACCCGACGAAAACTTATGCGTTAAAGTTGTCAATGAGTTTCCAGGTTTTACAAACTATGAGAAAGTAGCGGACGGCAGAACTATTAGTGTTCCCAGATCTAATGGTATGCATCCAAATGAAACAATCCCGGACAAGTGTAGAGATTCTATTAGGGATTTTTTAAAAAGAGCAGTTCCATTTTTGGCAGATCGTGAATTTGTTTACGAAAAGCTATGTTGGTGCTCAGATTCAAATGATAAGAGATGGATTATAAGTCGACACCCACAATTCAAAAATTTGACTGTAGCTACAGGTGACTCTGGTTTAGGTTTTAAGATGCTTCCCATAATTGGAAAATTTATAAAAGATGTTAGTAATGGCACTTCTCTTCCAGAAGTTGTCGGTGACTATTGGAGCTGGAAAAACCAAGAATCATCAGCAAGTACAAAAATAGAAAGATGGGGCTTAGACAATGTCACTGAAGATTTGAAGAGTCAATCGGGATGGCGAACCTAAAATTTTTTCGATTGCCGACAATTTTGATCTTAGGAAGGTCGATTCCTTATCTTTTAACTATGGGGTGACATTTCCTAATCGGGACAATCACCAAAATTTCTATTCTAGGGCTAGTTAAGCGCGCATAATAATGTATGTATATGCCACATTAAATTAAGAACTTTCTTTAATGTAGTTTTAAATCAGCAATGAATGTTCTTATACTAGGTATGGGGGGTGTTGGAATCATTGCAGCATATGGGTTAGAATATGGAGGTAAATCAACAGTGACGTCTATTGTTAGGTCAAATTATGTTACCTTGAAACAAAAAGGTTATAAGTTAAGTTCCGTCGACTACGGGATTATTGAGAACTATAAACCAGCAAACATGGTCAGCTCAGTTGAAGAAGCAGTATCTTATGGCCCATTTCAATTTATAGTTGTGACCACCAAAAACATACCGGAGATATGTAAAATTGAAGATCTCATTGAGAAAGTAGTAGAGCCAAAACTAACAACAATAGTTCTAATTCAAAATGGGATTGGTATTGAAAAGCCACTTTTGAAGAAATTTTCCCAAAATGTAGTTTTGAGTGGAGTATCTATGATAAGTTCGACATTATACAACGGAGAAGTTAATCATGAAGGACTGGATTCATTAGGAATTGGTTATTTTAAAAATTTGCAATTAGAAGACCTGTTTCAGGAAATAACCGCGAGGTCTTTTATTGACCTATATAATAATGGAAAAAATTATTGCTTTTACCAAGAAGATGTGAACTATGGAAGATGGAAAAAACTTGTTTACAACGCATCTCTCAATGCGACCTGTGCTTTAACAAATTGTGACGTAGGTCGTTTAGAATTATTTGGTGTTACAGAAAGTGTTATTCGACCAGCAATGAAAGAAATAATAGAAATTGCCAAAAGCGAGGGCGTTTTTTTGCCTGACGGAATTGATGATGATATGATTCGCTGTGATGAAAAAAATTGGTATTTACCTTCCATGGGTGTTGATTTACGCAAAGGGAACTTGATGGAATTGGAGACCATTTTAGGTAACTGCTTGCAAATTGCTAGGTCTCATAAAGTTCAAACTATCACTTTAAAAATCTTATATTCTCTATTGAAGAGCATTCAACTAAGGTTAATGGAAGAAAAGAATTTGCTTAAGTTGCCGAAAGAAAGACCAATTCCTGGCGAAGAAGCATTTAAATACTTTTAAAGAGCAAGGGTTTTATGCTGGTTCTATGTTAATTACAGCGAAACCGAATTGAGAAAGCCATAAGTCATTCTTATTTTTGGCTAGTAGAATACGAGCTGTTACAAAATGATCTTTTTTTTTTCAATGATCATCATTCTATAATTGCTGATTGAGAACTGAATATGCAGAGAAACATTAGACTACTTAATAGAGGATAGTTCAATCCAAAAGTTTTTAAGTGAAAGGGAGGTTCAATGTTTGATGTGAATATTCATGAAACCCTAAATATGCAAAAATTTTTTAGCAGGTATTTCGAATATGCAGTTAGGTGCGACAATCGCAATAACCATACACTATCACATTTTGGAAGAAGCCATCCTTCGTGCAAGGAACGCTTGATTAGAAATATGTAAGGGCCAGAATTAAGCTTTCATAGCATGTGGGAATATCAACTAAAACATCTCTTTAATTTTAACACACTAAGACTAAGGAGTGAAATGTCTAATATAGAGAAATAACTAAAGGTCAAGAACTCTGAAACGGTTTCAAAGATCCAATTATCTAAAAAAGATCTGGATGATGTATCCATGGTGCTTTAGCTCTCGCTAAAAGAAAGGGGTTAATCATTTCTAAAAGATTTGATAGAGCCGTAGCCTTGTCTATCCAAATTCTACTACTTTTCAGGAATTTTTTGTAGCCTAAAACTAACCCAGTCTATGAGTCTTCAAAAGAATGGATAGTGAGGATGTATCTAAAATAATAAATAAAAAAAAATTATAAAATCACGTGAAAAACTTGAAATTGTAGTCAAAAATTCGAGCCACACTGGCAAGGCAAAAAATACACTTCTTAGGAAACAGCATGTTAAACACTAGCTATTTAATATATTTGATGGGCTGCACATATTCAAGTCCTTGATTAGAGGCTTATTATCGAAAACAGAGTGATTAACCTCAAGAAGCTGAGAATTATCCGTGTCGAACAAGGAGATGGCTGCTCTTAATAAAGAAGCTCAAAAGAAACATAAGGCTAGACTGGAAAGACAACAGAGTAATGGCCTGAGGCTTTCAGCTTGTGATCGATGTAGAAGACGGAAAATCAAATGTGATCAGAGATTTCCTAAATGCTCAAAGTGTGAGAGCGCAAACGTGGAATGTTATGCATTGGATTCCTTAACGGGAAGAAAAATTGCAAGATCCTATATTTTTCATTTAGAATACAAGATTGGTATTCTTGAAAACATTATGAAGCTGAACAATTTGAAGATTGAAGATCATATCAAGTCTCCGCTCGAGTATAAAGTCCCAAATGCTGCTTTCAATAATGATAAGGAGACGCTTCTTGCTATTGTTTCAGAAGACGATGATTCTCTGAATGAATCGAAAGATGACTTAATCTTATTTAATATGAGAAACCCGGAATCATCTAGAAATCGTCTTGTGAAGATACAAAGGAAGCCCTTTAACTTCTTGATGACAGTCAGACGAGATCCGGCAAACAATATCAGTTCTAAAATGTCAGGGTTATCTGGACTCAAAAATTTTGACTGGAGAAAGTTTTATTTCGAAAATGAAAAGCTGAATAAGGTAGAATCAGAGATGCGTAACTATTTCGGGGATCTTTATATTGAACTTATACATAAAGACCCTTCTGTTGATGAGATTTCAAAAGCGAAAAGCCTTATATCTCGAATTGGCTTAAAACGGGGCTTATCTTATTCCAGAGAAACCCTTGAGTCATTAGATGATGTTTTAGTCAAAGTTAGACTCATTTTACCAACTAAAAATGTTTTGCTTGCTCTTGTTGCCATTTTTTTCAAAAATATTTATCCATTTTTTCCACTTCTTGACGAGACCAGTTTTCGAAATGATTTGAACCGAATTGTGAAATTTGACGAAAAAGGCAACCCTTTGACTCCAGTTCCGGAAGATTGGCTAGATTACGCTTTTTTATCTTTAATGTTGATTCTTTTAAGATTGAGTTATATTTCTGTATTCAATAATGCTGATCTTAATAACGACGAAATTTTTGAAGCCTCACGGACGATAGGAACAATTATACAAAATCCAATACCTCTTGAATCCATAGAATTATCAAAGCTTTGTTTAAGGAAATATGACTTGGTCTCGATTTTTAATTTGAAAATTTTTCAAGCTGTTGTTTTCATGAAGATTTATAAATGTCATGCACCAGAGGACTGTGAAGTGTCAGATTTACCTCAAAGTCAAATATATCATGAAATACTTATCTCAATGGCAGAATCATTAGAACTTAATAGAGACCCAGATATACTTGAAATCGACGATGAGAAAGAGAAACATTTGAGAAGAAAATTGTGGTATTTTTTAGTTTGGAGTGATATGGAAGACTCCATCGTGTATGGTACTCCAGTAGCAACGTTTAGTGAAAAATTCAACACAAAAAGTCCTATTTTTGAAACTGAACTCACTGTATCCAATATTTGGAATGTTTCTTTAGAAACATCTATAATGGCCAATTTCAGGAATCTTTCTCCAATAACGAGCTTACTTCACAGTGTGGTAGAGAAGGTATTTAAGGTGAGTCCCTCATTAGGAATATCGGATTTAGTGTCCTTAGTTTCGAAACTTGAAGCCCTAGTTGAAAAAAATTTTGAAAGTTTGGAAGATTATTTTACAAAAGAAGACTCACAATTTTCCTTTCAAAAGATAATTCGGTTTAAGTTACACTTATATTGCAAAACCTTCCTACTGTATATTAATTACTGCATTGCTCTTTCCTACGAGTTTTCCCGTTCTACTAATTTGCATCACTTTTTTCTAAAAAAACTGTTGGACATACTATATCTGGATTTGTCAATAATAAATGCTGAGATTTTTACGCGCGCTAAAAGCGCTTTTGGTTCTCAGTTCACTTTGATAATCACGCCTGTGATTCAAATCGCTTCTAGATATCTGTGTCTTATAAATTCTATAATGTCCATTAGAATATCGAGCTCCATACACTTATTAAAAAATGAGAATTTCAAAAAGAAAGCGCAGTTTCAGTATTCGGTCAATAGAAACTTAGACTTGCTAGACGAGGCATTAAACAGCATCAAAATTCATTCTGCTCATGAAGTCATTTTTAACTCTTTGATGAGTAAGAGGTACTATTCCAGTTGGAAATGTAAGAAGAACTTCAGGTTAATTTTTGAAAATGGACTCAATCCAGAATTGTACAACGACGAATCATGTAATAAAAAAGTTGTTCTAAAGCTTTTTTGGAATGATCTTGAGGACATGTTGAGTATTTGGAATAGTTCGATTCCGTTGAAGAAGAAACTAATAGATAAATATATGAGCAAATTTTATCATCAGTGTAAAGGGATTTTGCCAGACCAATTGAATGAAAAGAGAACCGAGGAGAATTCAATTGATACAAGCTACCTAAATGATCTTCACAGCGATAGTTTTTGGTTTCAGTTGGAGAGAATCAAGGAAATCGATATTAAAAGACAATATTTAAGCCCTTGCGGTTCCAAGGACAAAGCTGGTTCAGCCTCACTGCAAGAGAGTTCATATGTTTCCGTGTCTAATTTTGACTCTAACCTTGGGGATTTATCATACTTTGAAATGTTATGGGAACATTCCTCAGAGGCTTACTTTACAGCATTTCAAGGTTAATATAGAAAAAAATAGGTATATATTGCTAGAAGACCTAAGTATTCATATAGTTACAAATTCAAACTTTAAATTATAAGAAAGTTCAATTTATGACTTTAATCGGTCGATATGCAATACTGCGAGAAGTGAGTACACGTCAATTTCGCAACATCATGACGCATGGCGGAAAATCCCGTCCTCTAAAGCATCTTTTTCCATCGTCCTTCATCAAGCTTACCAAAAGCCAACAAAACAATTGACCCACTGAATATTCCTGAGCTCCTCTGGCTTAATTAGGTCAAAGTGGACAGCAACTGCAGGTGTTTATCACGTTGAACTGATAAAGCTGGTTCTCTGATATAATGACTTATATGCAGGTGATAAAACTGTGACTTTGACGCTATAGAATCTTACGAATATAAATACGTGAACACAGCTGATTATTTTCACCTCTTAATGATAATTGATTATCAAGAGTAAAAGATAGAAACCAGAGACAAATGTCCGAAAATTTGAGGAATTACAGTGCTGAATTAGTGGAGAAACCTAATATTATTATATTTATGCCCGATCAACTAAGATATGATGCCATAGGGACTTTCGGAAACAATGCTATACATACTCCTAACATTGATAGTTTGGCTAGAAATGGAACTAAATTTACCAATTGCTACTTACAACATTCAGTTTGTTCTCAAAGTAGGGCTTCAATTGTTACATCAAAATATCCTCATTCTACTGGTCATAGAGGATTAAAAACTTATCTTAAGCCTTGGGAGGACAATTTTTTCAAAACTTTGAAGCAAAACGGATATTATGTTTCTAGTGTTGGTTCAAGGGGAGACATATTCTCTAAGGGTGCAACTGAATTAAGTAGCGATGAATATGGTTTCTTTAAAAATCCCGAATTTGGTTACTTGCAGGTTTGGGAAGCGATGCTAAAAAAAAAAGAAAGTCATGTTAATGATGAGACAGACTGGGGAAGGCTATATTACACTGGGTCCAGAGGAGATGAGGCTGTTTATGATTTTGATGAGGCTGTAATTCAGACCGCAGAAAAGTGGCTTGATACAACAGGTAAAACTTTGAAAAAACCTTGGGTATTATTTTTACCCTTAATTTTTCCACATTGTCCATTTGGAGTGGAAGAGCCTTACTTTTCGATGTATAAAGAAAAAAGCTTACCAAAGCCGTTGAACTATAAACTGAAAACAGGACATGAGCCACTCTATATGCAAAAATTACGTACGTTGCATGGTCTAGAGACATTAAGCGATGAAGTTTGGAATGAGGTCATTGCTACATATTATGGTATGATAAGTAGAATTGACGATCAGCTAGGACGAATCCTCTCTAAAGTTGATGACTCAAATACTGTCAAGTTTTTTTTTACAGATCACGGTGAATATTTGGGCGATCATTCTTTGATCGAAAAATGGCCTGCTGGAGTTTCCGAACAATTAGTTCATGAACCTCTTATAATTTCGGGCCCCGGAATTCCTAAAGGAAAAATTGTTGATTCCTTTGCAGAAATGGTAGATCTAGGACCTACAATTTTTGAGCTTACTGGATTGAATACTCGGCCGTATCCTCACAATGGAAAATCTTTGTTACCTATAATTTATGATAAAGTAGAAACTCACAGGAATGAAGTATTTTCAGAGGGAGGGTTTTTGTTTTCTGAAGAGAGCATTATCGAGTATGCTCCATATCCTTATGACATCAAGGCTAATTTGCAGCACACTGATACCAATACAGTGGGAAGGGTTGTGGCCATTAGAAATGAGGAATACACATTTGTGTTAAGATTGTATGAAAAAAATGAGTTATACTCAAGAAGATATGATTTACAAGAAGCTCACAATTTAATTGATGATCCAAAATACCAAGACACGATCAAAGACTTTGAAAGTAAACTCTTACGTTGGTTTTTTGAAACCAGTGACCACGCACCAAATGAATCTGATCCTAGGCAAGTGGAAGTAGATTTGCCCGTTCCAGGATCACTTGTGCCTTTGAAAACTAGTTAGTAAAATATTATCTCCATGTTTGTATTGTCTGTCCGTAATTCTCGCGTATTTCGTGATTTAGAGTCCACTTAAAATATGCTCTATGTTAAATATTCTTCTAAAGAACTGAAGAGTCCAATCGTTTGAAAGTTTTTGATATTTAATATCCGCTACAGCAAATTACCAAGCACAAGGTAATCACCGAAACTTAGTTTATTTAAAGAAATTTAATACCTACGTACCAGAACAATTTATTTATAACAATTATAATGTAAATAACTATCAATGTGGAAATAAAAAATCAATTCTCTTATTACCATCCAACCGATGCTTTTCGAGATATGCTAACTTCTCCTCTGCCAGTAAAACATTCCATTTCTTTGTCTTTTGCCTATTTCTAAAAATATAATAAGCTTTAGCAAACAAGAAGAAAAATGAGCCTGTGCTTACGATCCCTATTAGATTTCGATTTCCTCTCTCATAATAAGGTGCATCGTCAGATCTGTATAGGTTTGCCCCGAGAATATATGCAAGCTGGACTCCAATATTAGATATAGGTGAGGCTATTGTGCGCGCTCTTACAGAATAAGCCACGCTGCAACACCAGCTCACCACTATGGGCTGCGGATTCGGGAATCCTATAATGAAAAACATCATTACGTATTGAGCCCATGGGCTGAGTTTATGAGCACAAGTATACTCAATAACAATAAATATCAACATCCAAATTTGAGAAAAGAAACCTATGATACCTCTTTCATTAAAATAATCCGACAAAAATGCCCACAACAAAAATGTAAAAGCACCAAAAGCTTGTATAGGAATATTCAAAGCATTTATCACCGTGGTAGAAAACCCTAATCTTTTTAAGTTGATTGATTGATAAGCCGTAGTGGGATAGACACCAATATCGAAAAAAAATGAGACGATATAAAGTGGCCACAAATCGAAATCCGTCAACGTTTTTAAAAACTGCCTAAACGAAATACCTTCCCGATTTGACATATCTGATTTGGTAGGGTCGTCTCTCAATAATCTGTTTACAATAATTTTTTCCTCTTTTTCAGTTAGATAACCCTGTTTGAGCCACTTTTTTTTTGTTTGCGATGGCCCTGGAACCATTAAAAAATAAGCTGCAATTCCAACTGTTAACGAAACAATCGCATCAAATAAAAATAGCCAACTCCAAGGACGTACTCCATATAAGTCAATTTTCAAGAAACCGATGGCCAACAATGATGATAGAATGGATGCGTAATTGTTCGTTAACCAAAAGATCGCTAACCTAGTACTAAGTTCTTCCCTTGTATAAAACATGTTTATATAGGCAACTGCATCGGCAATAAATCCACTCTGGAAAGCACCCAAAAGAAATCTTATAGCAAGAAAAGAGTTTCTAGAATTGACCCAGAATTGACCACCAGCAAGTATCAGCCATAAGATAATTTGTATTGGGATCCATTTATCGGGCCCGAATCGCTTTCCCAATAATTGAGAAGGTATTTCTCCCAAAATAAATGCTACGACTTGTAAAGTATTACCTAAATTATAGTCATCGTCACTTATGTTAGTATCTTCTAGAAAGCCGCCTGCAATTGCTTGACCCAAATTACCCCTATCTAAATCTAAAGCAAAAAACATCAAGCTAACGACAGTAAGAATCTTCAAGTCAACTTTAAGAACAGCTTTCCGTTCTTCTCCTACTGTCCAGCGAAAGTAAGGATCAAATCTAGTAAAATTCTCATACTTGGGAGGAGGATAGTATTTTTTAGCGACTTGTGGGTCAGGGTCTTCAAAAACTGATAAACGAGTAGCAATTGAATTTTTGTCTTTTGGCACTTTGTCTCTTTTAAATAGTTTTTTTAATGAAAACGACTCAGCATCAACATTGAACGGTTTTACTAACTTGTCTATGTCATCAGGAAAATATTCTTCGGAGCCTACGCTTTCGTTTTCAAATGAAACATTTGAGTTCTCGGTATGAACCTCACCAATGGTGGCATGAGCCTCTTTCTCTTCATGGCTAGCCATGTCTTTCTATATTGTTGCAAACTTTTAAGCCAATCATTCTTCCGTGATATATTTATACTAGCTAGTTTTCATAATTAATTCTTCGTTTTTGGTCTGATGATTTTGCAAAAGTCATCTTCTCCAGCGGAATGTTCCGTCTCCACAATTTTGATAGCCGCAAGACTAATGAATTAAATCGTAAAAGTGATGAGATTGCGTGCTTAAAAAGCTGTGTAAAAACATTCATCCTGCATATTTCTCCTAAGTTAAAAATGAATTCTAAGACTCTCGAATACATATCAGATTATGGTGAGAGAAAGGTTGGAAATTGCTACAGCGGGGACCCATGATGAACCCTCTTCTTCCAGATCCTCTCCAGAAGCTCTTCTTTGCGTTTAAATTGATAATAGCGGCTAAGGAGAGTCGGAAATGAAAAAGTACGAGTCTTTCATTCAATCTATCCACTTCTTAACTCTCACTTCCTTAATAAATCTAGATCAGAAACCAATCGTTCAATGATAAGCAAGAACTCTCTGCATTACCATCTTTTCTTCTTTGTCTTTAAATCTTCAAGAGTGAGCTAAAGTTTTTTTAAATCAGGAATTAGCGTTTTGAACACTCAAATGTAGAGATGCGGTTCATACGCTACTTTAGTTAAATTTTCATAATATACGGATAAAAGAGGACACAATGCCCACTCAAGAGTTGAATTGCTATATAACTAGATAAAATAAATAAAAACGGTCTTTTTTACTAAGATAATTAACAGAACGTTTGACCAGTGAACTTGCTAGCTGAAGAAAATACACAACACTTCCAATAGTAAATTCCAAAAAATCCTCTTAACAATATGTCTGGAATTACCTTATTATGATGGTCGCCCAATGAAGTTGTCCATTTTCTTACTAGTAAAATTCTTGAAGGAGTTAAGCAAGATTGAAATTGAGTTGGAATGTCTTTCAGACAAGTTAGCATCAAAATGGGTCTAACTCCTGTTTAAAAAGTTTGGGCGAAGAGGATTTCCAGACAATTGAAAATGCACCGACTACGTGTGAAATGTTAATGCATTGTCAAAAATTCACATTAGCTTTATAATTATAAGCTTCAATCCCATTGGGTGTGTTTCGTTTGGGACCTTTGAACCATTTTCTGGCACTTATTAAATACCAAAATATTGCAATAGATATTGATCCCCAATAACAAACGACTGTCCAATTCATATTTGAGTACTCCAAATTTGGGCCTCGATTAGCAGGAAAGCACAATATGACCAACATCAAAGAAACAAAAAAAATTGCATAGAATCCAACAAAAGGTGAATACTTGCCCAAATTCCAGGGACCTTTAGAAAATGAGTTCCTTTTAACAGTATTTCTTAAAACTACTGGTAAAATAAAAGCAACGTAAGCAGCAGATGCGCCTAATGAAAATATTGCGCCTATTGCAACTTCATTGAACAATAGCAAGCATAGAAGTATCCCAACAATGTAATTAGCCCAAACAGATCTCACAGGTGTCTTCGTTACAGGGCTCACCTTACCCAAGAAGTCAGAAAAAGGAAAACATCCATCTCTAGCATATGAGAAGAAGACTCTGCTTGCTGTTAAGGAGCATGAGCAACCCATAAAGAACGTGGAAATGGCACTTAATGAGACTAATGCTAATGCCGCTTTTTTACTAACAACCTGATCGCAGTATGCAGCAAAAGGGAAGCCGGAAGACACCACCGAAGGTAAATCAATCAAAGTATAAGAAATTACGATTAAGAATAAAAACCCCATGGCACTTCCTACGGTTGTGCTAGTAACAATAGCCCTAGGCACAGCAATATCGGCATTTGAACATTCTTCAGATAAATGAAAAGCGCCATCAAATCCAGCCTGAGCCCAAATGGTACAAAGGAAAGACATGAGCATTGCAATACCATTTGGCCAATCTGTCATGTTCAGGAAATCAGACCAGACCTGATGATTTGAGTTGAACCTTGGACTTTCTCTTTTGTTTCCTGCCAAAAGAGTGATGCATACTATAAAATAAGAGGCAATTTGAATTCCGGTAGTAACCAAGTTAAAATGAGCCAAGTATTTTGTCGGCAAAGATGCTACTATTGACAGCAAAGTCATAAGCATTAAAGTCAATAAATAAATTTGCCACTTTGTTGCAGAAAAGGATGGCTGGTTGATTGTAACCAACCCAAAGATCATTTGAGCTAAGGAATAATTAACACTAGGGGCCCACGTTACTTGTCCTAACCAGTTACTCCAACCAGTCACCCAAGAAAGAAATGGACCCCATCCTTTGGGTGATAACATGAAAGCTGAATAATACAACCCTCCGCTAGTAGGTGTACTTGAAGCTAACTCTGCCATTGATAAGGAAATTGAGATAACTCCAGATGCAGCAATTAACCATCCCCAAGTTATTCCAGGTAGGCCAATATACCCAATACCATATATCAAAGAAGATTCGATAGACGGGAGAATTCCAATAACTGAAAAAGCAATAGCAAATGTAGAAACAAAATTCAATTCTCTTTTAAACTCTTGATTGTATCCTAAGCCCACTAGTTTTTTTTCATCGTTGTCAAGCAGATCATCGTCAGTGGGAGCTGTAGATAAAAAATTGCTTAATGTTTCGACTTTCAACTTAGCTGCAGAAGACATCCCAGGTAGTACTTTCCAGTGTTTTCTTGCATCTCTTGAAATTTTGTCTGTTCCATTTTATTCCATAGTATAATAAATAACTGTTGACAAATATGGCTTAAAGCTAGAGCCACAGTTTATGATCCGATGAGCAGTTTTATAAAAGAGATTCTTCAAGAAGATAAAACAAATAATGGCTTGTAGGCACCTAGATGGCATGTTGAAGAATAACTACAATAAAATATAGTATTATTAATATAAATTCTTTCTTGGCTCCGAAGATAAAAATGTCTACAAATTATATTAAAGATGAAGAATCTGTGATTCAGAGACTCGTATCGAACATGGCTCCTCACGGGACCAAAGTATACCTCGTCACTTTAGGGGAATTAGAAGCCGATGCTTCTTGGTTTTTGGAAGGAGCAAATTCCCAAACTAAAAGCCAATATGATCAAGGCATAGTTCCGTCTCATAAAAGAGTTCGACTTCAGATGTATTCTGTTCTTATAGATCATCCCAATGAGGGTCTCATATTGTACGAAGTGGGCCCAGGTAAGGCAGGGTGGAAAGAAAAATGGGGAGATCAAATATTGGATAACTTTTGTGCTCCTGAAGAGGGACAGGGTCAATCATTGGATATTGCACTAAATTCTCTCGGGTATGATATAAAAGAAGTCAAGCATGTTATTATTGGTCACCTTCATATTGATCATGCTGGGGGGTTGGAGTTTTTTGCTGATACAGAAACACAGATTTGGGTTCATGAAATCGAGCTTAAACATGCTTTTTGGGGAGTGGCTACGAAAAGCGAACTCGGTTCATATTTGCCTTACTATCTCTATTTAAATTTAAATTGGAACACTTTTCCTGACGAAACTCTTGACTTGTTTCCTGGTTTGACTCTTCATTTGGCGGGAGGTCACACTCCAGGACTAACTATTCTAGAAGTCAACCTAGAGAGAGATGGAACATTTATCTTCACATCAGACCACGCTATTATTAAAGAAAACTATGAGAATGGTGGTCATAAACAAGGCTGGTTAATGAGAGATCATGTTGCTTGGTATAACTCCACCCAAAGAATTAGAAGACTACAAAGGTTAACCAACGCAACAGTTGTATTTGGTCACGATTTACTGACTGTGAAAACTCTTTTGGAAGAGAAATTTTATTTTAGTTAGTCATGGTCAGCACTATTTATTATAATTTTCAGGATAACTTAATGTCCGTAATATTGTCGCTGGTTGATCTCTTAACAAGAACCCTGCTACTTAGTTGATTAGAGTTTTTGATTAAATTCTGATTGTTAATAATTTAAGAACAAAAAAAAAAAGAAAAAAAAAAAATACTCACGTATAGAGGACATATCTTCTCGACTTCCTGATGCAAACTTCTTAATACTTCATCATTCTCATTCGACTCAATATGGACAGTATAATTTAAATCTTCGATACCGGGAACTTTGTTCTCAAAACCTTTCATCCCATTTCTCAAATCTAATGACCCGGAAGCTTCTACGCTTAATGAAACTAGAGATATTCTTTTCATTCCAGCAACCACTAAATACATATGTGAAATACAAGCAGTTAAGGATCCGAGTAACATTTCAGGGGCTGAAGCTCCTAAGTTGTAACCGCACCACTCTTTTGGGCTATCTGCAAGAATTTGGTGATTTCTTATTTTAATTCTTCTAATACCACTTCTACCCTCGACGTCGGTCTCTACTTTAAGCACTTTCTTGGTTTCTTGGGAACTGCTGTAGGACAAGATCTCATCATAATAAGATCTCATTGCAGGTCCTTTAACTTTGAGAAACCCCTCTAAGTTCTGAAGATCGTTTGACATATTTTTCGTAAATTAAAAGTTTTCAAACATTAAAAATTCTCTCAGTTCTACTTTTATTCTTTTCTGACGCCACATATGTGAGGCGAAGACGCGCAATTTTTGGAAAGGTTTTTGCAACTTGATATCATTTGAGAAGAGAGGTAGCATAATAAAATTAAAAATCACGTGCCAGATAGTACCTTCAGTGAAGAAACAAGTACAATAATGTAGAGCTATCACTATCAACTTTTGTTTTGTTAATAGAGCAGCGAATAGTTATTAATAATTAAAAAATGAAAGAAAACAGTAATTGCCGAATAGGATGCTGTTCTCGACTTTCACCTTATGCCTAAAGATATAGAGTAAGATCACTCAGTGATTCAGCTATTTAAAACAACTCTTTTCTGCATTCTAACAATATGCTTATCATCATCAGAGCCTCACTGTACTACTCAAACTAGCTTATGAATTGAGGGATATTGAAGCTCAACGAAAGCACCAGTTTCATAAATGAAGTATATTCACATATCGATTTTTATGATATAATTGATTAATACTTATGAAGAATAAATGACCACATATCTCTGCAAACACTTTATTCATAGAATTAAAAAAATCCAGTTTGAATAATTGAGAGAATTTGAAATTCATTGAAAGAAGTTGAAAACCTGAAATAAAAAATTTCTAAAGGATTTGAAGAATATGATGAATATTACAAAGGAATATATTTTCCTTTTTTTCTGCTAGTTTTAGATTTTTTTTAAACAATTAAAGGGGTATGAGTTTTCTAGATTCCTTTTTTATAAGGTGCCTGACAAGTCATCCGAGTGATATTTTTACTACAAATTAATAGCAAATCTGCTGTAGAATTAGGTAAACTCTTGCAATTTTTAATAACCCGGAATTATCGAATTTTTTTATAGAATGAAGTTATGTGCTAGATTTCTATCAAGCTGAAAGATGTTTTCTTCAGGTTTCCTGAGAAGAATTGAAGAACATAAGTAAATCATTATTAAAGTTGATCAAAACCAATCTCCAAAGTCGCTTCAATGAACTGCATTTAATTTACTATAGCAGTTCCAGCCTACAGAAAACAATTTTTTCTTTAACTTGGAACCGAGCCGTAAATTCGGCTTCCTTGCTGAAATCATTTGAAAGTCAAGTTCAGTTTGCAAATTCAAAAGGAATGCATATGATGCTTTCTTACTTACTGCGAACAATTAGAGAGCATAAATCTAATAAATTTCCAGAACCTAGCAATTATCTAGATCTTTGAATCTTCAACACGTAAAAACTTTTTTAGCCAGACTTTAATATCGATAATCGTTCCTTCAAACACTCCTCGATCATCTATCTCTACGGCGTTGTCGTCGTAGATCATTCTTCCATTATCGAGATCTATTCTCTTCAATGGAATTAACAAGGGCCCTTTTAAATATACCTTGGCCCCTATATAAAGTACAATCATGATAACAATTGAAATATAATTTGCAAAAAAGTTTTTTGCAGACGATTGATCATCCCATGGCCATACCGCTAAATAAAACTCAATTATGATGATTAAAATACACCAAAAAAGACCGTACCAAGCAGTATAAGGTACAAGATTAGTTTTCCATGGTAGATCTTCGATCTTTCTTCCTTGGGCCTTCCATGCTTTTCTGAACCTGATGTTAACTATAAAAATAACAGACCACAACAAGAGAGCAACTAAAGAAGAAAGATTCAGGAACCAACCAAACACAACAGCACCGCTATTACTGAGATTTATAAAAGCAAGACCTCCACTCAACATTCCGCTAAATAAATAGCCAACATAAGGAACCCCTCTTTTATTTACCCTACTGAAAATTTTAGGTGCCATTTTTAAATGAACTAATCCTAGTAATATACGAGGACACCCATAAAATGTAGCACTGCATGATGAGAAAACTGAAATTAAAATAATTGCATTCATTACATGCGCTAAACCTGGAATCCCAGCACTTTTAAAAGCAATAACAAAGGGAGAAGCATTGACACCCGAACCGCCCAAAAGCTGACTGTTGTTTGGGTCAATGACAATGGTCACAACAAAAGCTCCAAGAATATAAAAAAGGGCAATTCGAAGCCATATAGATTTCACTGCAATAGGAACTGACTTTAATGGTGATTTACACTCTGCAGCAACTAATGCCACTATTTCTATACCTGCCAATGAAAAAACGCAAGTCGCTAGAACTGTAAGAAAACCTTTAAAACCATTATGATTGAACGGTTGAGATTTCCAATATTGGAACCCAATAGGGTCACCTTTAGGCGCCGCTCCTGCACTAATTATAATCATAACTATCACTGCAATGAAAACCCAAAAAAACTTGATCCCAGACATAAGAGATTCGGCCTCAGCAAAAATATGAACAGTCAATATATGCATAAAAATTAAAGTGACAAAAAAAACTGAAATCCAAACTCCAGGATTGATTTTGGGGGCCCAAAAACTCATAACAGTGGCCATTCCAACTAATTCGTTAGATGCTCCTATCATGTTTCCCCACCAATGCATCCATCCAACAACTAGTGCGACAGAAGGGTCTATGAATTGAGTGGTCCACCTTGGAAAGGCAGAAGGAACTGGATACATAGTTGCTAGCTCTCCTATTGACAAGTTTAGTACCCAAGCTACACTACCTGTGATAATATAACCAATAAACAACCCAACTGGCCCTCCTTTATGTAAAGAAGACCCAGATCCTAGCCACAAGCCCATTCCGACTGCTGAGCCTATAGATATCATAAAGAGATGTCTAGAAGTCATCATCTTCTTAAGGTCTCTATTATCCAAAGGCACCTCATACTCAAGAACTTCTAACTCTTTTTGCAAAGGCTTGAGGGATGAATGTTCGCTTTCCCCCATTTTTTATTGTTCTAGTAAATATTTTAGTTGACAATTCTACTGTACTCGAATCATTTAAATAGTTGAAAATATGTTCTGCATTTAGAAAGCCACATTATTAAGAATCAGCTTTGTTGACGATATTTCAAAAATCGCCGTGCAGTATTCCTAGTGCGTTGAATACCGAAATATATTAGACAAACGTTATTTGTCTACAAACTTTTTTGCATTAGACGTTTACTTATTTGACGTTTTAAGGTATTCGATGGCTAAATTCTGCTAAGTTTTGTTTTAATATGAAGTGAATGTTATATCAGAAAGCGCATTAAGCGAGTCAATACATGAAGTGGTTTTAGAGGTGAACTATGTTACAAGCACTTAAATTAGGTAAGGCTTATTTAAAAAGGAAGTTTTAGGTGCCAAAATCTTGAATTCATTGTATCATTTTATTAAACTTCTAGCTAAAAGAAAAAATCGTTAGATTACATTTCTGATAGGAAAGGAGCTCTTGATCCCATACTCCGCTACCATTATGAGGGAAATAACAAGCACATACAATTCAATATAGTCATGTAAAAATTTGATGTCTATATATTTTACTTTTAAGGACACTTTTGAATCTGGGATTTACTAGATCTGAAAGATGTCATCAAGTGAAAACTTCAAATTTTTGCATGCACTATTCTTAAACAATTGTTATGTGCACATAAAAGATAAATTCGCAGCCTTTTTAGGTGTAAACTATAGGTGTCGAGAAGGTTACCGAAAAGATCACTTCTATGGCTTGACTTTCATCGCTATACAAGGGCCTAATTAAGAGATTTTTTGGGCTCACTTGCTAGCCAACCTTTGTAAAAATTAGTAGTAGATTATGATCTCAATATTCTATGTAAACTTTTTGCTAATTTTATTAAGCTCACTAAAGGTAAAGGCCACCAAAAATAGAATTACTATGGGGGCAATTATTAAATCAATACAATATGATCTTTTCTTGCACTAATCGCTATTCTTTTGAAGATGATATAGATTTTAATAAGTGATGTCAAAGGAATGGTTTTGTAGACGTACTACAAATCATGATGAGGTCAAGTATTGAAATACTAAATGGGCACGAAAGGTTACTAAACATTGTCAGTCGAATTCCTAATAAATGAGGTTTTACTTTATTACATAAATGTTCAAATTTTCAAATCAAAGATCAAATGGTTTACTGGAATCAATAGAAGCTCCTGAAAGCTATTTGGTCTTTCAGATGTTAACATTAGTATTAAACATTGATATAACAACTTGTTAATTTATTCCTAAATTTATTTTCTTGATAATAATCCAACTGCTCGACTCAAAAGGAAATAGCTCCGAAGTTTATTGGACCTAGCTTAGGTTCGATTTGCCTTAAGTTTTATGACCAGATAGGTGAAGATAAAATTTAAAGTAACTTATTTATTCCTAACGTGTAAAACATTTTAATTTATTGATAATGTAAAGTCCCTAAAAAACGGTATCGAGAAATACAAGCCATTATATCTGTAGCTCATTCAACACTAAAAAGGATTTTCTATAGCATTCAAGGCCGAGATATGTCTTCAATTTAACTTAAACTTTGTTCAAAATTCTTATGGTGAACTCTTTACAAACCATTCTTTGTTGGTATAATGAAGATGCATGATTTTGCAAATAATTTGGAGCTCTCCAGCCTTGTAAATATTTTTAATTTCATCGGTTTTGGTGAACTTAATCCTAAGTTCAATTACAATCCATTCTCGTCACTTTTAAAGGAAGACAAATAGGAGTTAATCTATACTTAACTATCCTCAAATAAGAAGCAAAATGTCTATGTACAATTTCAATATTTTTTAATAATTCAAAGACAAGAAAATTTCCTCTATTCAAGGAGAGAGCATTATCTATCTTTATACGGATGAGTTTATCTTTTGGTTTTCTTGACTATTGTGCTACTGATAAAACTGACATTAAGAAATAGGGAAATTCATTGATCATTAAGATTTCTTGTCAGATTAATACCTTAAATGAAAAAGTTTTGATTAAGATTTTCAAATAAATAAATCGTAGCTTCAAAAATTGTGGTCAAGATCCAAAAGTTACATTTTTCCTGATTTGTGCTTTCTAAACCAAGAGATTGAATCCAGATAATAGCTGAAATCTTTTTAACTATAGTTATCTGACCGTGAACGAGGAGCCTTTTGAAAGCTTTTTATTTGCACTAGAGATAATTATGATAGACATATTTAGAACAGATTTCAATGTGATATTAATGCGTTTTATATTTACGTTTCAAATAAAGCAAGAGTCAGCTTATCAGTCTGCATGAGATAGCTCTCTCAATTATGAGGAAAAGAATTGTATTTATAGGCTACATTTAGGAGTACAGTGACAGTATTGTAAATCATTGATAACATGAGCTTAATTCATTTTGGAACCAAGAAGAGATTTCTCCAGAATTACATTATGATCAACAAGACGAAATGGGATACATGGTTATTTAAATAAGCTTCTTTTTAAGGGTCCGTATAGGCCCCAAGTGTCTTTTTGTCTTAGGCTCCGTTCATACAATTATCACCATGAATAAGCAGGGCAGTTTTACAGAGTTTTGCGATACTTTTGACAGCTTGATAGTCAAAATGATCTCTGACACTCATGACAGCATAGCGGTTTTTATAATTCTTAAAAGCCCAAGGACAATACCAAGACCAAAAAACTGCACCTGGTAAATGATCCGGTTGAACATTTGGATCCGCTGCCTTTTTATAGACAAAAGGTTGCTAGATAACCTCACCAGTTGTTCCATAAACTTCTTGAGGCTGCCTTGCTCTCCCATCCCGTACCCTGAAAAAACGCCTCCCTTGGTTTGGGGGTTGGCATTTTCATGGTCGTAATATCTGAATCTGGTTCCAATTAACGCCGGTGCAAATCATGTAAATGTCGGCTTCATGAACACGGTAAAAGCCGGACACAAGTGCCACACCAACAATTCTATCATTATAAGAAGCAATATCCAAATATTCAGCTCCACCTTGGAAAATTACAATAAGAAAGATATTAATTTAGTCGATATCGCCTCTCAGGATATAATAGTCGATTCCGACTATGGAATTCTGATTATTCATAGTAGGATTTTCCAATAGTCTTAATTTCCCAGAGCTTTCGCTAACAGAGCGTGGGACAAAACTCAAGCGGCAAATATGCTTGGTTTGGTTTGTAGAAGGAGTAGCACATTGAATTGATGCTTGTTCTATAATAAAGGAATCGGGTCCACTTAATCTACCAGGTATGTTAGACACATTATTTGGATGTTCCTATGTGCTAGCAACAGTCTGTGCGAAGAGTAAGAAAGAAACTCTTCCAGTAGTATTTCTTCCAAAATTGCATAATAATATTACTCTATGAAAGTATGTTGCTTATAGCTATTGCTAATAAAATTTCTTGTAGATTTTTTGGGTTAACTTTTTTTATATTTTTTCTTATATCGCCATAGATACGGTTTATGACCTTGATATTTTGCTGTATTATATTTGGCAAAGTGTATCTTGAGGACCATGAAGCTAACTTGAATAATTAATTTTTTAAATTATACGGCTTATTCCCTTTACTACGTAATCTTTATGTATGTAGTTGATCGAAGTGTTCATGACCAGAAAGCAGCACTGAGCTTGTTGATCCCAATCAGCTGCGGCTTATAACCAATAATGTTTTTGTGTTTTCTTTTTTTTTTTTGTTGTATTTAACCAAAGTGTGCTCTGGATGACTCACTATCAAGCCAAATATGACTCCTTTGCAAATCTATCTATATAATTCTTGGAAAAAAGGTATACAAGAACTATCGACTATGGGATATGTCTATTATTGATAATCTTAAGGGCCTTACAATATCTGAGTTAGCCCAGATATTGTTGCTGCGAATTAATAGAGGACAGTCAAAGATCGAAGAAAATGAGTACATTAAGCTAGTCATAAGAACACACTGCTGTCTGATATTTGACGAAATAGGTATAGCCGTACTTAAGCTAAAGTCTGACACAGTAGTCACAATTGATGACGTTATAATGATTCTCAATCTTGATGACATGCATGGAAATTGTGATACAAATACGGAAGTGTATGAAGTAGTACCTTTCAGTTGTAGCGAAAATCTTGAAAGAATGTTACAGGAAATCAAAAATGACAGCTAATAGTAATAAATAAATACTGCTGTCTAAAGGAAGGATCCACACTCTTAAAGTATCTAACGAGTAGGATAAGAGATGGTGTGATAACTTAAATTTACAATGAATTATGCATAATTCAAAGTTTATTAGTTTGAAGTACCAGATTTATATTTAGGGTCACAACCTCATTGCTTAAAGTTCAATTTTTCATTGGTCCTCAATTTCAACTATTTAAAATTATAGATTTTTCAGTAAATTTTGAAATTTCGTAGCCGTGAGGGCCAAGAATAGCATGCGTTACTACTTCATTTTGCCTTATTTGTTCTTGCTTGATCTATTGAAGCTGAAATAAGCTAGAGTAGCAATAAAAGGTAAATTCACAAACTATCCTCTTCAATGATCTCTCCGAAAATCTGTGTAGTCTATTTTTAGTGTTAATATATATTGAAAACTCAATAAAAGGTGAAAAAAAATTAGCGATTCATTTAGCACTATATTTCATCTCAGTTCTTGTATTAAATTTTTGAGCTCAATATTGCTCTTTTTTCAACGCTAATAAATTGAAGGAGAGCTCTATTTCGTGAGTAACGTTTCCACTAAGATAGTCGCTCGAAATTAGTTTATTTGAAATTGTTCATTGGTTCTTTTGATAATTACCCTTGTCTATTTGTATATCACATTGCCATTAAGGTGGAAGAACTGCAAAATGAGAAACTTTGTTTATTAAATGATCAAAAGCAAGATCTGAGATAAGATATAATGCTAAATAATTTGTGACGCGGTCCTTGATACCGCCTCAATTTGTTCAAAATTATATCTTGTGTTGTTACAATTTCTCCATTAATGATCTTGAGAATTAGAAATAGCTCGCTTAGAGGAAGTTTCTATTCTCTCACGGTTTCTTGATCGCAACAACTGATAACAACGTGATCAGCTGTGGAATAAATTTCCTTTTCATTTCATTGAATTCTGCCACTATATTTGCCTTTGATTCCTCTTTCTGCTTTTCGTTTAAAGATGAAAACATTGGGCTTATGTCTCCTTTCTCAAAGAGATACTCAATATCAGAATCACGAGAGTAAGGTAGCTTGACGGAATATGACCAACAATAGAGAACTTCAAACCCATTAGATTGTAACAAATTTATCATTTTATCTCTATTTCCTAATTCAAACACATCCTTTGGAAAACGTGGATGATATCCTACTTTCTTAAAGTTTCTCAAGAATAGATCCATAATATCATCAACTCCCACAGGTACTGTTAACCCTATTCTTCCATTAGATTTCAAAACCCTCCACGCTTCAGCGAGAAACTTGCTTGGATCTGACATAATGTGAATGCACATAGTACTAACGTAAACATCAGCACATTCATCATTGACAAAAGCCAAATCTTGAGCATCTCCGAGACAGAATTTATGATCTATTTTCTTGTTGATACCATTTAAGTTTTTTTTCCTTTCTTCTGCTAGTTCAATCATGGACAGAGATACGTCTACAGATATGATCGACCTCGTTTTCTTTAGATTACTGAGTAAATGTACAGTATAAATACCAGTCCCGCTTCCGACTTCAATTATATCTTTAGCATCTCCAATATCAACCATTATACCTAATGAAATGCACGAAGCAAAGTAGTACGGTTCCAAAGTCTCTTGATAATGAAGTGTACGGTTATTATTCCAAAATTCTTCGGTATCCATTTTGCTTAAGTTAAAATGTATTATATTTGGTATGTATGTCGACAACTGAGTTTTTAACTAGAAATAACACGTATTTATATACCTTATACGATATATAATGAAATTTGAGCAATGCAAATCCTAAAGCGTTTAAAATGTACCATAGTGGTTATGTATGTAACATAGGGGAAAAGGAGTGCGAAGAGTATCTAAAAATATGTGAGAACTAAACTTTCTAGTCGAAAATAAATTTCCTATGTTTCTTTGTGGTAATGGTTATATGAACAGAGTAAGAGTAAAACTCGACTTACTTTTTAAAATGTCACTATATGTTACGTGTATAGATTCAAAATTAAGTTCTGATAGGTAAGGCGATTTAATATTTGTTAAATGGAACTGGACGTGTTGAAGATTTGAGTCCTACTTCGTAGCTCCTCATCGCCAGACAACCTATCTTTTTTCATACTTCTTGAATGCGTTCTCTAGTCTTGTCTTACAAATTTATACATCAAGGCATGAAAAGGTCTTGAATAGGTCTTGGATAGTAAAAAAATTCTTTTGAGAAGGAAGGGATGCCTCGGACTGTTACTACGGATTAAAATATAAAACCTTAGGGGACACATTTGAAGTCGTCGTAATGAACTCTGAGCCAACGTATTTCCCAGAAGGGTTTGCTTTAAATAAAGACAGTTCTCTTATGATTCAGAGTCTTTTTTTAATAAAATTTTTTTAAGAAAGATGCAGATCTCATTTTTCTGTCATTTATGTTGATATTTCAGAGTTCTTATGCACCAAAGAACTTGATATATCTAACTATAGTATATTTCGCTTTCTTTGCAGTTGAATCAGCTACGGTGACTTCCGTTGAACACAACTTCGGCAGAAGATTTTATTTGTTGGAGACTCTCTCTGGTCTGGTGTTCGATGTTTTGAAATCAAAAAGATTGGTTTTTCAACAAACAAGACCATGCTAGGATAATCCAGCTAATCAAAAACTATAATGTAATATCTAGATCTTCAAACAGAAATTTTTCAAAGCGAATTTTATTACTTTAAAGAGATTTATACTCATACATAGACCCAGATTATAATAGTAGTACGTATTGTAGTATGAGTATATATTGAATTATACGTGGTCTCTTAAAGAGTCATAACTCTCTACCTTGTTAATTACATCAACTTTTCGTTCAATGTGTGAAGAAACCTCACTGCTAATATCAGGAATCAGTTTCTTTCCCGTCAAATCTCTGAGAATAAATTTAAAAAACAAAAACACTTCTCTTCTTGATTCGATTATAGGAAATAAGATGATTGTACCACCCGCCATGAAAGCAAATATAAATGTAATAGCAACCCAACCAGTGAAGAAAGCTTTAGAAAAAATGTAGCTTGAGCCATACATAGGAATTGGCCAGAGAATACAAAGAGAAATGACAATAAAACACGATGAAGCAAGTGCCCAGTTTCTTCTTTGCTTCAATACTTTTGTAAATTCTATGTTCTCAATCTCTTGTTCTTCTTGATTTGATTTTATTTCAGAGTTGCCTTCGCTAAACCCTGAATCGTCAACTTGCTTCAAATTTTTTAAAAGCTCAAAGTTATAGTTTTCTGGTTTGATAAAAGTGATTAAAGGAGTCAAGATGATTGGGGCTGTAAGAGCCAACATGTTTCCAGCAACCGTGGGATAAAAATCGCTCAAAGAGTCAATAGTAACGAAACCTGACCTATGATAAGCCACTCCTATCCAAGTACTAATAGAAGCTGCAGAAGAAATTATGGGAACCAATGCAACAGCATACTTTGACTGTTTTTTCCAAAACAAGGTACACGCAGAGGGTATTACAGCACCATCAATTAAAATACCAATTGCAGTAACGATAAATGAAACTGAAAACCCAGCATGGCAAAAGCCAATTGCTGTAGAAGCAACGATAATTAGGAAGGTGACAACCAAAATATGCGAAACGATTATCAATTGTTTTCCAGTAGCTTTGGGATTGATATAGCCTCTGTATATATCATAAGTGATTAATGAAGTGACAGCAACAGTTTCAGAACTTAGGGCACTTGTAACAGCCTGAAATAAAGCCAAGAGAATAGCCACAACCCCACCCTTTCCCATGATAGTATAAGCAAGAAACGGCATGACAAGTGAGTCATTAATCTGATCCTCACTTAATGGTTCTGGGTATGTGGGAAAAGAAGCCGTTAGCTCCAAGGCTCTAGTCCCTAGTCCATATGTTATCGATAAACAAAATGGGATTGTGAACCAGCATAAACCTCCAAGGGTGTAACCTAAATACGTTGATTTAGGGTGAGCTGCGATAGCTTTTTGAAATAGTTGAGAATCAACAGTCGCTGAAAACCCACCCCCCAAAAAGATTAGACCAACCATACCTCCCATAACACTTCTCATTGTTAGATATGAACCACCAGCGTTTTGATCAACAGGAGCCTTTTCAGCTGCTTCCACTAGCAAATCATAAATTTTTCCAGGTGACCCTCCAACGTTCCCCGTTGCGTACAACACAAATAGAGAAATCAAAGTTATAATATATATGATAGACGTGTGAACCCATTCTGTTAAGAAAGTTGCTTTCAAGCCACCGAAGAGTGTATATATGGCCACGCCTATCGGAAAAAGGAAGCAAGTTGCCTCTTGCGACATGCCTGTAACAACCCCAAAAATTTGAGCAGCACCAACCAAGAGATTAACAGAGATAAAATATTGGTAAATCAAAGAATAAAACGATAAAATTAGATGACCCCAAGGGCCATATCTTGCTTTGACTACTTCCAAGAATGTGTGAGCATTTGGTGCTTTTGCTTTCAATTCTATTGCTGCAATTGAAAAGAAAAAAATTTGGCAGCAGCATCCTGCACTATACCAGAAAGCAGCAGACACTCCGTATAAGTATGTGAATGTCGATGAAGTTAACAATGTAGCTGATAAAGTCCACGAAGAAACAACCGAGCTCGCGATAAGTCCTGCTTTGACTGACCTTTTCGCTGTTAAATACATTTCTGAATCCTGAACCTCCTGGAAATACTTCTTTAAGAAAAACGATAATAAAGACATAAAGGCAGCAAAGGCTCCTCCTAAACCAATCACAATGCCGTACCCAGTTCCTTCGTCAAACAACGGAAATAAGTCATTCAGATTATCGGTGGTAGATGTCATCGTTTGAATTTTTCGGATGTAATATCTTTCAAGAACATTTTTGTTGGAACTATGGTCTTTAATACTTTATCAAAAAATTAATGGTGGAGTTTTCCCGAATTTTATTAGTTATACCGTCTCACGAATATTTAAAAAAAAAAAAAAAAAACAATTTCTCCACAGCGTTCTGTCCCTATTTAATAACGTAAGTAATATAGCGACTGTGGCTCTCCCTATTAAATCTCTGTTGTGGCTGATATTCTATTGCAATATTTTCAATATAAGTTTATCGTTTGCGAAAATTATAAGATTTGGGATCAAGAGCATAATTTATTTTGTCTATATTCTTATACACTCGTATCCTAGGTATACCAAGAAGGGGTTGGAATTTCATGAAGCAAAAAAAATGAACCAACTTCGCGTTTTTTATACGCCAATGGATCGTGAAGAGAATGAACTCTAACGTTTCTCCAAAACCTATCTAAAGCAAATGTTGTCAAAGCCGATCTTGCACCAGTAATTTCAAAAATCTTTGAAGTCACCTCCAACGCAACTTCCGCTGCAACGACCTTACTAGCGGCAACCTTAACTGCAATTTCACCTCTAATTTGTTCATTCAAATGTGTTCTATCATCATGTAATGCATAAGAAACAGACTTCGCAGTTTTATAAATCAAAGCCTCGGCAGCAAATAGCTTGGATGCTAAATTTCCATAAGTTTCTCTAATGTACCATTCGTCTGTTGCTTTTTCTTTGTTGTCACCGCCATAGGGCCAGGGTCTTGTATGGTTTCTTGTATAGTCTGCTGCTTGATCAAGAGCACCATATCCTACTCCGGTATGGACGGCAGCAAACTGAAGCTGAACTGGAGGTAATATAAATGAAGAATAAGGATCATCGACAACTTTAATACCACCAGAAGAGTAACCTAAAGCGTCATCCCATTTTACTCTCACATTTTCGATTACAACTCCACCTGACTCAGTCAAACGTTGCCCAATTGCATTCCAATCGTGCAAAAATTTCAAACCAGGATGTGAACTAGAAACAAAAGCAAACACATGACCCCCGTCTGGCAAAACACCTTCCAAAATCATATAGTCAGCTACAACAGACCCTGTGCTAAAGAACTTTCTTCCATTCAACACAATTTCATCGTTTTCTGGTGTGGCAATCATGTCTCGGTTCCTTGGATTAACAGCTCCACCAATATAAGCGTTCTCCTGAGTGAATATTCTAATCCATTTCCTTCTTTGTTCTTCAGTTCCGAAATAAAAAGGTGACCAAAACCATGAGTAATGGTTGCCTAGTAAATGACCAATGCTGCTATCAGCTTTTGATATCTCCATGACAATTCTATATGTAAGCTCCCATTTCTCTCCAGAGCCACCGTATTCTTTTGGTCCCAACAAATTAATAAAACCAGCTACTTTGAGCAATTCAATTTCCAAAAAAGGTGTCTGCCCTTTGCGATCCCTTTCAACGGCATCAACTTTCAAGATTTTTGCAATCTCTTTGGCCCTGGAAATCCACCCTTCTTCTGAGTCAGGTTTGGAACTGTTTTTCCATTCTTTGATTGCTTGCTCTCTGAGCTCTTCAGCCTCCCTAACGTTACTCATAAATTTTTCGAAAATATACTAATATCAGCTTGCTGAAGAATACAGAAGAATCGTGATTCTTCTTATACTTATAGTGGAGTCAGTCAACTGTGGATCTTTCAGACATACTTTCCGGAGTGTATACAATTTCCACTATTCTGGGGTATTGCCGCAAATCAATCAGTATGGCTCGCTGTGTAAAGTCATCAGTCTATATATAAAAGTCTAAGTCATCATTCCTTATCGATTGCTGGTCATTATACAACTAGAAAAATATTTTTACTAGTCTGAAAATGTCAACTGCTGCTCAATTTGAAAAGGATAACCGAAAGTATGTTTCTCTGTTTAATAAAGGAGAATTACCGCTACCTCCGAGTCGTGAGGTGGCTGTTGTTGTTTGCATGGATGCCAGAATTGATCCTGCCAAAGCTTTAAACCTTGAAGAAGGGCAAGCCCACGTTATTAGAAATGCAGGGGGGAGAGCTTCGGATGCTTTGCGCAGTGTAATCATCTCGCAAAGATTACTTGGAACGAGGGAACTTGTTGTTATTCATCACACTGACTGCGGGATGTTGACTTTCACTGATGATCAGTTGCGACAAAAACTAAAAGAGGAGACTGGACTGCTTGTAGATGATATTGCGTTTTTATCTTTCAGTGACTTAAAACAGAGCGTTAGAGAGGATGTCGAGTATTTCCAAAAAAATCCCCTAGTCTTGGATGTTCCTGTTACGGGCTTCATTTATGACGTACATAGTGGTAAGATAGAGAAAGTTGAGTGAGATATAATACATTTTCCTATAAGTAACACGGTTTTGTAGCTCATTCATTCTTCCATAATATGAATTTAAAAATATCGTGTTGCCCTTCACTTGGCTTTTCTAAAATATCAAAGCTATCTTCCAATATTTCTTCAACATCATCAACATTATTGATTTTTGCATTTGATCTTACCGCTTTCATCAATATAACAAAGCTCAATAATTCTTCATCGCTGTCAAGCTTTTCCGATGGAGCATCTTTAATCAGGTTTTCTATTGCACCTGGAGAATCATACTCGAGCAGCAATCTTTTCTCCTTACTAGATAAAAACAATCTAGCTAGCCAATAATATTCGATTGCGTTTCGACAGAATCCAAACTTAGACCATTCATTTTCAGGTATACGTTCTATTGCTCGATTCCATATCGTTTTCCAATTTTCTAACGCCTTCCGTTGTGCTTTTATTTGCGAAGAAGTAAAGAAATTTAACAATTGCTTTTGGAACCACATATTCACGTAGAGAGCATGTAATAAAACGAAGAAGTCGTACATGTATAAGTTGTACGATAAATCAACCGAATCTGCGTTAATTAAAAACTGGGCAACTTCAAGAAACAAGGGTCTAGGGAAGTAAGTAGCATGCCATTCTTCATAAGAAGATGCTTCCCACCAATTATGATGACTTGGTAAAGGTAATCTCAATTCAGATGGAACAATTCTTGGGAAATTGTTGAAAAATATTAAATGCGATGTGTCTAATAGAAACACAGAATAACACGTTCGAATTTTCATTTCTGATTGAATCCAGTCTTTCCAATCTTCCTCAGACTTAGAATAAGAGACCTTATGACAGGCATGGTTTAATTTTTTGTTCTTGACAAGGGTCACTAATCGAGGAAAATTTTCTATTGCATGCTGTCTTTGCCTTTTCGAGCCAGACCAAGTCAAAGCAGTATACAAGCAAACATATGCTTGAATTACATGCAAAGGATAATCCCGACTATCCGTCTTAGGCTCATTTACATTAATATAACCTTCAACAGTATCGAGTTGAGATAATGCGAATTTCACATCCATATCGACATCTGAATACAAAGCTCCAATAATTAACAAACAATACAATAAGGAAGATGGTGTTTCGAAAATAACGAAAGTGGATTTGTGCAAGAAAGGGGTATGTAGATGGAAATGATTGAAATACAAAGATATGAACTTTTGAACGTTATTACCATCTAGCCATGTCTTTATTTTCGGACTAAGTGTTTCAGTCAAGTTATGTACTGTCAAAAGAATGGGCGATGTAAACTCAGTTTCTGACAATAAATTTGTAGGACTTGGTGAGCCGAATATATCAGTTGGACAAACGTCAAAGTCATGTTTGTTAAAAATTGGGGACCCTAATGGAAATGAGGTGCTAAAAATTGCATTGCCTGTCAGATTGCACCACAGCAGAAAAAATAAAGGGGCCGAGCTCGAAGAATACGCTTTCGAAATAGGATCTGTAGGATCTGTACTGACCAACAATTTTCCTTCAGAAAATCCTGTTTCATTTTTCTTTAGTCGGGAACATAAAATTCCAGATTTGATACAATTAGTACATCCGTTTGTGTCGCTTGAGAAGGAGCATTTCCTTTTCGTGAAGTTACATCTCTCGCACGATCTCTTTTTCCGTCCTTTTGGTCTATTACTTAAAGCCAAAGGATTCCCTGAATTTATTTCTAGAGCAACAGAACAGGTCGTCATATGCCTTCTCAACGTGTCATTTCTTGTGAATACTTTATTACAATATTCGCATACAATAGAACTCCGTTGCTCGCTATGAGTGATTATCTGATGCCTTCTTAAATGATCCTTCCTAGAGAACTCCTTCGAGCAAATTAAACAAATTGGCCTTTCCATTAACAAATTTTATCAAACAAATGGTCATATTGAACTCGATTTGCCCAATTTCAATTTATATTATCTAGATGTACTTTAAGTTACGTCACCGCGTTTGGTCCCACAGTTTTGAACTTTAAAAAATATCCCACTTTTGGCAATTTTAACGATTTATTCACTTTGTCACGAGATCCTCGGAGATTTGCAACAGTCAAGTCTATAAATGTTTGCATCAAGGTCTCGTCCAAGAATAAAGTTCTTTCCAAACTTCATTCTTCGAGGTGGCAAATATTGGATAAACATGTAGAATAAATAGAAATATTACACGAGCCTAAGCCTATCGATTTATCTTAATGTCATAGTTATCAGATTGAACATCAAACTTGGTCATTTTCATTTTATTGAATTCGTTAAAGACTTTTTACTTTTTCAAAAGCTTCTTTATTACACTTTAATGGTTAATCATATTTACGAGGAATCAGTTCTCACAGAATCAAGACTGAGTTTGGAAGGTATTCCATTACACCGCCATTAAATCTATGTCTAGCAAGACTCTTACACAAGGGTGTGAGCTAACTGCGATCTGGCACCTACCTATCAAAAGTTTACCGCTTGATCTTTTAATGTGTGGCCCTGATATATAGTAAATTGACATAAATGAAGCCTTATTTCTGTGTATTATTATTTATATCTGAATTTTACTTCTGGCATTATTGATTGAAAACAGAATTAAAAAAATTGTTGAAAAAAGCATCAGCCTCCATAATTTTTGACCTCCGAAGTGTTTCTCATTCAAAAGAAACCTCTAAAATTTGTTGGTTCCATCTATTGAATGGATATCAATGATTAATATAATTGTTACGAAAAATTTTGATTTTAGTATCCACTTAACCCAATAAAGTTATTTTCCATGTCATAGTAGATGTCTCGAAGAAACTTATCTCCGGTGTTATCCAAAAACTCCCACATTGAACTATCAGTGATCCAATCCGAAGCATCCCTATTACTGCTAATTCCATTGGAAAAATCTACGCTCAGAGGCTTTACATGCTGTTCAAAAAACGATTGTTCCTGCTCTGGATGTTGTGAAGGATTTAATAGTTTGGCAACATTGCACTTGGATTCTTGATCACATTGTTGAGCTCTTAAATCATTCTCGAAACTTAAATATTGATCGATACCAATACTGTGTTCATTAAGAACACCCATAGTAAAATTATTGTAATCATTAGTTATCATTTGAGTTTCTTTGGAAACATTAGTAGATGTGGCATCTTGATGGGGGTTCTCAATCTTCGTTAATACTGTATTTGCTATTCTTTCGTACGTGTCTCTGAATACGGAAGCAGTAGAAAATCTTTCTGCCAAAACATATAAAACACTAGAGCATCCAGAAATGGTGTCATAAATCAATCGTTTTCTTTTCCACTCCAATACTTTAACAGAAGTATCAATCCATAAACAATATAAAAATGATAACCCAGCAACAAAGACACAATGCATCGCTAGCCAGGTATAGCCTAGTTTTCCTTTCGCATGGAGATCTTTATAGTTCATACATATCGCCGAAGCAGATTGAGTGAACACTTTAAACCATTCAAGTAATCTAGGATTCGATTGCTCTTTCAATTTGGAAACCTCGAGCAAAACTGGGCGTAAGAGTAATACCATTGAATTGTGGTATGATATTTGTGACCAGTTATAAGTTTCAAATACAGATATCGGATGTGCTTTAGCTGGAAAGGTCGTCATCCATTCATTTAGTTCCAACACGATTTGCACTCTAGTGGTATCTATTTCCTCAAAAGAATCCATGATCGCTACAGGCTTATAGACAAAGGTGCATATGCTTGATTGAATTCTCCTCAATTTAAAAACATGACAAGCTACCGATATTTCTGGTGTTTCCGTAGGCATCAATGCATCAATATCGACATCAGATATTCCAAATGGTCTCCCCAAAACAATTCCATTGATTCGCTCCATTCCATAAGCACACCAAAAAATTCTGTAACGTAGTTCTAGCGTTTGTTTGGCTTTAGAGGATAAACTTTCGTCATCTCTATTACGGTATGGTTGCCGGTGAAGCCCTAATGCTACAGCAGTCCGAATTGCTAAACCAGTGGATTGCCAAATAGAAGACCCATCAGGCATCTTTTGTGAAAAAGTTGATATCATCAAGTATGCTTGAACACTTCTAAGGGTGTTGACTTCTATTATCGGACTAATGTATTCCATTGCCTTATTGTAGTAGATTTTGATATATGCAAGGGTTGAAAATTGATTGTTGTTCGACGACAATTGTGCGCCAATAGCAAATATCATATAAATAAAAAACATCTCTTCTGCACTTTCTGAATCTTTGTTCATGACTTCATCGAAACATTGCTCAACCCATTCCCATTCTAAAAATGGGTACTGACATTGCACAATGACTTTATAACTATTCAAATAAAGTAAAGCTGCATTCATAGAAGGCTTGGTAAAAGGTGGTTGAAATTCTTCAGGTAGTGGAGGGACTTTATCCTTTAAGAAAAACTGATTAGTTGCTCTACTTTCTTTTTTGAAATAGTCAATAGAATTCGTTATAGCCTTGGCGATAGAAAAAGCACTCGTATCACCTATAAACCTCGACTCTGCACCAACACCAAGGGTAATATACCCTATTTCCATCTCTAAATCCTTATTCTTGAATAAACGAGGCTTGTCACGCTGTGCCTTGGGATAAAAAGTTTTATGCGAAGTTTGATCTGGTTTCGAAGAAAACAGGATCTCTGATGAAGATCCCACATCGGTGGTAGCAGTATTTGGTGTCTTTTGCTTCACTTTCCAACTTTTTGATTGTTCCAATTCCAAAGCTTGAATCCTTCGATTTTCTATGATAGATTCAGATTTTGAAATCTTTTCCTCTAATTGTGAAATCCTCTGTTCAAGTGTTTGGATGTAGTTTCGAGGAATGATACGGCCTGTTGTGACATCATAAATCGTACATTCTGTTCTGGATTTTATGCAACCAGTGCAAATAGGATATTTCCCATCACATTTTTTTCTTTTTTTCTTACAAGCCGAACAGGCAGCCATCTGATGCTTACCTCCAGAACGTCTCTTGGCACTTCGATTTTGAATACTATTATTATCATTATTATCATTATTATCATTATTATCATTATCATTGCTATTAATATTATAATTTCTCTCAGAGATTTGGCCTACTTCAGATTCATTTTCACTTGCCTCTGTACTGTCGTACCTAATGCTATCAGATAATTTTACTCTAAATTTCAATTGTCCATTGTTCATAGCACTGTCGTATCTTTCTCACTTCTATACAGACTTGGAACTCTTTCTTCTCTAATATTCTTGTTACGTTTCTTCTCTTTGGTGTACAATCTTTATAACAATGCGGATCTTTACGACTTAATATATACTTTTTCTGGTCGCCTTATCGCACTGCCGCGCTTTTGACAATCGAGAATCGGAGCTAGGGTGGACCAGATTGATAAGAGTATAAAAATATAGAATCTAAAAAGAAAGGCGCTTTCTCATTTTGAAAAGTTGAATAATGTTTAAACAACTGCCTGTTTAGCTTGTACCCAATAGCAGGAATAAACCTATGTCCAAGTATCCTCCGACGCAAGAATTGCCTCCTCTTGGAGCGCTTTGTTTAGATTACACTGACGATATCCATAGACCTCCTGGGGACCCGTTGAATCCTGATTCCTTTTTCTTTCCTTTGATTCACGAAAAAGTAAAGAGGGCTACGGTGCAGAACATTGTGTTTTCTGGCGTCCTTGACGAATCCTTCATCGATAATTTTGCTGATGCTTGTAACAACTTGAAAGCGAAAGGTGCAATTGGAATTATCACCTCTTGTGGTTTTTTAGCTCAAATCCAGGGAATTCTATCTTCAAAGATTGATATACCACTTGCGACTAGTAGTCTTTTACAGATACCTTCAGTTATGACAATTTTATCGCCAAGAAAGAAAGTTGCAGTGTTAACTTTTGATGAAAATGAGCTTAGCAAATTTCATTTTGATGGGATTGGTATTCCAGAAGCCATGCAAGAAAGAATTATTGTCCATGGCACCAAAAAGGGAGGAGAATTGAAAAATATCATTATTGAAGGTGGTCAATATGTTATTGAAAAATTTGAGGCTGAAATGGTCGAATTGGCTGAAAAAGCAGTTGCTGAAGATGATTCAATTGGCGCTTTTGTCTTGGAGTGTACTCAAATGCCTCCAACTTCAAAAGCAATCCAAGATTCACTAGGATTACCTGTTTATGATGTTATTACTATGATAGACTGGTTTTATAGTGGGATAGTTTCTCGTACTTTACCCGAAGACACGAACAAGAGCGATGGTTTGAGAATTAGAAAACGGAGCTCGAAAGAAAAAGGAGAGTAAAGCAGCTGTTTTTGTATGTATTTTACCAATAAAGATGGGCACTTTTATTTATAATAAGGTCCTATATATCGGCAAATCTTCTCTCAGAGATAACCAATCTTGATTTTTGCTCCACCCTGACTTGATTTGGCTTGAGCGGTCGTTCCATATTTGGGATATCGATTATCCTTTTTCTGGAAGGCAAGTAGACAAATTAGCAAAAAAGGGATACTGGTGCCATATGCTTTGTATATCTTTCAAAATATATAGATTTATTTACTTGACTTCGAATAGCAAATCTTCGTAAGCATTGAGTATTACGGAAATGCACGCTATCGATTGATAAAGAAGTCAAATAAATGTTCTTAATATTTCTCCATAGTTTTAGAAATAAAAGAATAAATATTTGGTATTCCTAGAATGATACACTTCTTAAAGTAGGGCATCAATCTCATTCACTTTTTTTAAAGACTTCTTTCAGCAGCGACGTAAGATCCTCTGAAAAAAACATTGGTCATTACCCATCGCCATCTGCAACTTCACACTTTTATCATGGAATAATAATTGCTTCGTTTTAGTGGTGTAATCAAATACGGCTCTTTTAATCGCTAAGGGCTCACTAGTTTCTGTTTTAGAATCTGATCAACTCGAAGTATAAAAGAATGAATCAACATCTCAGAAATTAGACACGATATTTGAAATCAACTCCGCACCCAGTAAATGAAGGGCTTCTGTGGCTTCACTAATGGTTTGCTAGAAAATAATAAATCAATTGTAAACTTAGTACTAAGAACTAGGGATCTAAGATACTTTTGTGATGAGTATAGGTTTCTATCTGGATTTTTTTGGCCCTAGTCTTACCGAAAAAAGGTGCGAGAGACAGACCAAGTTGAACTTTCCATTGTTCTTAAGTTTTCAAAGACAAAAAACTAATGATACAAGGAAAGTAGTCCTTGGTGTCTATTTCTAGGGAGGCGACGCTTTTGCATGTTTCCATAGCCGATAAGTCGAAAGTTTCCGAAATCCAAATTTCCAAATGCGGAACATTTATCAGTATAAAAGCCGCTCATTTTTCATCGGATAAGATCTTTAATCTAGCACTTGATAATGTCTGAAGAGAAGCCAAACGTGCTACTTATTGGTACTGGAGGTGTAGGCACAATTGTTGCCTATGGAATTTATTATGTTGGTAAAGCCAACATAGATGTAGTGGTACGTCGTGATTACATGAAAGTAAAAGAAGCAGGTTGGGAAATTCATTCTGTGGATTACGGTGAAATTAAAAATTGGATGCCAAACAATGTGTATCCTACTGTTGATGCAGCAGCTAAAAGTGGTAAGATATATGATTTTGTCATCATTACTACCAAGAATTTGCCAGATATTCTTAAAGCTGAGGATATTGTAGCTAGAGTGATAACTCCAGAGAAAACAACCATTGTATTGATGCAGAATGGATTTGATATAGGAAGACCATTTATTGCAAAGTATCCAAAAAATGTGTGTATTTCTGGAGTTTCTCATATTGGATCGCATAATCACAACGGTGTCATCACTCAAACTCAACAAGATAAGTCTTTAATCAGTTATTTCGAGAATCCCAGCCTTACCAAAGAGTATCAAGAAATCAAAACCAAAGAGTTCATCTCACTTTATAAGAATGAAAAGAATAATTGTAACTATTTCCCTGATGCTAAATGGTACAGATATAGAAAGTTGGTATATAATGCGTCATTGAATACCGTTGCAGCTTTGACTGGTGTTGATACTGGTAGAATCGAAATATCAGGTGGCTTGGAAGCTGTGTCAATTCCTGCAATGCGAGAAGTTATTTCCATAGCAAAAGCTGATGGTGTAGAGCTTCCAAAAGATGTTATCAACTTGGTTGTTCACTCTGATGACGGTGATTGGTTTGAGCCATCGATGCTTGTTGACTTCAAAAAAGGAAACCCTATCGAGTTAGAAGTTATTTTGGGTAACTTGTTAACTGTCGCTAAAGAATTGGAAGTACAAACCCCTATATTATCTCTTATTTATGAATTGCTACGTGTGGTTCAGTTCAAATTGAAAGAAGACAATGGAATGGTAACCCTTCCCAAGAATAGACCAATTAATAATAAATATTTTGAATAGATTTGCTTTGATTCATTCAATATTTTTGTAAAATACTTATTTAATATCCGCTTAGTTACGCTCGTAATGTCAGCCTTGCAATGAGAATTTATTGATGGTCTTGTAAAGCTTTTTTTTAGTTTGGCACCATTCATAGATTTTGTCTGTAACATTTTTAAGGCGAGCACCATATGGTAGTTAGAAATAATCTTTTGACTAATTTAACTAAAAAAAGGAAAGAGTTTAAAAAATAATTCTAAACATATAAAAAATTAAAAAAGGATGGTGTCAAATCATTCTCACATTTTAGCACGATTGACAATCCAATCTCTCGGTGTGGCCATCTTTACGTTTTGCAAAGCTCTCGGATCGTCTAACCCCCAATTAATTTGATTTAATTTTTCTCTTTTTCTAGACCAAGAGAACAATTCGGTCAAAAATGGATCGCCTTCACCAAGTATAATATTTTTGATATGGTCTCCCAAAACACCAAACATCATGAAAGCATGACCAGAATCGCCAGCTCCAACGAATAATGAATCTTCTTCATAATCTGGGCAATAAGAAATAAGAAAGTCATTGTCCACCGTATCTGAATACCAGCAGATTCTTGTACCTGTTATTCTATCAATTTCCGGTAAATACTCTCTAAGAAAGTTCTTGATCAAATTCAACCCAAATAATGGGACGTTAGTTTCATTATCGCACGTGTACCTGGTCTTGACTTTTGAGTTAATGCCGCCTGATGGGTTAATCCACTTGATGCCTCTATAGCCAATTTTCAAATATCCACCAGGAGAACTGACTGGAAAGCCATATAAGCCACCCAATACTCCATCTCGGGCTTTGTAAGTCCAAGGAGGAAAATTTTCAGGATTAAATCGTTTAAGAAGCTTTGGATCCTTGATTTTTATTAATGCAACCGTCCCACCTGTTGCTTCAAGTTTTTGGCTAGCTTCAGGAATGTATTGAGCAGTCCAAGCTCCTAAATGACATATTACAAGTTTGGAAAAATGCAGCTCACCATCTTTGGTTTTGATCCCGACACATTTCTTACCACCCGAGACTTTATTATGTGTAACCAATAGCTGTTCAATTTCTGAGCCTAAGCGTGGTTTAAATCTCGAACCTCCATGTCGGTGGCATAAGTGAAGAACCCATCTGCACATTTTGTCGGCAATAATTGTACCTCCAGTAGTATCGATAATTCCTTGTAATTTAATACCCCTGCTTTTACACAAAAATGGGTCTACGGAAGTGTCAGACAACCCTTTTCCCAAAACTTTTGACTTCGCATCAGGGTCATTGATATCAATAGCATCCTTTGGCATTGCTTTCAACGTCTCCTGTTCAAATGATGGTAATTCTTGTTGATCGGTTAAATGCACATTTCCTGAATTGATATATATTGGATCGCCTCCTTCGAAGCCCTCTTCGGCAATCATCTTATTCCATTCGAAAAAAACCTCTCTACTTTCAAGAGACATTTCTTGATAATGGGTTTGTTTCCCGTAAGAAGAACGGAAAATTTTGTTCATGTCGGATGAAGCACTATCACAACCTTTAAACCAACTGTAGCTTTGTGTGGTATAATCATTTTTATCAAAAAGATGGACATCTTCAAAACCATCCTTTAAAAAGGACAAAGCAGATGAAAGACCATATACTCCAGCTCCCACAATAATAATCTTTTCTTTTTTATTCGGAGGAGACATTTTATATTATTTTTTTTTTCTTTATATTGATGAAAATAGTTGCGACGCTGAGGCTACAATTTCAGCAAATTCGTCGCAGTTATATAAGATCGTTGATAGTCCCCAAATAGGCAAGTGCTGATTTTTCCGCTATCAGGCATGAGTTGATATTCTTGCAAGAAAACAAAAAAAGATGAGCTTCTTAGGATAAATCATGAATGTATATCATTTTTATTACTCTAATCCAAAAATAAGTCTACAGGAATTTCAATAATAAGTGCTTTTAAATTTTTCCGTCTATATACCTTGATATGGGTTCTTTGCCCGCATAATCGCCCCATACTTGTAGAAGAAAAACGGGATCGGAATCATCCCCAATGCAATGAAGCCAATCAACGATCCGCCCCAGTGGACTCCTAAGTTTACAAATAATTGTTTGGCAAATAAGGGAAATGATGCAGCGAAAACCGATCTCATAAAGGTGTTCGCTGCAATTCCTGAAGCCGCATAATTCGTATATGTGTCAACCAAATAGTTCAAGCAGCCTTGGAAGATAATGATAAAACCAAAGCCGATGCCTACAATACCCAAACATGGAAAAATCCAGTGGATATTAGACGATGAAGTCCAAGAAAAGAGAAAAATACCAGCAGGCATTAGCCAACCAAAATACATCAACATTGGAAATCTTTCTTCAGGCACTGATTTAATTTTTTGTGAACCTGGAGTTTTTGCATACCTTCCAGCCCAAAAAAATGTCACGGTGTTTCCGAAACAAACCCCGATGAAAAGTGATATGTTTGGAAGTGTAGCAATTGTACCTTCCCAACCTCTAGTTAAAGTAAATGCTGTTGGCATAGTAGTAATAACAATATAGAAAACGCCATAAACATAGCTGGCAAACAATACAATTACAAACACAATCGGGGTAATCAACATTGCAAATGGTCTGATCAAGTGTTGTGTAACGACATCTTTGAAGTCCAATTGCCACGTATCGAGCTGGCAATGGATTTTCCAGTTACCTGTGTTGATTCTAATTTCCTTGGCTTCTCTTTTAACCAATACTGGAACATATGTTTCATCCAATAGAAGCTCGCAAATGATGTAGAGTGCTATACTAAGAAGACCAGAAAAATATTGAGGTATTCTCCAAGCTCCTACATCATTGCTGCTACGCATCATTAATGAGGCAATTATTGGGCCCATACTCGAGCCCCCATTCACCAATTGACCATAAAAGGCAAAATATTTCCCTCTGATTGCAGTATCTGGATATAAATCAGCTAACACTCCACCGGCACTGACAATAGGGGCCCCAGCACAAAATCCTGAAAGAAACCTAAAAACCATTAAGCTGGGAACATTATAACTTGTTGCCACTGCAAATGTAAACCCACTAGAAATAAGAATTGGAGCTAAGACTCCAAATTTCCTTCCGTAAACCTCCGATAATGGTGCAAATACCATGGGTCCAAAGGCAATTCCTAAGATATAAAGGGTACTTGTAAGCAATGCAGTTTCCCTAGTAATTCCAAATTCTAAGCTCAATAGTTCGGAGAATTGTTCAACAGACGTGGTCGTGGAGTTCATTTGAGCGCCAAAAGTAACTAGTCCAAATAAAACTGTGTGGGCAAATTTTTTTCGTGATGACCAATTTCCTGGTTTTTTGGAGCTGCATGGATCAAAGATAAGTAATCCAGATTCATCAATGGTAAAATCCTTAGATATTACACCATTCACTATTTCCATTGACGTGTCTATATATTTTTCATCAGCAGCGCTAACACTACTCATCGTATCTCTTATTTTCACCTTGATAGAAAATTTCTGTACATTTTAGTTTTTGGAGCAACGAGGGACTAAAAAGTGCTTGTCGAGCTTCTCCATATCATACTGTTTTGGTTACGAGGATTTATCATGACAAAGTTAAGCTGCTGTAAACTTGCGCGTGCGGAATAGATTCAATGAATAGCGGAAACTTTTGCTTTCTTCATTTGGAAAGAAAGCCGTTTCTCAGTTATGCAGCCCCGATCTTTCTATGTGATAACGTCGGAAAGATTCGATCTTCGTTTTCTATTTGGTTATCTCGCGCGTTGAAGCTGATTCCTAAAAAAGATTCGTTACGTGGTTTTTCAATTTCTTATCATTGTTGTACTAATCTCTTATCACTAATGGTCAGTTTTTTTTTGATGGACTGGAAGTCACTGATTGGTACTTAAAAGCTGGAGACTTCCCTTCACCTATGATGAATCATTTACAACAGAATAAATTTAATTTATTGATTACTTCGTTGTTTTTAACTACACCTTTTCTTTCGCTACTTTTAATACGTGCATATATAATAGGTTTCATTCACCTTTTAGGTAAAAAAAAAACTTCTTTCTTCTTCGATGCCAGATAATAGTGCTACGGAGAAATCGAATGCAATCCACAACACCGTTAGCGTTGGTTATGGGGACCTTGATGATGTGGACAACATCATTTCAGCGGTTGTTTCACCAGGTGGGAGAGAAGTGGTAATCAATAAAAACGACGTCGATGATGCGATGCGATATGCTTTAGATGCGAAAGGAGTTGAGATCGATCCTACCTTTGAAAAGAAGTTAGTTAGAAAGGTCGATATCATGTTATTACCACTTATTGCTCTTCTCATGTCTTGCCAATTAATGGATAAGACTACCAATTCTTATGCAGCTTTAATGGGGTTCAGAGAGGATTTGGGTATGACCACCAAAGGGTACTCATGGGTTGGAAGTACCTTTTATTTTGGATATATGGTGTTTGAATATCCGGGCACCATGATTCTACAGAGGTTCCCACTTTCTAAAGCTCTTGGTATAGTCGTTATTCTATGGGGAGGGATCTTGATGCTTCACGCTGCTACCCAGAACACAGCTGGATTTTTGATATTACGATTTATTCTCGGCATGTTTGAAGGGATGATGAACCCAGCTTATATGATGTTGGTGTCACAATGGTGGAAGAAGGAAGAACAATATATGCGATCTTGCATTTATGTTGGTATGCAAGGTATGGGAACCCTTATAGGGGCCGGGGCAGCTTACGGGTTATACATCCATAGGGGTATCACTGGCCATGTCTTTGCTTCTTGGAGATTGTTCTACATTATTACTGCTGTTATAACTATTGTATTAGGGGCTATCTCATTGATTCACATACCAGATATTCCGACTAAAGCTTGGTTTTTGAATGATACTGAAAAGAAATATATTGTTCAAAGGATTAGAGGCAATCAACAAGGTTTTGGTAATCATCATTGGAAGAAATCACAAGTATACGAGGCATTTACGGATATTCCTAGCTATATTCTTTTCATCTACGGATTTACCTATGCTTTGGCCAATGGAGGTTACAATAATTTTGGGAGTATCTTGTTAAATGAAGATTTTGGGTTTGATACTGGCCAATCAATGTTGATGAATATGCCAGGAGGTGGTATCGATATTGTGTTTCCGCCATTTGTTGCTTGGATTTGTTACAAATTCTTGAAGAATCATCGTTTAGTTGTAGCAATTATTGTCAACGCTATTGTTTTCATAGGGATGTGTTTATTGAATTTTACCGGACACAGAGGTTCTAAATTGACTGGATATCTTTCATTTTACATGGCAACTGCTGTTTTATCATGTATGTTCTCTATTATTTCATCCAACGTTGCTGGTTCCTCTAAAAAAATAACGGTTTCCACAATATATTTTGTCGGTTATTGTGTCGGTAACATTGTTGGACCACAAACATTTACAACTTCTCCATATGTGGGGGCTAAAACTGCCATGTTGGTTTCTTTTGCCGTCGGGACTGGCTGCTTGACGTCGTTGCTTTTCATCTATAGTAAGAGAAACAAAGACCGTGATGCACATAATGCTGCTTTGGGAGACAAATATGAAGTTCCAGAAAACATTGAATTCGCGGATTTGACTGATAAGGAAAACCCAGAATTCAGATACTCATTGTGATATCTTTTAAGTGCTATATAATATTATTTCGATATACTGAATATATGTGTTCCATACATGTATCGATCTTTGAACTCATTATCGTAAAATAATTGAATGATCCATTTCAAAGGTCTTAAGGAAGGCGCTGTTGACTATTACGCTGAAGTGACGTGAAAATCTCACAAACAATAATCATGCTTGCATGCTCTGTGTAGCGTAAGCACTCGAAAAATTAACCAGTCTAATTTTCAGCTTTTGTTGCTTCACTCGCCGTTACTAAGTTAACCGCTGTTGTTTTCTTTTCCTTCGCTTGTTGATATGCTCAAGTTCAGCCGGTAGTCTTACCTAATTTGAGGTCAAGCTTGTTTGTCGTTGTAAGATCTAACCTTAGTTACTATATACTTGTCATCAGACTACTCATCGAGTTGGATAGACGTAATAAATTTAAGAATATAATCTAGTACCATTCACGCCGATACATTTCAAGCAAACGCTGAGTTCGACCAAAAGTAGCACTGAATAATAAACCCTAATGTTTGAGAGAGAAATGATTCTCAAACGGGCATACCCTTCAGAATAAGCTTTGAAATGATATACATTCTGCTTCTATTATTTCACTCAAATCTTTCATGCCGTTATTTAAAAAGATGACATCGAATATATTTATTTATCTAGTTTATTCCGTCACCTCAGTCACCTCAGTCAACTCTATGATCTCGTCAAGTATTGAATAAGTGGAACTATATATAGTATTTTCAAACAAATACTTATTCGTCTCATGATCAAGGTGAAAGTATCACTTTATTATGCCATCATCTTAATGCTTTATGAGATATCATCTCAAAGTTAAAAGTGCATGCGAACAGAATCCTAACCATCTTAGGAGGCTTGTGACTCCTCTCGTTTTTCCCATCGTTAGGGTAATGAGCTACCATGGAACACTTTTCAAGTCGGTTAGATTATAAAAGGTTTAAAGATCCAAGATCTAGGGAAGAAGAAGTGGATCCGATAACCGAACGAGTGAAAAGTATACGTAATCAGTGAACGAATAGAGGATGGTTGTCATACTGTGTGCTAACGGGTTCTAAGTCTCCGCGAAGAGTTTAAGTACAAAACGTCAAGTTTTGGGCAAAGAAGAACTCTTTATTTCCATGTACTTTCTCTACTTTAGGCTTCATTTATTCAATATATGTCGCATTCAATTGACTTTCATCATCTGGTGTGCAAACAGACTTTTGTATTGATACCTCCCGATTCAATTCATTCTCTTCAAATCTTCTTCTAATGCTTCCTGTTTACTAATCTTGGCCCTTAAAATATCGGCGGGAAAGATATATCAAATTTTGTAAGTATTTTAAAAAACCTAGTATTTGGATCATGGTTTTATTTATTCCATTAATATTATCCACTGAGTAAGCCAATCAATATATCTTTTATTGAACCAAGCTGTCAAACCTATTTAATATAATTAAGCAGATTTTCAAACATCTAAAAAGGTTTAATGGAAGTTGAGTCAAAGAATTTTCGAGTTCTTCAAAACTGCCGATCTTGCCTTGCATATCTTAAACATATGGCTCAGTTAATATTCTTAATTCTTTGATATCTACTGAATGGCCCAGTTGAACTGGAATTAGTGACAAAGCCTGGTTTATCTGAAACAAAGAATTTTTGCATCAAAGATATGGCATGTTGAAAGTTGATTAGTGGCACAATACTAATTAACTCCGCACAAAGAATTTCTCTTTTACGAAGAATATATAGTCATCAAGAATGTATTCAAAAGCTATTACTAAAGCAGATATATTTCATCAACTATTTGAAGATGAAATGATCAGGGTTCACAGGACACACTTAGTTCAAGTATGGATTTTCAAGGAGATGAAATTGGAAATGAAAATGAAAACGAAAATGAAGATGAATTCTTCGGAGTTTCTTTATTCGAAGCTGAATATAATGCACGCTCTATACATAATGATGAATGGGAAGATATTATAATGAATAGTACTGATGGAGATACCTAGCATTATAGGTTTGGCCGTCAACAAGACTAGACGATGAAAGATCATTAGATAATATTGATATAAATAATTTAAATGCAGATGATGGTAATAATAACAAGACGTTCGAACAAACAACCTTAAAGGTACCATTGCCTCCATTAACCACTGAAAGCAAGCAGGAAAGTGTGAAAAGTTTAAAATCGGTATTTTTTTGGGCGAATTGAAAGCAGGAAGAATCATTTTTTACTTTACCTTGGAGCCTTACGTTAGAGGTTGCCCCATAAAAATATGTTCGCATGTTTATTGGAATACATTATGCTATCAAATGCTTTATTTTTTTGAACATAAATTGAAATGCAAAGGATCAAGAAACCAATATGATAATAACGGAAGAAACTGATGTTTTTGAGAAAGCGGAATATAGAATTTTGAGGCATATGGTGGGTTACTATATTAAAATTAATAAGACGTTGCTTAAATGTCAACGTAACTAATCAATTCATCTATGATACAGGTGACATATATGATGATAAAGAGAAAATAGAAACTGTATAACTGTAATAAGAAATATCTTTCATCGAAAATACACATTAGTAGATAATATAGTACGAATCATTTCTTATGATGATAAATTAAATTTCATCATTGATAGAATGTGATCTACGCAGTGGAATGCTACCTTAACGATATCCGATAACGCCAGTTTTCGGACTTTATGTAAGCCAAAGCCGAAACCCGAATATTACATCTCATATGTGGGCTTCTGCAACAGTCTCAAGTATTATGTAAGCTTTGAATACAAAACATTTAGATTCAATATGAATAATGTCAATTCTACCCGTTTTATCTTGAAAATAAATGCCCAATGATAATATGAATTGTTCACTTGATGTTTTCAATGGGTTTTACGTATCTACACCAATACTTCCTTTTCAAAAGGCTCTTTTTCATCGATTTTAGGTTTAATTTTATAATAAAACATTTATCATAATTACGAAGTTATAACTTCGGATATAAAATATTAAATGATTCTCGGTCTTTCTTATCTCCATTATCTCTAAGACTTCTAAAAATATAGCCAACCCACAAGAGGCTGAGAACATATCGGCGCATACATCTCTAAGTTTATATAACTAAGGAAAAATCCGTTCAAAATTTTCTCTGATGATGGGAAGAAACATCCTCAATGATTAAAAAGAAAGATACTAAGTACACTTTGAATAATAATACCGAAATCCCAATTACTGCCTTCGGATTATATTTAACTGCTCCTGATATTACTTCTAAAGTTGTATACGAAGCGTTAGAAGTAGGTTACAGACATATAGATTCTGCTGCTTATCATTCAAATGAGGAAGAAGCAGCCCGGGAATCTTTCAATTTTTAAAAGATTATCCTTCAGTAAAGAGAAGTGATATCTATCTCACCACAAAATTAGACCCTGCTGATACAAGTTATCGCGGTATTAAGAAAGGACTTCAAGAGTCTTTAGCTAAAGTTAAATCAATTGACTATATTGATCTATATTTAATTCATGCACCTCTTGCTACTAAAAAGAACTTACTTGGTACTTGGAAAGGCATGTAAAAGGCTGTCCATGATGGGAAAGTCATGTCAATTGGAGTCTCTAATTACGGAGTATCGCATTTGCGTGATTTGTTCTCTTGGAATGGTTTAACTATTCCCCCCGTAATCAATCAAATTGAATTACATCCTTTCAAGCCACAACATGATATTCGTGAATTCTCCGAGCGGAATAATATATTATTAGAAGCCTAAGCACCCCTAACTCGAGGTCAAAAGTTGGATGATCCTAAGTTGGTTAAGATTGCAAAAAAGCGTCGGTACTCAACAGATCAAGTTTTGTTAAGGTGGTCTTATGAGCAGAATTTCATAGTTATAGCCAAAACTGTAAACGCTGGAAGAATCAAGGATGGTGTCAAGGATGGTGTCAAAAAACTATTCAGTCTTAGACGCGACCCAATTAGATTCTGAAGATTATCATGAACTAGACATGCCTAACTCAGATTTAATTTTTACCTGGCCATTCGAACCCACAAAAAACGAAGGGTGTGTTGTGAAAACGGTAATATTTGCTTACACTATGGGAACCAATGTTAGAGGAATTATTTCTTGATTTTTTGCTTGTCTATTTACCAAGACAAATTAATAATTGCGATTTATGTCAGACTTTTGTATTTTTTATGTTTAATATATGTGTTGTAGTGTTCACTTCAAAACGCTACTGGAGGCATATTTAGTTAATTGTCGAATTTACTAGCTCAAACTCATTATTAGATTCTTGTCTGGGTTCCTAAATCAATTTCGTGCTTTCTCTCTTGTTCTCAGCGAGATTTTTATGAAATTATGTGTTTATCTTATACTGAAGGGTTATAATAAAACCAACTGCTAGATGAAAAAATCGATTCTAGCGAGCTCTCAAAAATATTCTCGGGGAATCTTAATGAGCAAGTAAAAGAATTAAATCAGAAACCCATTTTCAATTATCAATTTTCACATGAAAAGCAACTATTTTAGTGTTCGCAACTACAGAATCTACAGACAAAGAAAGGGTACCACAATAGCACATGGCACTGAATATGCTGATATCTATCTTGCATACAAGCAAAAGCTTTTAGTGCAGGCGCTCAAGAAGTAGTGGCACTCCCACACCTACTACTTCAGATAATTAGTCAATATAATCTATCCTTATGCTTAAGAAATTCTGTCATCATTTTCATGGAACAATGACTCAGCTCCCTCTCGAAATCAATCGATCAGAGGCTTAAACCAGGCCCTCGTTCTTGAATCTCGCCCCTCTCACACTCAGAATTACTACCAGACATCACTCAAAGATCACCAACTATCGGCATGTTGGTCATTAGTATATATATTGTATGCGCACTTCAATTCATCTCTATTTCCTATTAACTCATGAAATGCATGATAGACTGCCTTCCTCCCAGATTCGTTTACTTTATTCCATTTTGAATAAAATATTTCACTACCATAATTTGTCTCGACACCAGCTTCATGTAGGTATTCTAATTTATGGATCCTTGGCCCTTATCAAAGAGGTAGTTATTCCATACACGTCACGTTTTGTGGTATTGGATTCAGGCTCCGCAGGCATCATAGGAGTTAGGTGCCAAGTACCATTATGTGCCGCTTGCAATATCATATTAATATCAGGAGAATCTCCCAAGCCGATTGCTATTATATCGTTGACTTCCGTGTCAACTGGGTCACCGTTGATGTCTGTGTAATTATAAGTAATGGCATTTGACAGACTGTACAAATCCTGAACCGTATCCCTCTTACCACAATTGGTAACAGGAAATGACACATGACCCAGTATGCCTCCTATGCTGATATCTCGATGTTTGATTTTTCGTCTCTTTCATACCATCCTGTAGCTTTACTTAACGCCAATAGTTCTATACGCCATCTTGTAATAGCATACCTAATTGTCCTGAAATATGCTTCAGGGGCTTGCTGATTCCAACAAGTATTGTATATGTCATACGCAGTTTCTGCTTCATATGCAACTCCCGCAAGCGTAATCAAAACGCCCTGCGCTGTCGATAACTGGATACGCCTGAGAACCCAATCGTACCAATCTGAATTTGAATCTGCCAAAATCAGTTGTAGTAGCAAAAGAACAAGCAGAAAGGCAAAAAAGGAACTTCTGGGTTTCATACCGTTATATTAAATGATAATATCGTTAAATTTTTCTTTTTCTTGTACAGATTTTTTCTATGACTCGTGATTGAGATCACGTTGTCTGATTATCAGTTTACTCAATGTCTCGAACTCGCTACATTTGTGTTCATAATGAAATTTTTACTAAAGATTAAACGGAACATCTCGTACATTCACCAGCCATGTACGTCTTTTTATTGAAAGGTGAGCGAAATCTTTCTTCCACCTCTTTATGTTAAAAAATGATTACAGATGCTATTGTATCCCGCTTTTATGTTTTAGGTGGTTAATCTGGCAGACATTCGAAGAATGATTCGCCTTTTTCACTAACTACTACCATAACGAAAATAATAATAACACAAAAACTTAAATACTGGCACAAATGCTTGCTTAATCAGGGGCGTAGCAAATCAAAAGAAGTATTCGCCTACTTAACAGAGAAATTACTATTCGAGAATCCAAAAATTATATCACATGTTCTACCACGATTTCGCATCATTTAATGAATTAAAATATGGTCTTTCGGGGATAGCGGTGATAACAAAGTATGTAATGTAAATAGCGACCTTGCGAGCAATATGTATGTTGCTCTCAATTCTTGTTCAAACGTTGCTAGTGACCCAGAAATGATACATGTCGTAATGTTTAACTCTTACTTCTTAACTAGCTGGTAGCAAATTACCCAGAACCATTATTCTTCATTACTTTAATTTGAATCGTCAGGGGCTCAAAAAAAGAGTTTTTAATATTTTAGAAACTTAATTTTCAATAGAAAAGAAATGCTCTAACGAACCTATACATCTGCCTTGGGAATATTAAATAAATAGTCAAGCCCATTCTCCTAGCAAAGACATTATACCAGCTCCAAGTAGTACGCTTATAATCAGGAAAGCTAATCTTTGAAGGTCATCTGTTGCTGCAGGATTAAATATAAAATCTCTGGCAATTAATTCAAGAAGACCTGTATACATTAGAATACCTGCAGAGAGGGAGTCTAACACTCCTTGTATAATATTAGCAGCGAAAGAATTTGAGAAATATATGGATTTTACACCTAATCCAATGGCAATAGAAATTGGCGTAACAAACCCATAAGCAATGCAACATAACCATGGGAGCCATTTTGGCTTGTTTTCAGGAATAGGGATACCTGATAACCTAGCTCCGATTCCTAGACCTTCAAACGATTGATGAAAAACTAAAACAATGTACAAGGTTTTAAATTCCGCACCCAGGGCACCAAGATTGATGCCAATCATTACAGAATGGAAAACTATGCCAAACTCAAGGATCAAGAAAGCTGAGATTTGTGAATTAAAACTAAATTCAGCCTGCATTTCGGTAGTTGGTTTTGAAGTTTCGGCAATATCTAAACCATGTAATTTCTCTCCACTTAACTTCTTTCCATTGAACGACAGGTTTTCTGAAGAAAAACCTTCGACATCAAATGGATGTGATACAATAGTTCTTTCGGTAATAATAGCCTCCTCTATTTTATCCGCATGATGATGATCGAGGCCTCTTCTATAGCCGTATTTTCTTTTAACCACAGCTTGGGAACAAATATCTACTAAGAAAATCAGCACGATTGCAATTAACATTAGTGCTGGTGGCCAGCTATATTTGGCCCAATTTCCCGTCATTCCCACACATGAGTTAGGCCCAATCTCTTGATATGCTGGATCCATCAAATGGACCCAAGCTGTAGCTATAATAACACCTGTTCCAAAGTGACGAGCAAATAAGTAGCCATAAAACGGGATTTTTAAACAATTAAATCTTTGAGCAAGCAATGGGAATATAGTGAAGAGAGTTGAAACAACTAGTATAACAAATACTGAAGAAATTCTAGCGCCTAAAGACCCACTGTAATCATTTCCAGCACCTGGACCATAAACCCCTTGCAAGACGCAAATTTTAAATGATAAAGGAATTTCTTCATCAGTAAGCATTATGCTACTAGTATTCCAGGGCCCTTCATTAACCATTGTTTCTATGTTCTTTATTTTTCTTTGGTCTCGAAGATTCCCTTAGCGATAGAGCAATATAAAGTCTTGGATACTGTAGCTCTCTCTTCCTCTAGAATAATCAATTATATGCGGTTGCCATTACTGTATATATATGCTTTCGCTCAGAAATTCGTGAGGGCCATCAAGGTTGTTATGAACAAAAATTTTTTCAGAAAAAGTAAGCGCTAAGCTATGTCAAAATATTCCTGCTTAATTGATTTGGTAATAATTATTAGCATTTAATCCTAGCTTACAGCATCGTTGGAGGTGATCCCTTGAATAAATGCATTATCATACACTCAAACCATTCTGTTTGTGATACGTTTACCACAGCTACAATTATATGCATACCTGTCAAAAAGGATGACAAAGAGAAATCGTGGCTCTTACTCGTTGCTACATTATTTTATTCTGCTCAAAGGCATATATTATGACAAATTTATTGCGCAGATTCATCTCACTAAATAAAAATGTTAATCAGGAAAACTTTGTTTCGTTGCCTTAAATTCAAAACGATAATAATTTAAGATGCAAATAGTCATGCGTCAGAGGCATATTCTTTCAGTAGGAATGTAGAAAGGAGAAAAATATTTATCTAGAACATATAGATTCACGTCGCAATACTGCATTTCATATAGATAATTTTGTTTACGCTTTGGGTCTGATATATCCAAAAACGAAGTTGACCTGGTTTAGATTTCACATATATAATGGGATCAGATGCTTTTCAATTCTAGAAATGCATATACTATCACCGGATACATATGAATCTCACATTAAGAGGAATAGATTAGTTGATTAAGTACAGGAGAGTGCTAGTAGCTACCAGCATCTTTTTGCATAGAAATTGTTTTATTTCGTTTATGATGGAAAAGAAACCTCAATATGCCTATAAAATGTCGTGATCACTATGTAATAAATCAAAATCGATTTAAAATGACGCTTCTGCCAACCCACTAGACAGGAGACATTTGTAATTTTCATTTTATCTTCCGAGCAATCACAGTTAGTTCTAAGTGGCATATTCTTCATTCAAGTGCAGTTGCGAATTCCTCGAGCTTCAAAGCACTTTCTAGAAAGCGAAGATAAGATTATGTCGCGGATGTAATATACTAGTGGTTAAGATTTAATGTTCACTACGACATAAATGTCATGATTTTCTAACGTAATTTTCTTCCCTTTAGACAACTATGTGATTCACTTGAATAACATAATTTCTTAATATGAAACCTTCTGGTGCAAATATATTATTAAACCTTGGTAGTTATGCGAATATCAGACCCTTGAGATACCATTTATAATTAATCTCATTCTATTCGTGATTGACCTGTACATGTAACTGCAAGGGTACAAATTTTTTTTCTATAGAATTTTGATCTATAAAAGAAGACGTTCTCTTTTTGGGGCATTTAAACGATGCCAAATTCACAATCGAAGTTATGCCAACATCGAAGAGTAGCGTTATGCGAGGACCCATTCCAGTAACGTTAATATCTGGTTTTCTTGGATCCGGAAAAACAACATTACTTGAGAATATTTTAACTGCCAACCATGACATGAGAATTGCTGTAATTGTTAACGATGTTTCATCTTTAAACATAGATGCCGAGTTGATAAAGAATCACAGGGTAACAAAAAAAGAAGAAAAGCTAATTCAACTTCAGAATGGATGCATTTGTTGTACATTACGAGGTGATCTTTTAGAGGAATTAGTAACTCTCGCGAAAGATGATTGTTTCCAGTATATTGTGATAGAATCTACGGGGATTTCAGAACCTATGCAAGTTGCAGAAACATTCACTGCAGAGTTTACTTGGCAAATTTTAGATTTCGAAGGCACCAGTTCAGAACAACAAGCCTTAATGCATGAAGTTTTAAGCTTTGGAGGTTTAAATAAGCTAACGAGGCTCGATACCTGTGTGACGGTTATAGATTCCAAGAATTTTTTATCCAATTTAGAGACAACAGATTTTTTGATTGACAGATATGGTGATCGCGGACAATCTGAAGGAGAAAGGACGATAACAGATTTGTTAATCGATCAAATCGAGTTTTCGGACGTAATAATTATTAATAAGATGTCGATGGTGAGGAAAAAGAAACTTAAAAAGATTAAAAATATCATTCACTCTTTGAATCCCGTCGCAAAGGTCTTAATGAGCGATTATTCTAAAGTTGACCTTAAAGACGTCCTCAACACTCGAATATTTGACTTTGAGAAAGCCGCAACATCTGCAGGTTGGTTGCAAAGTATACATGAAATGACTCAGAGAGAAGGATTTGGAAAAAATAATCATACGGCTATAACTCCAAAACCCGAAACGGAAGAGTATGGAATAAATAATTTCGTCTACACTTCAAGAAGGCCGTTCCATCCACAGAGGTTATACAATCTAATAAGAGATAAGTTTATTGTTATCGAGAAAGTTCCTGATTTTGCATCCATGGAAAGAGACACTAATGGAGACGGCTCTGAAAGTGACCCTGAGGATCTTTCTGAAGGAGATCTTGATGGTTCTGGAAGTGAGTCAGATGAAAATGAATTTGAAGATCCTTCCGATGCCGCAATTATTAAAAGCAAAAAGACTTCGGCATTCGGACCTTTGCTCCGTTCAAAAGGCTTTTTCTGGCTTGCAACTAGATTCATTGTGCGTGGAGAATGGTCTTCTGCCGGAACCATGATGACCCTTGGTGGATCTATTCCTTGGTTTGATGTAGAAAAGGATCATGATTTTCCATCAGAAGTCGCAAAGCTTATTGAACGAGACATGCAAGGCAAGTATGGAGATAGAAGGAACGAAATCGTCTTCATTGGTTTGAAAGTTGATAAAGCAAAAATTTCCGATGCACTTAATACATGCTTATTGAACGACGATGAGTACCTGGATTTTGAAAAAGTTATAAAAGAGGAAAACAATTTGTTTCGAATTGAAAAGAAATTGCAAGAAATTTTTGAAGATGGCTTTGAAGATTGGATCTTCATGGAAGAAGATACTGAAGAATGCGAGCTCGAATCTAGTGATAGACAACAATGTATTCATAACAATGTAGCTGTTAGTACTTAAAGATATTTTTGTTACTAAAATGTCCTCTTTCTAGCATTAATTTCTTACTTCGAACTCTAAACTAGCATATGCTGTCATATCGAATGCTAATTGAAATCATGTTACTTGTGATGAAGATTAAGTCTACCACGAAAAAAACTTTTCATTCCAACTGACCATTTAGATCTGAACGTTAAAAATCCCGTATTGTAATTGTCTATGGGTATTGGGAAGAAGGAACACATAGCGCGGTATGATAAGTTTATACTTTGCATTAAAAAGGTGAGTCACTTGAAGCCAAAACATAAGTTTCATCACATAATTAATGACTCCATCGTATTTGGGTAACTCAAATCCACAAGGATTTCTGTTTATGATTGATCAGACATAAAGATTCAAAGCAAAAACAAAATTTCGTCATTAATTTTTTGCGAATTTTTAATTACTCAGTACTTGTGTTTTTCGCAACATGGCGTATCATTAGAACTCTTGTGTATAGAAATTAACAAAATTATCGCTAATTCCCAATTTGCTTCAAACTTTCCAAAACTCATCGTATCTGGATACCTAAGCGGAATACCAAGTAGGCCGATGCATATATTCGAGCTAAAAAGTTCGATAGGGAGCACTTTATAAGACCCATCCTAAAGACTCCAGCTATCCGCATTTCGGTCATTAGTATATATATTGTATGCGCACTTCAATTCATCTCTATTTCCTATTAACTTATGAAATGCATGATAGACTGCCTTCCTCCCAGATTCGTTTACTTTATTCCATTTTGAATAAAATATTTCACTACCATAATTTGTCTCGACACCAGCTTCATGTAGGTATTCTAATTTATGGATCCTTGGCCCTTATCAAAGAGGTAGTTATTCCATACACGTCACGTTTTGTGGTATTGGATTCAGGCTCCGCAGGCATCATAGGAGTTAGGTGTCAAGTACCATTATGGGCCGCTTGCAATATCATATTAATTTCAGAAGAATTTTCCAAGCCGAATGCTGTAATATCGCTGACTTGGGTGTCAACCGTGTCGCAATTTATGTCCTGTAATTATATTAGCCCATGATTGTGCGCTTGGATTTTAGGCTGATTATTCTGCTAATGTTTTGTATGCAGGCTATTATCGAAAATTGCGGTAATAGTGGTGTATGCAATACGCATAATATGTTTCAAAGTTTGATGAGCAAGGGGCATATAAGAAGTGAGAGGAAAGTGCTATTCC